TCCCCTATATCATGGCATATTTAATCACATATTCCATCCCCTATTCATCGTTTAATTCATTCTATATTTAATCCACTATGTCAATGTCTAAATCATACTCTATTTCACCCACTATTAAATCGCCAATTACATAGCATATTTCATAACCAAGTACTTCGCCTATTTTACCATCTATTTTATATTCTAATACATCGCCTATTCTATCCCCTATTTCTTATTATATTTAATAGGTAATTTAATCGCCTATTCCATCATCTTCTGATTGCCCATTTCAACACTTATTTCAAAGTCTATTTCATCACGTATTTCATCGCCTATTCCATCCCTAAATAAGGATACCCAAATAGGAGTTCAACAAAATTGTGTAACAACACCAACAATATTCCTAGCGTCTTAGGATAGTCATATGTCATTAACCAAACCGAAATTTATGATATTAATTTAGCTAACTCAATATTCAAAATAAAATTGTCTACTTAATTTGCTGATAGAATATGATGTATAGGTAAAAAATTTTTGAGTGTGTTAAATGTAAGAGGCAATATTAATTATTATAAAAGTTCAATTATGCATAAAATTCAGGAATCATAAAACCTGATGCATTATAAATTTTCATGAATTTTAAATTATAATTTTTTAATCTGCTCTTTAAAAATCCTGTCTTTTAACATCTGAATTGAATAAGATGGGTTACTATAAATTAATATCACTAACAAATAACTTTAAAGGCATAATCACAAAGTTTAAAGATTACCAATAAATGAGATGGATTAACGATATATAAATTATAACTTAGATTCCTGATAAAGATTTTCATCTTATAAAGCAACTTAACTGAATTATTTTGGAGAGAGGAATCTTTTTTAAAAAACCGAAATGACGAAGTTATTAGCAAAAAAAATATTATCGATATTAAATTTTAAAAATAGCTTACATCACATTCCAAAATGGATTTGCCAAATGTATAAGTTATTCAAAAATTTAATTTAATAAAATTCATAATAAGTATTAGATAATAATATGGTTTATATTTAATGCTCCAGTTACATTTTCAAATTCTCATCTTAATCATTTCTAATTCACCATTTATCAAATCTTTGCATAAAGAAAACTCATGTATCACAACAAGATTTTATTTGTTGCTCAAAATATCTTTCAATTTATTTTAACACGCGTTTCGCTTAAGAGATCTCACTTAGTCTCTAATCTACCATTCTCATAAATGCTTGAGGAGAAATGAGAAATAATCTAAAATTTATTTTATCAAAGGATATCTTTGAGGAAAATTGAGTTTAGGTTAAATTGGAATAACCCAATTGCCACAAATTTTTATAATGGTTCTAATTTCATTTTAGATTTCGTAGTTTAATTTGAGAAAGAGTAGAAGCAACCAGAGTGAGTTCCTTCCATACATCACTATCAAAATTCTCTCAATACTGTATTTTTCTATGCCATGCATTACATTAAATAAAAAAATAACTAATTATCATCTAGGTCTTTCATTAGCATCGACAATTTCCTATTAGGAAATAAACAAAAGGCAGCTCAGCTAGAAATAGAAGGAATTTTTATATATTTTTATAAATGGTTGGGCGATCCCAGTTCTCAACAAAAAGCATGTGAAAATGATCGGAAATCTGGATGAATTTCAACTAGACAATAGAATAATGATATAGACTAAAATATTTCACAATATTAGCTTGATAAATTGTAAAATAGTTTGTATTGATAGCAAAATAAAGTAAATTCAAGTTTTCGTGATATAAATTATCGAATTTTACTGTTATAAGAATTTTTTAAGTAAATATTAAAGAGGGTTGGTGATAAAGGTGAACCTTGAGGTTTCCCAATTAGCTTAGTAAAATATTTCATTAAGAAGTGGGTTGGCAGAATACAAATTTAAAGCAAACTTTCGAGAAATTTTATTTTTAACTCTCCTAAGATATGCTTATTATATAATATTATATTGAGGATTTTGCTATTCTAGCAGAACAACAATTAATGAAAAAAAGGCAATTTTTTTTTTTAGAGTTGCTGTTAGAGGAATAAAGATTTTAAGCAGATTTGTGATATTATTTATGTTGAAGAGTTAAGCAATTTGATCCTTAGGTAATTTTGTAATTACAGTGGTTCTAACTTTTTGAGAAAAATCTGAGCTTATAGACTTAGTATTGCTATTAGAAGGGAGAAAATTAATATTTTAGAACACAATTAATTTATATCAATTATAGATTTATACCAAATATTTAATATATTTTCAGTTTTTTTAATAAAGGAGTTATTAAATTATAAAAGTTCATTGAATGCCAATTTTGTTGTAAGAAACTTATCTATTTTAGATAGGGACAAGATGCAAGAAATAATTATCTGAAATACATTCCTAAATTATAAATTAACTTAGCTATCATAAAATGTGATTCTTTGGAAATTACTTTGAACTAATTAGAAACTGAAGTATTCTTTAATTGAATAGAACAAGTTTCAAGTTTATAATTACTTTATAAATCAATTAAATATTAGAAAATACTTCATATCTTATTATTAACATTACTTTAATTCTTAAAATAATGATGATTACGCTTGAGGATTTATGGATTTATTGTTACTTTTTTGATTAAAAAATTGTGTGAATTATTTAATTTATTAGCTCATAGTGTTAAATCTAATACAATCTTCCTAATGATGTGAATGACTTTTTTCTAAACATTCAAAACAAAATTAAGTTACATTTAGGCAATTCTCATTTAAACAAAACCCCATTATTTCTTCATTTTCATGAGTTAGATATTTACACTTAAGCAATTCGATTTTTTATAATAAATAAAAAGTATTTCATTCATCATTCGAACCTAAATATTCTTTTACTTAATAGAATTTCTGTGGGAAGTCTTATAGAAACATTTTATTGGCTTAAATATACACAATTAACATCTTAAAGAGTAGAAATAGTTAAAAACACAATATTTAGTTAACTGAATTAATAATACGTATTTATATTTTAAAAATATTATCAGGAGTAATTCTTTAATAGTTTGTTTTAGTTAAAGTAAAATTATACCAAATATTTATCAATTCTATTTTATGTTTACTTATACCTTATTCCATAAATCTCATTCAATCGTAATGTATAATGTAAGTGACAAAATAATTTATTTTCCGTTTTTCATTATCATTTGGAAGTCAATATTAATAATATTAATGAAAATTTCATAAAATTATGAAATAAACCCCCACAAAGCAATAATTGTAAATTAATTAAAAATGAGTGAGTTGAAGGAACTTTATCGTGACATTGATGCATATTTAGGTAGATGATAACAACTACAAATATATTCTTAAGCAAAAAGGAAAAAATTGCAATTTAAAAGATTTCAAGCTTAAGTTAAAATCATTTCTACTATGGTGGAATGTTATGAATTTTATATTATAGTTCTGGATAAAGTTTAAATGTGTGAGTAAATTTTATTTAGTATCCCTTTCTATGCATTTAAACATTTTATTAAATTTCATAGTTAAAATAAAGAATAATAGTATTCTTTAAAATGAGATTATTTATTTGATATTTTTAAGGATCTTATGATAGTGAAATTTATCAATTATTTATCTTTGGGTCAAATATCAGGAACATTAAGTGTTAATATTTTCTTAATAATGTTTGTAAGACCATATTAAAGATGATAATCAAAAAATTGGTGATATTATTAATATGAATTCTTAAATAACGATATTTCATCAACAAATATGATTTTAACTTAATTGGTTGATATTAGATTGTGAAATTTGTAATGTACTTTTGTTATTGCAATACAAAGGAGCATAAATTTCTATAAAAAAAATAAAGATTTAAAATGATTGAAATCTGAATTAGAGCTTTAAAAAAAAGGAAGTAACTTTCTTTGACCGATTAAATCAAAATGAACTAAGATTAACAAATAGAATAGTTGGATATTGTATGTCTAAGCAAAGGACATTCAATTTTTATTGAAAAATGAGCTGATAAAATAACCAATTTGCAAGGGTTCTTTTTAAATTATTTAATACTTGCAAATTGTTAATGACTTTGAATGATCCAATTTATAATTTATATAGCCATTAAAATGTTAATTGTAGTATCAGCATTAGGATTGAATGATGGAAAAATTCATTACATTAGATTTAGTTAAAGGATCTTTGCCATTTGATAGTTGTAGAACCGCAACAACTGCGTCTAAATAATATTTGCACTTATCTGATAATGTATTCAATAATTGATTCTGAAATAAATTGAAAAAGAAACTTTAAGCAACGTTGTAATATTATAAAATTCATTTAAGCGCATTTCATTTTTTGAATTTTTTTCATTAGTAAATCAAAGAAATTATCACTGAATTAAAGAATTTTTTTGAATAAATATTAAAAAAACTAGCAAGCTATTATACGATTAGAAAAAATGGATAAAATACTTTTCAATAAAGAATATTTAACTTTCAAGTCAGAAATAAGCATAATACAAAATTATAACTCCAAAGAAAGTGAAAAATAAATATGTTTACATTTTAGTAACGTAATAGAATAAAAATAATTTAATTTTATTGAAATAAACTTAAATTAATAGAAATAAATAAATTTCTTAATCAATTGAAACTATAGTATCAGTTTAAACATAAAAGATTAATTATGAAGATTAAGACACAATTAAAATTGTAGAAATAAATGAGGAAAATTTAGAATAAAAGTAATTGAGAATTCAAGAGGCCAAAATATTATTTAATTAGGGTAAAATTAATTTTATAGAATAAAATAGGGAAAGAATTATATTATAATTTACATCTATTTCTTAAAATAGTTGAATAAGCTAAAATTCAATTAAATAATTAGTGAGGATGACAATCTTTATCTATGGAAAGCTAAGTTTTAATTTGTATAATCTAAGGTTTTGTATTATACAATTTAAATAGAATTTAAGATGCAATCGAGTGTAATGAAAATGATATCTCTATTAATCGTAACAATGATAACGCATGGAACAATAAGGGTAATAAACTGTTTTATATTATCATTTAGGTTCTGTATTATCTATCTACGTAATTTTTCAAGCTTTTACATATTTTACGTAGATATTAAAATGCATTTGAGTGTTTTGATAAATCTATCTATTAATTCTAATAATGATAGCGCATGGAACAATTGGGGTAATAAACGTTTAACATAATCATTTAGGTTTAGCATTAAACAATTTAGATAGATATTAAGAGGCTATGGAGTGTTTTGCTAAAGCGATCTATATTAATCCTAAAAAAAAAAAATTATAATATTCTAGTGATATTAAAGTGTTAGCTTAATATGATTTTCTTTCCCTACTATTCTTTTCCAAATTAAAAATTTTCTCTTAATCAATTTTGTTTTTAGATTAGAAACTGAAACTTAAATTAGCATAGAAGAAAATAATTATAATCTTTATTTTAATATTTTATAATAATTATTAGGTTTGATGAGCGCATAATGATTAATTAAGGATTTTTATGAATTATTTATAATTTCAATAAAAATATTTATAACATCTTTTTATTTAATATTAAACTTTTCTAAAAGACTTTGACATCATGCTATAATGTCAATAATTCAAATTCTTAATCTTTTGTAATGGTGAGCAATATTGAAAAGTTAGCAAAAGAAAATTCAACAAAAAGTTTCTATTTGTTTACAATTGCACAAATACAATCAAAAATTTAAATATTATATTATTAAAGAATTTAAATTATTCTCAAATTATTTTACTTGTGAGTGTTAATTGAATTGAAAAATTATAAATAGTATTTGCTTGAATTTAATCCAATAAATAGGAATTAACAACTTAATTAATAGATTTTCTGTAATTATGCATTATTATTTAAAAAAAAACTTGTTTTACGTGCTGACATTTCAATAAAAAGAACAGTTAACCTAAAAGAGAAAGTTTTTATCTGTTCAATGGTCAATGATGATAATGTTCCTTGCTTAAAGTAGAGAGATTGTATTCTACCTAAAGAAGCAATTCTTGGTTAAACTAGAGATTCTTTAAGATTATCTCTCTTTTTTCATGTAAATATGTCAATATATTCTAAGGATAGCCTTCAAAATAAAAAACAAGGAAATAATAAACTGAGTCCAAAATTATAACAAATTTTATTAAAGCTAAAGGGCTATTATGTATTTCACAAAAAAAGGCAGAAAAGGCTACATGTATCAAATTCTAATTTGTGAACTCAATTTGAATTATTGTAAAACAATAAAAAAATATTCATTAAAAAAATCTATATTGTTTTTCATCACTTTAATTTTATTCTTATTTTTTCACATTTTTAGGGAATCAAACATAAAAAATAAATTAATTAACCTTCTAGATAAAAATATTTACGTATTTAAAGCAAAGTCTGCATAATTAAAAGTTATTAATTTTCCTTGTTGATAAGCCAATCTTAATTTAATTGCTTAATCAGATTCATTTAATTCGATTTGCTTTTGTTAATTCGTTGCTCATTAACTGAGGCTTGCAATTTCAAATGATATGTATTAACTTTATTACTTATTTATGATAGAAGATAACATATTTTGAAATAAATTAATGCTGTCTCGAAATAAAGCATTCCGATGTAATTGTTTTTCTTTCAATCTTAATTTTTATTGTTTTATTGCTTATTGATATTACTTATCATGAGTTCATCACAATATTTGTCAGCAATATAATTTATTGTAACATTATCATTTTAGCAATTAACATTAATCATTTTAATGGTTTTTACTTAGCTCTAAATCTGAATAATGTAATCATTCTTTATACAAAGCGCTATTCACCTTTTCTTATTCTCTCACTAGTATTTCTTTTACAAATNATAATATTATTAAAGAATTTAAATTATTCTCAAATTATTTTACTTGTGAGTGTTAATTGAATTGAAAAATTATAAATAGTATTTGCTTGAATTTAATCCAATAAATAGGAATTAACAACTTAATTAATAGATTTTCTGTAATTATGCATTATTATTTAAAAAAAAACTTGTTTTACGTGCTGACATTTCAATAAAAAGAACAGTTAACCTAAAAGAGAAAGTTTTTATCTGTTCAATGGTCAATGATGATAATGTTCCTTGCTTAAAGTAGAGAGATTGTATTCTACCTAAAGAAGCAATTCTTGGTTAAACTAGAGATTCTTTAAGATTATCTCTCTTTTTTCATGTAAATATGTCAATATATTCTAAGGATAGCCTTCAAAATAAAAAACAAGGAAATAATAAACTGAGTCCAAAATTATAACAAATTTTATTAAAGCTAAAGGGCTATTATGTATTTCACAAAAAAAGGCAGAAAAGGCTACATGTATCAAATTCTAATTTGTGAACTCAATTTGAATTATTGTAAAACAATAAAAAAATATTCATTAAAAAAATCTATATTGTTTTTCATCACTTTAATTTTATTCTTATTTTTTCACATTTTTAGGGAATCAAACATAAAAAATAAATTAATTAACCTTCTAGATAAAAATATTTACGTATTTAAAGCAAAGTCTGCATAATTAAAAGTTATTAATTTTCCTTGTTGATAAGCCAATCTTAATTTAATTGCTTAATCAGATTCATTTAATTCGATTTGCTTTTGTTAATTCGTTGCTCATTAACTGAGGCTTGCAATTTCAAATGATATGTATTAACTTTATTACTTATTTATGATAGAAGATAACATATTTTGAAATAAATTAATGCTGTCTCGAAATAAAGCATTCCGATGTAATTGTTTTTCTTTCAATCTTAATTTTTATTGTTTTATTGCTTATTGATATTACTTATCATGAGTTCATCACAATATTTGTCAGCAATATAATTTATTGTAACATTATCATTTTAGCAATTAACATTAATCATTTTAATGGTTTTTACTTAGCTCTAAATCTGAATAATGTAATCATTCTTTATACAAAGCGCTATTCACCTTTTCTTATTCTCTCACTAGTATTTCTTTTACAAATATAACAAAATTTCAATAATCCAAGACGAAAAATGTCCTACATTTTACAAATTATGAGCATCTTAAAAGAATTTAAAAATTAATTATTTCATTAGCAAACTTCTATTTCTTCTAATTTAGCATGATTATTTTCCATCTTCATTGATTTTAATTCTAATCTAATTGTGGTTAAAAAATTGGCATACCATACTAATATACTTTAATTGCAGAGTTTAATACTTTGAATTAATTCGCTTGTATGATTATAATAGAGTTTCTATAAATATTACTCATGCAGAAAACTAATTTCATACTGTTCCATTTACTCCTAATCCAATTATATTATTTCTCAAATTATTTAAAAATATTTTGGCTCCTTATAGAATATATAATTTGAACTTAGTGGTCAAAAAATTTTATCAAATTTGTTTTAGTCTTTCTTGCAATTAGAATGTTTGTCAGGGTAAATTCCGCATTAAGGGCAGATATAGGATTTAAATCTTAGCATCTCAATTATCAACAAAACCCATATTTCCTACTTTCTGTGGAATATTTAAATATAAGTATTCTCTATTAAATATTAGATATTTTATGAGTATGTATTAAATTTGTTTAAAAAGATATGCTTATTATAATGTTAATGAAATAAAAAGATTTACTTATTCAAATTCTCTAATTTTTTTCGGTCATTCTTAAATTTATCTTAGAAGGGAACACTTTATTGTCTTTCTATGAGAATCCATTCTAAAATTCAAATTATTTGTCTATTAAAACGATATAATATTTAGCCAATGAAACATTATTATAATAAGATATTCTTTACCATTCTAAATCTTGAATTGAATTTCATTTTGAAATCTAAATGGAATGCAAAGAGCAAAATTTATAGTATACTTAAATGTTTAAGAGTAATATTACTAGTTTATTTGTTTATATCAAATCCTTAGATCTAAATTTTCTATATCTAATCTCTAGTGAAGATAATCAAAGTAGTTCATTCAGGAATATGCTCACTTAAAAATATAAAAAAGTATTGAGTTATGTGAATGAAACATTCAAAAATCAAAATTTAACATAACCTATATATTTTCAATATCTAATGATGATAGGTTTTATTTTTAACTAACTTTATTGGATGATTATGAATATCTTAGGTTCAAAAGGAAGGAATAATATTAATAATCTGATTTTCAAAAGATTAATTGAAACATAGAGATAGAATTTCCTAAACAAAATGCCTATACTGTATCAAATTCAATTTTCCCTAAAATCCAATTATGATTCCACTTTAAATTAATTGAAAAAGCAAATTCTATAAATAGCGTTAAATAAATTGCTAAATCCTTAATTTTAGAAATTTTTGTTAAATTTATAAATATATATGGTTATTTAAGATAATTATCAGGATTCAGAAATAAATGATTTTTTCCAAATAAACAAATTTGACTTGATCTATCAACATCTATCAATTAAAAAATTTATAATAATGTAATTTTCTCACTCTTAACTTTTTTTCAATAGTAACAATTTTTTAAACATTATTGATTATATATGCTATTAAAAATTTTTGTTTTTATAGATATAATATCAACTTCTTACTTTGAATTCTCCATTTTTCTTCCCATTTATATATTCTCCTTGAATAAACTTAATTTTTGACCTAAATATTAATTTTAAATAGTACAAATCAAAATTTGATTAAATATCAATCCATTATCCATTTTTTCTTCCCTAATCGTCGTAATCTCCTCCCCCTCTTTATATTTTAATTTAATTATTATACACTTTATGATTATTTTTTTTAATTTCCCAAGTGCCCACTTTTATTCCATTTTTATAAGTTCCAGCAAGAATTATCTTATGTAACCTTTGGTATTCAAATATAAATAATTACACCCAATAATCAACGCTTGGCTCTCCAACGTCCATTTTTAATTCATTTTCATCATATTCGCCACCCCTTTAAATAATTTGACATTATACATATTTTTAATTATTGCTGCTCCATAACAATAATTTTTCCATCTTCCTATTTTCGTATTATTGAGATATTTCCCTTTGCATAATAAATTTGTACTAATTTAAAAAAAATACTAGAAAAACAATCTTACTCCTTGAAATATTCTTAAAACTCTAGCCATTTCATCCCATTTTCATCATACTCTCCTCCTTCACTAATTAAATTATGTTAAGATTCATACATTGTCACTTCACCATAAATAGTCCAATGACCAACTCTTTTTCCACCTCAATATAATCCTGAAAAGCAGTAGTAAACTGGATCGTAATGAGTTATTTCCATTCCCCAACTTTTTAACCAAAATCATCAAAATGTCCCCCTCCACCTTAATACTCATCGTCAATCATATCCCACTTTCCAACTTTAACTCCTTTTTTATATTCTCCGACATTTATCATTGGGCATTGCCTTTAATTAATTCAAACTTTACAAATATCTATCATGAAGTTCAACCCATCTTCCATTTTTCATCCCATCTTCATCATATACATCTCCAAAACTAAAATTAAAAGCATAATAACATTTCATCTTCTTTTTCTTAATCTTCTTCATCATATATCTCAAAATTTCTAAAATCATCATCCGGAAAGATAATATTCCACCTACTGTATTTCACACCTTCCTTGTAATTTCCTGTTTGTGTAATTATATATTCACTATAATTAAATAATTATAAAAGTAACCCGAATGAAAAATCATAGATTTCTGTCCATTCTCCATTTTTTTTTCCATTTATGTCATATGTTCCACAATATCTGATTATTAATAGTAAATAATTATGAAAGCTCGTTATCAAAGAAGTATCCCATATTCCAATTTTTCTTCCGTTTTTGTATTCTCCAATATTCAAGATTTTTAACTTCTTACTATTTAAGGTACTTAAAAAGAAAGTAAAACCATCTAAAAATTCAATCCATTTTCCTTATTTAATTCCATTATTATCATAATATCCTCCTCTGAAAAAGAAATCTATTTTTTATTTTTTCAAATATTAATGATAGCAATATTCCCACTTTCCAATTCTCTTTCCTTTTTTGTACTCACCAACGAAGTAGTATTATTCAATCCTAAAATTTATGTAAATTTATATTTTTGAAACATATTCTAAGGTTCTTTCGAAAGTCCTACTTTAAAACCTTCTTAATCGTAGTACTCTCCAGCATCTAATTTGTCACCATTCCAATAAGGAGTCCATTTTCCAATTTTTTTATTTTATTATCATACTAGCCATCCCAAAATAAATATTTGAAAAAGTCAAAATCATAGATTATTTCATAATCTGAAAAATCACCCTTAATCCAATCCCTAAGAATAATTAGAAATTCCTTTCTTTAGCAAAATTTAACCGTCTTGGATATATTAAATTTGATTGATTTGAAGTTCTAATTCGAAATCTATTTTTTCTAGATAAATTTAATAATATTCTTTTCCAGTGATTACTATTCTATTTTGGATATTTTCATTAGCTTTATTTAAATTAGTAATTACATTTCAGTTTTTTGGTTACTTAATCATTGTCAGAATTCATTTATATTTTTTAATCACTAAAAACATTGATACCAATAGAATTTAAACAGAAATATTATAAATATCAAGTTAAAAAAATTAATTGTAAATCAATAAGAGCAATAAAAAAGTATTAATTAAAAATATCTATGACCATATAAATGAAAATTATTCTTTAAGAACATCATCTTTTAAACTCTTAATTTACATAAAAATTTGCCAACAGCAGCCTATAACAGATTTATGATTTTCTTTGATGATTTAAAATTAAATAATTATACATTTGGTTACATAATTAAGTATTATATGCTGCTTTAGAATTATTACTTATGTTAGTTTCATAGAAAGATATTTGAAGTTTATTTCAATATTTCTACTGTTTGGTGCGAAAAATGAAAAATATTCTTTTGAAACTGTTTGAAAGTAATTTAACTTGAATAGTTAAATAAAGGGTCTTAAGAATAAAAAATTTAGATTTTTGTTTCATTTTAAACATTTTCATGCTAGAAGCACAAAGAGTTCAGACTATAATTTATAATCATCCGTAATTTATACGAGTTAAATTTGCCTGCAATTTGGAGCCCAAAAGTGATAATTTGATTTAGAAGAGAAAGCTTTAATTGTTAGATTCATCTATTTCTTAATTTTAAACAGTGCTAAATTTGCATTTAGCTAGTAAATTGAATTTTAATTCACTCGATATTTTTTAATAAAAAAAAAATTTGAATATTAATTGAGTGGCTTAGTCTTTATACCAATTTATCGCTAAAAATTCTTAAAGTATTCTATTTAAAAGATTAGTTTGATCATCAACATAATCAATGAATCAATACAACAACAACCCCAGAATAATAACCAATAAGTTTATCAGTATAGATAGGAATTACTCCCTTTAAATACACAAACATTAATTGCCTTAAAAATTTTTTTCATTAGCACAAAGACCATACCTTTTTAATAGCCAATATTAGCAACATATATTAAATGTCCCAGTTTCTGATGTTATGAAATCTAAGGATTGAAAATAATTGTTGGTCTTGGAAATAAGGAAATAAGCTTGCAACAATAATTATCGAACGGCAATTTTAGGATAAGTTTAATTTACTAAGCTTAAGATTGCTCTCCTTAAATACATGCTAAGAATTCAGAATTACCATAAAAATAGTATCGTTTAAAACATTTCTTGAGGCTCCTGATTTTTGTTTAGCGGATATCTTAAGTTATTTTCTCTAATGAAAGAATGTTAGAAATTTTTATTGATTAAATATTTATGGGTGGAATATAATGTAGATTATTTGAATTATGAATTCCTAAGTTTTAAAATAGTATATGATTAATGATATTTATTTTTTTATATTTTTAAATAGATATCCTCAATTGTAGATTTCTTGAACATTCTTTTGAAGGGATATTTCTATTTTTACTATAATTAGAATTGTTAATATGCAACCCCATATATTATGAATGTTTGATTAAAAAAAATGCAGATGATAGAATTTTTAAATGCATCATTCAGATTTATAATCAGTAAAGGAATAAAATCAAAGATTCCTCTAAACAACGTTCAAATTATATTGAATAGTTTACAAAAAAATGGATTAGGATATATATAAACATTGGAAAACACTGAACCTATTAGATATTAAATTTACGAATTTTCAATCTAAATTCTAATAATTAAAAAGTTTTACTAAACGAATAAGGAAAATAAGTCAGGTATCTTTTTGAATAATTATTATAAAAGAACAAATAAATGAGTATTTTAAAAGGAATAAGTTGTTAGAATAGAATAATACAACATATTGAATAGTATAATCTCATTATGGGAGTAATGATTAAATGAGGAGTAACTTAAAACCAAAGAATATTTTCTAAGATCAGATAATATTTTATGCGGTAGGAAGTGATGGATTATTTAATAGAATCAAATATATTCATATATTTAACTATAGTTTTTGATTGCAAGATGCTATTAAGAGTTACAACACATCTATTTCAATTAATTCAAATATCATATAGTTTGAACAATATAAGTGAATCAGATTATAATTTAATGTTGTCCCAACTTTTATTCCAACTATATATTAATACATGAATTAAAAAAACATAAGCTTATTCTAATTACACCTTTGATTAAGTACATTTTTTTGCCTCAATCTTCTAGAAATGTAAAAGTTCTATATTAAATTTACCTTTACCCTATTCTTTATTAACCAGTTGTCTATCTTTTATAATGCAAATTTGATCCTTGATTTTATCAACTGTTTGAGATAAAGATAAGTAAGAAACCATAATTGAATTTGTCTATTATTCTACTTTTAATCAAATTAAATAAATAAGGAAAGCTTCCAGTTCATAAAAATAACATTTGCCGAATCATTTGGATTTACGACTCAACAAACAAATCTATCTATATATGAGATAAATAGGAGCTTATTGTCAAGATTATTGTATTACAATATATTTGTTTTTTCTGAATGAGTTGAAAAAATAATACTAGAATTGAATAATTAACAACAATAATTATCTCCACTTGATATATCTGGTTCTTACATTATCATAATTTAATATAAACTTTAATCATTATACTGTAAAATATAACCTCATATATTAGCAGAAATGTATCTACTGGTTTAGTTTATTTAGTTTGAAAAAAAATGTAAAAGGGAAGTTTAGTTGCTTAAGAATTCAAGGTAGATGTTATTTCAATTTTGACAAGCAAATTTAGTTATTTTGATGATGTGTGATTAATAGTTAATACTCAATTACAATTTGATTAAGCGTTGAACGATCAGATGATAAAATTATTTGCAGCGTGAAGTTTATTGGATAATACTATTATTTATTAGCTGAGGAACTGAATTCTATTGCATTTGTTTGGAATTATAATTAAAGTAAACATTAGTTTAATGATTACTTTTTTTCAAACATAAATTTCAATCAATAAATTCTCCTTATTGTCCTTCACTACAATTTTAGTGTATCTTATTTGATATTATTCAGCAAAATGTTTATTTTCAAAGCTTTTTGAATTTAACTACAATGAAGCTTCTTGGCAAATGTATTTCTTCAATTCTAAATAATTCTCTTAAATTAGTATTGCTCTGCAGATATTATTTTGACAATACAGAGTTAGAATAGAATCACTTCGATTTTTTCAATAAAAATGAATAATTATGACTATCCTTGAGCGTATTTAAACCCATCATCTACATTAATAATGTAATGGACATAAGCCAAAAATTTAATTAAAACTATTCTAATGATTGGAAGCAATCCTACTTAAAATTCAAACATATTCTTTAGCGTTTTAATCCTCAATATTTATTTCTGATTTAAGTTGATTTAATAGGATTATTTAAAAATTTTCGATTTCATTAAAGTTGTTCTATTCAGTTTTGAGTATGAAAAAACTTTCCTTTTATTCAAACTTAACTTGGTGATTAAAGTTTTCGTTTAATTTACCTGTTCATTCTTTATTGACTTTAGTCTTCAGGCTTATCTAATATCAGAAAAATTCCTTTTGTATATCTGGAGATATATTGTATGAAAACCTGTGATATTTTGATTGATTATGGCATTATGCTTCACTCAAAATTTCAAAAAATTCAGAGGACTTAGATCATATATCTTAAAATACTAATAGAAGGGATTATAAAGTTATATAAATCTAAAAGCTTCATATAAAATATGAAATTATTCTTCTAAATTCAATATAAACACCACATAAAAATATACGAACGATAATATCTACAGATGTACTATCAATAATAGGTACAAACAACCTTTATTTATTTCTCTTTGTAACTTGAAATCTTATTCTATTTCTTAATTCAAAACAGTTTATTGATAGCTCATGCTTCTGATAAATGCTTTAAATATTGTCTCTATGTTAAAAATTGATATAAATTAAGTTTTCTTTCAATTTTGTATCTATAGCTATTGATTTCCCAATCATTTTTTTGATTTATAATTTAGATCGTTATCCTAAAACTATTTTAACAATGATATTAAATCTTCTTAAAGTGAGAAACGTAAAAAATAAATTTGCATGAAAAATTTTATAACTAAACAACCTAATTGAATCGGAGCACTTTTTTTTTTCTATTTTACATAAAAATCAGAAAAAAGAATTGATGATAAATCATATCTCAATATTTAGTATTAGTTTTTAATCTTAAATATTTTCTGTTTCTAATAGTTGATGAATAGTTATTATATTAGAAATAATAAATTGAAAATTACCTTTTAAACTATAAACTCTCAAATTTTACTTATTTTTATACAATTTCTATCTATCTCTTATATCTATATATCTAAATAAGTTTATAATTAATCAAAATAATTTTATATCTTCCTTCACAATCATTAATGTTTCGAAAAAGATTGTTCATCACTATGCAGATATAGAAATTTCATATTTACATACGACTGAAAATATATATAAAAGGTTGAAGCCTGTTATAAAAATTGATAAGGTTAATTGATATTAAGACTTTTTCATTTTGATATTTTTATTCCCTTTCTATTCAGATATATATGCAGTTGGAATGATGTTTCAATTCATCCATAACCTGCATCGTAATAAATAGCAAATGAAAACCCATTTTTATTATTCACTTCCAATTGGCAGATTGTATTTCTTATAGAACCATTCAAGACACAAAATAATAATATTGATAATGATTAATTCTAAGAAAATATTTTTGATAGAATAATTTTTTTGTATATTTATTAAGATTTTATTCAATTTTTATTATTTATTTTTCTAAATATGTCGATTGCCAACTTACCAAAAGGAGGAGTCAATAGGGGAATCATTATACCTTTGTTCATTCCATGCCCCAGTTAGTGTGTATGTCAATCCTCAGAACCAATAGTTTGGTATTGTTTATGTGGAAGTGCTATGTATCTTAGTGAATATGGTGATATCTTTTGTTAAAATCATTTAAAGTATTGTTCAGGAAACTTTATTAAGAATAAATTTTTCTAATGTGATAAGGCAAAACAATCTAACACTAGGTATTAATTCAAATCGATTTCCTAAATTTTGTTATCACTATCTCAGTGCTTGTCGGTCTTAGAAGATACCATCGATCATTAATAACAAAGATTTTGTTAGAGTTTCTTAGAAAACGTATGTAAAAGATGGCATTCTTGATTCCTTTGAAATTATATAGTTTGTTATCAAATAATTAAAAATACAACGAGATTTGTTTAGAATAAACATCGAATTTTCTTACTAAAAAGCACTTCATAGTAAGGTTGATATAATTTAATTTTCCCTAAATAGCTCAATTATGTTCTTATTTTAATCCATAATAGAAAAAAATTTTCACATGAAATACATTAGCTCTTTATGGATCCATGTATGAATTTCAGCTGTCTTTATGTAACAAACTGATGACCTAAAATTGAAAATTTGATTTTATATGTCTGTTACTCATGATAGTAACATCAATGATATTGTAATAATTCTATAATTAAAAATTGTACCATCATCCTACTTAAGCAGAAAATTACGCATGTTATGTCTTTTAATTAAATTCTACTTACATCAAAATATCTACCTTGGGCTAGCTTATATTAATTTAAATTTTTTTACATATTCAGAATTATCACTGCTTTCTATATTCTAACAAGGTTCTTTTCAAAAATAAAAAGAGCATGATTCTTTAAAAATGTATTTTTTGCCATTAATTATTATATGATTTCCTTGCACTTTTCATCTCGACATTATGATTTTTTAATCTAAAATTTCAGCTGACAATATTAATTTTCTCTAAAAACAATACCAAACTATTATATATTCATTACATGCAACCATTATCATAATAAGGCGTAAATTGGAAGAAATCCTAACAAGAGTATTGTGAATTATTTAAAGATAAATTATTTCAGTGAGAAATTTAACTTTTCATTTTAAGTTTCCGTTGGAAGGCTAACGGATTAGTGGAGACTAGAATAAATATATGTCCTAATAGTGTGAAAAAATTAGTGTCTATCAGCCTGTTTGATATGAATAAATTTAAATTTAATAAAAATTAATAATTTAATTAGTGTCGATATATTGTTTGGTTTGGAAAATATTTCCAAAGAGTAACAGACCTACATGACAATAAATATTTGATATGATGGAGACTGTGGAGTTAACACAATAATAATATTGATTAAATTAATAATACTAAAATGCAGTGATGTTAATAATTAATAGAGTAGATAAAACCATTTTCTTATTTATTCACACGAGATATAGTTCTAAATGATGATCTTTTAAAATATGTATACAAATAAATTCTAATGATGATTCTGATTTTTGAGTTTGCATGTTAGTTAATGGGTAAATAAGCATATTGGATCATAATTCAGAAAACTAATCAAACCACAGCTTAAAAAATCTGAAGGTTTTGAGCAAAATATGCCTTTACTTTTTGGCTTCGATAGTTTCTATTTGGTTGATGAATGTCCATAATCTTTCTTCTTCATCTTTATAAAAACGATTTTATTCTTATTTCGAACTAAATATTATTTTTCTTATTAAAGTTTGTTTATTAGAAATCATGACTAACATTTTACAATCATAAAATCGATATATCATCCTAAACGTTTCAATGCCAAATACTTGAGCTAAGTTCAAAATGATTTAATATTTATTGGCATAATATAAATATCAATTCATCCTTAAATGATAAAGGTAATCATTTTTCTAAGGGTAGTTTTAAGATAATTTTTATACTATGTAGATACTATTCAAAAAATGCCTTTCTTAGTTGGTGCTTTATTCATAAATAAACCTTTTCTTAATTTTATAAGTGATTTGTAAGAAAATCTATCATAAATAGAATTTAGATTTTTCTAGAAGTTTTGTAAGCAAACCTTAGAAGGCAAGGGTAATATAATTAGTTTACACATTTTGAGTCCAAAAAGAATGAGGAAGATATTTAGCAATCAGTTAATATAATAAAATGATTAGACTTATTTGAAAAATAATTCTTGTAATGTGAGATTGAAAAAAATTTTTAGAAATATACTCTTTTATGCTTTGTTGGAATAATAAATCATATTATTTACAATAGAAAAAAAGAGAAAAGGATGGCTATTATGAATTTGAATTGCAAGAGCTTTTTAATTGTTATTTTATGGATAAACTGAGAAATTCAGGTATCTAGGAACTTGGTTATCCAAAGGGGAACCTCAAATACCAAATTGAAACAATTAAAGAATTGTAATTTAAAAAGCTAGATAACTTGGATTCTTGAAAAAAATCTTGCCGTTTAAATTGCTAACTTATGATACTCTGATAAAGAAATTGTTGAATGAAAATGAAAATTATAATCTGGGAGAGCTTCCTACAGAAGGAATTTGATATGATGGAAGGGATGGAGAGAGTTTTTATCTCTTTTAGAGAACGACGAAATTAAAAGGAGGAGCCAACCTCAAGTCATCCGCAGAATCCCTTGTTATGAATTCTTCGAACCCTTTAAGCATGGGCGGAGAAAGTGTAAGACACATGGTAAAAACATGACGATCTTAATTAATTAATCTGCTCAACTTGGTTTGTTTTATTATTCTATTATGGGGGCTTATAAAATTTCTTTAATTTAATTTGTTTTTAGGTAATAAAGCAAAAAGTGAATTCATCATTATCCATCTGAAATTTTAATTGTTATTTCCCTAAACACTCTAATCATATTTTATGTTTCGATTTAATTGTATAATCTTCCTAACTTTATAGTAGATCACTTTTTCACATTTATTAAAGAAAAATCATGCCTTTATCAGATTGTTTACCTCCTCTTTATATGCAAATCACGTATGTTTACAAGCAATCTACTTTCAATTCTTAAGCTTGATATTGTTAATCTAAATTTTAAGGATTTGTCAATGCTTATTTATCAAGATAACTGACTCATAAATAATGAAAGATAAAATATATGATCTTAGAAATTGGTTGAACCTATCACCTTCTATTAGGAAATCATAAATGGCAATCAAAAAAAGAAAGAAGATATATCAAGGTTGTAATAAGTGATAGTTATTTTATAGGAATGTATTTTATTTTTTACAGGTCTCTTTACATAAATGAGGAAACATTGATTTAGACTTGATTATATAACATAATACTACTATTAGAAAACAGCGAACAATACATTCGATTTGTTGATATTTATCAGCATTATGATAAATTATTTTGCAATTTCTTATTTTTAATATCAAACCTTATAAAAGTGATATGGAACAACTTACGTTTCGCGAATCCTTGTTATTAATTAATGAAATAAATTTACCGGGCTAAAACGTTTTTTGAAGTTCTTATATCATAATTTTCACGTTTTAATGTTGTTTTTTAAATTTATAAGATATAATTTAAAAATTTAAGTGTAATCTTAAAAGAAAAACAAATGATTTTTAGATTTATCACTAGAACTGGATAGATGATAATCAAAATATTATCTTACCTTATAATGCTAGATTTATTTTAGAAAAAAATAGGCTTCTATAAATGAGTTATAAATTAAGTTGCTAGAATCTTCAAATCCTGAGATCAGTATGTTGATTTTATACTCTAAAGAATATTTTATATAATAATCTTAAAATCCTAAAAAAACATTTTTGTTGAAAATCAATTTTAAGCTTTTTGAAATTTATTAACACTAATCATATTATTCAAAGACTAAAGAAATTAGTATTAAAAAGTATTGCAAAAGAAATTTTTTGAGAGGACATTGATGAGAAAGGATTATGAATTTATCGAAGGTGTAATGTCTCTTATCTTTAAACCTCATGATTATTGTAAAGGAATTCATATAAAATAAGATTATAAGAAAAGAAATAATATCCTAAAATCTAATTATGAAATGATGCTTTTGATAGAATGAAATAAGGCAATAGAACAAAACTTAATACTAAAACTAAATTCAGAGGTTATAAACAAAGTAAAATGGTATCGTATACACTTGTAAAGTGCTACATGATAGGTATTCTCGTTCAAATGGTATCAATCAATTAATTTTCTACAAATATCATTAAATACTAAATAGGATAAATTAAAGTTTCAGATTGACCAAATTTAGAATATGATTTTCAAAAGTTTCTATTCAAATTAAATACCCTTCTTCATAAATACTCTATATAATACAAAATCTTTTAATTATTACATATTATTTTCTATTTTGCTTATAATATTAAATAAAATTAAACAGATGGCGATTTAAAATCAACAAAATGGCTACTCATACTCATTATTTTAGACAAAATATTGAAAATGATAGAATAGATTTTGAATCATGTATCCCTCTCTATTCTCATTTATTAATTGATACTTTTTATGAAATCTTCTTATTTTTTTATAAGTGCTTATCTGAAAACAATGTTAATATCTTTTGGATGCTAGAATAGAAAGAATTATTAACAATTATATATTTATAATCCTTTACAAGAAAATAACTTTAGTTCGACTTATTCCATAATAAATTTTATTATAATAGAATTCAAACATTATTGGAGTTTAAAAGGAGAAGCAAGAAAATGTATATTCCATTATAAAAAGAAAATAAAAATGAGATCGTCAACTTCTTAATAGTATGAGAATCGTGAAAATATGTGTCAAATTCATAATAGCGAGAGAATTGCAATAGATCTAAATTCAACATAAAATGGATCCATTAAATACCTTTGTTGTAACTGTGTAGTTGAGTAGTTGAATAACAATAGGGTTTCAACAATTTAACAAACATAAGCGAGAATTTAAGAATATAAGGCTCTAAGATAAGAAAAAAGAACTAGAGATATCTAGATAAAGCTCCAATAATATAAAATAGTACTTGAAAAATATATAGAGTTTAAAATTAACGCTTGTAGTGCTTTGGCTAAGATCGAAGATTAAATAAAAACATAAATTACTATTCTAGAAGAAAAGCAATCTTTATTAAAAAATTTTTAAACTACCTCTAATTTTTAAGAGGATGTTAAATAATTGTCTGAATTTTTCATTAACTGAAAAATAAATGGAATTTCAATAAGATACCTAAGCTTTTGATGATTTAATTAGAGAAATTGAGCTCATTTTTAATAAGGCAGCATACAACTAAACTATTTTAACTTTTAAGGAAGCTAAATAAAAGATATAAGAATTCAATGATGATAATTAAATTGAATTAATGCCCCTGCAATTTGGAGATAATAAAGTAATTATTTAGATTATCCAGAAAGCATTAAGTTTAAGTAGACTTTGTCCAACCCATAATAAAGAAATACTTCTGATTGACATAGAATCAAATAATAAATCAATAGAAGACAGATTTGCTTGCTTAGAATGCCTTGGGGATGAAGGCGTTAATTGCAAATAAAAATCAATAGAAAAAATAAATTTGTTATGGAATCAAAAGAAAAATAATTAAATTAAAATTGTTGAAGAATTAAAATCAAAGAGGTAATTAAAATAAGAGAAATTAAACAAAAAAATTTAGTAAATGAGAGAGAATTACAATTCAAAAATAAATTCCATAAGCGAACAATTAATAACAAAATTTCCGTTTCCGACAACCAAAACAAGTGAATTTAGTTAGTTTAAATAAGTTTCAATACAATAATTAAGCAATGAAGAATTGTTTTAAACTATTAATTATCTGATTCAATATGATAATGATAATCATATTTAAAATGAGTATACGATAACTAAAGAAATTTAATTTTCAAAATCAATAGAAAATTAATTAGAGCAATTAAAATAAGATGATTTGTTAGATATTTAAGAGTCAATTAATATTTTGCATGATTAATCAAGTATCAAAAATGGTTTATTATTAGCTGACAAACAATTATAGTTAATTATTTAACTATCAAAACTCATTTAGGATAGTACAATTGTTAATTAATAAAAATAGATAAGAAAACAAGAGATGGATGAATTCATAAGTTCTTCTAAGTAAATATATTGTTAGTTGGATTTGTTGAATTAGACAGTTTACAAATTTTAATAGCACATTAAAAAAGTTAATTCTATTAAAAATAAAATATAATCAGTTCCAGATCATGAAAGTTTTTCAAATATACAACAACAACTTAGTTTTTATTTGAATAATTTTGAAAAGGATTTTAAGGATCTAAAGAAATTTTGTGAAATAGACTAATTGGAGAGTGCTCAATTAACTTTACAATAAAATTATACTAAATTGCATTTGGAAAGTAAAAAAATATTCAATTAATTAGGCAAGGAGTTAGAAATATAATTACAAAACATTGTAGATGAAAAGAATGTATTGATTGAAAAATTGAAGGTAGAATAAATTAACAATTTGAATGTTAGCAAAAAAAACAAGAATAATAAATAATCATATAAAATGAAATCAAATTACTTGACTAAAAGACTAAAGACTAGGAAGTTTTAATAAAAACGTATGAATCAGTGTTAGATAAGTTAGGATTAAATATAAAACCAAGATTATTGTAAGGTGCTTTTTGGGTTAGATTATTCTTTTATATATAAGAAAAATCAAAACAAAAAATCTAAGAATCTCTATTACTTTATTAAGGAACTAGAGATGGATTGAATAAAGATTAATTTTGGAATAAATGTTATGGAAAGAGTAATCTTCTTATGATATTTTAATCAGAGAGCGGATACATCTTTGGAGGATATTCTCCATGTTAATGGTCAGAGGATGATGACTGTTATGGTCACGATTATTCATTAACATCATTTTTATTTTCATAAACGCATGTTGAAATCTATCCTATGAAAGAAAATAGCGAATACAACGCCATATTCACGAGTAGAATAAATGGGCCTGTATTTGGAAATGATTAAGGTTATGGTAATGATTTAATGATAGAAAGTGATTTTAAATAAGGTCATTCTAATTTAGGTTATGGATATTAATGGGATTAATGTGAGGATACCTATTCAAATCATCTATTTGGATAAAATGAACCAAATATAATTGAATGTGAAATATATGAATTAAAATTAATATGAAATAGTACTTATAGTGATCTAAAATATACGATTGCTATTTAAAATATCAATTCTTAGCAAAAAAAATCTTTGAAGATTTAGTTAAACCTTAGGCATTGATGATTATCTGGATTTAATTTCTCTCTCTATGACAAATCTTTAATATCTTGCATTATAAACTACTGGAATTAATTATAACAAGAAAAAAAAACTATCGATAAAGAAATCTGGATTTTAGAATAACACATTAAAAAAATAATGAGCTAGATATTAACTAAGATAGCGAAGTTTTATCTAAAATCCAAACACAATATTATTAGTTTCAATGAAATAAAGTATTGAACTGCCTAGTATAAAGCAATATACAAAACTATTGCTATATAACTTATGTTAACTTCAAATAATTGAGTAGATAATTAATAATAAATTTATATGGACATCATGATTGCTGATTGGTTGATAGAAGAAGAATAATAACTACATTTTTATTTATATTCACAAAGAAAATATTAGATAAGTAAAGAACTTGATTATTTAGATGTTTTTCGAGAACAATAATAGTTTAGAGTATGAACATATAAATTTAAAATCTTTGGCTCACCTATTTTGATGTATGATAAAGTTTCCAACTAAAAATTATATAATTTATGATTAAATATTCTAATTTGATCAATAAGGTGGTTAAAAATAAATTTTAGATGTATTTTATACCTCAAGATTCGAACTTGATAATTAAAATGATGAATCTGTTTATGTGAAATACATCAATATCAATATCGAAGCATTATTAGAATCTCCTTCTATATCTATAGTAATAAAATTTTGTCATTATTTGCATTCATTAGTAATTGAGAGGCACAAAAAAGTTTTCAGAAACTAAAATTTAGTCATTAAAAAATAGGATACAACATACTTTTGCTCATGAATCTTGCTAGAATGAAGTAATACAGAATATCCATAGCATCAGTTGCTTTTATTCTATATAAAGATATGTGGAGCAAAAAATAAATTGCTTATAATTTTCATTCTTATAAGTGGTTTTAAGAGAAAACTCACTTCTACCTTATTCAATCAAATTATTTAGACATGTAAAGTGAATTAAACTTAGTGTATATAAATTCTTCATTTAATTCTATCAAGATATTTGGTTATGCAATTATACAATAACTGTAAAGAATGATTTTTAAAAACATTATACCAGAGTCAAATCATAAAATAGTTTTTATTCTAATTTGGATCAACAATCAAAAGGTTAAGACCTATATAAAAATAGTTCATTCCTTCTAGTTAGATATAATAATTATTTCATTAATATAAGATCCTCATGAGTAAGATTAGATATCATAAACATATATTGAAAACCTACATAAAAACTTTCATTAACACTATATTAATCATAATTTAGGTGATATAGATCTCATTTTTAAATCTTATATTAGTGAAATTCTAATTCAATAATATTAAACTGACAATTTCTCAAATTATCAGGAGTTTTTTAGTAAGACAAATTGACTTTGTTTAAAAAAACAGCTCCTAAGTTTACAAATACAGAGTTTCTTATTGCCTGTGGTTTATAGTGAGTAGTAGTGTCAAGAAAATCATTGTAAATTTGCTTTTAGAAATACTCTATCATTTGCAAGTATTGCTCCTTCTGCTTGAGACTAAATCTTCGAGTTTGTTTTCTCACTAATTTTGGGCAGCTTTTTATTCATTAATACAATTTACAAAATTTAACCTTTCAAATTTAAAATATCCAAGAGAAAATCTAAATTCATTTGGCTTTTCGAAATTAATCTCTCTCTGAGTTATTCCAACTCCTTTAACTATGCAGCATTGTGATTTAAGATAAAAATTTCAAGTAAAATTGATCCTTCAGTTCACTTTATATCATAAATATTATTCTTTAGTAGCCCTGCTACAATGAATCTAATTTTAATGATATGCAATTGGAAATTTCAAAGAGTATAAGTTAATTCCTTACCAAAATTATTGACATCCAAAATTAAAGTTTTTTTTCCACCTTAGATTATAAAAATGTAAGGATGAAATAGAACTAATTGAATAATTTAAGCTATGGAAATAAAATGCAAAGAATGATTAAACCATCTCATCTTAAATGTAAAAAAAAAGAGCAATCAACTACAATAGCAATAGAGTACCAGGCAAGAGTCTTTGCTTTTACTTTCAGCAAAGAAATCAAATATCTATATTCTCATACTTCTTTAATGACATCCTCCTGATAGGATCTAGTTCCTTCTGATACTAAAATTTGGTTCAATCAAGAATTAAGAGTATTTTCTTAGTAAAATTAAGAAGTCCACTTTAATCAAGATTAAAATGACCCTTCATTTCATTTTTATAACATCTGCCATTATTTCAATTCAAACAATAAACTTGACAAGAAAATATGCTTACAATTTATTAAGATTTTCACAGGCTATGATGATTTCATCAAGTTTTTAATTATTTTAGCTATTTGTATTTCCTCTCATATAGCAGTTCCATGCTAATTTCAAAAACTTTAGCATGATCAACTCTTTTTGTATCTAATTACAAATCGCATTCTTCTATCCACAAATGATTTTGTCGAATCTATTTGAGGAGAAATACAAATAAATATTTAGGGGATAGTAATAAAGTTTTTAAACATGAATCTTATCCAACTGCCTCAGCAATTTAAAGAAACTGCTGGTAAGATAAATTTTAGTAGTTGATTCACAAATCAAAAGTAAAATTTAACTTCTATAATAAATTTATTTAATATCTAATATAAAAAATCTTTAATTTAATAATTGTAATAGACTATTGTCTTCTCGCAATTATATTTTCTTTCTATTTAATAGGAAATGCTGCAACTTATACTAAATTCAAATCCTTTTAAAGTGGGGCTTAAGCTAAGATATAATGATAGAAAACTGATCTCAGGTAAACAGAGATTGAGATTGATTAAAAATTTGATTATGAATAAAGCAAATTATCCATATAACTTTAGATTTTGCTAATGCAAAACAATAAACAAATGAAAAGGAGGAATTCATTGAGGTTGGTAAAAATGGGAATTAATTATTTAATGAATTAACAAACTTGCTTCTCTTCAATTTATTAAAAATTATATACTGAATTTTTGTAGTATGATAAATAATTAATGGCTTAATATAATAAGTAATAATATACATTATTACTATTATTTATTAATATATGGATTAAGAAGTACAAGTTAAGTATTTTAAGCTTCCAAAAAAAGAAGATATTGATACAGGATTGTTAATTTTTGTTTTAGATTGTTCAGGATCTATGGCAAGCTGTATTCTTCCTATAATATCTTATAGATTGGAAATATGTGGCTAAATATCATAATGAGTTAAAAGAAAAGGCCATCATGTCAATAGCTATTACTTTCGACACATATGTTAAAGTATTGCAGCCTAATGAAAACATATCTCCAAACATATATTAATATGGAGGAGAAAGTACAAATATTACAAGTGCCTTTGTTGCATTAAATCAAGAAATTAAAAAAAGAGAAATTACAAGAGATTTAACAGTAGTGTTTGTTTCTGATGGACAAGGTAGTTATGATGAGAATGCAATCGAGAAAAATATGCCTAAGGTAAACAATCTAAATTTTATTTGTGTGGGAGTAGGAAATGGATTTCCAACTCATATTTCAATGAGTCTTAGAGCACTCTATCACACAGGCAATTTTTCAATACCTCCTGTGTTCATAGTTTCAGTAGAAGATTAATCAAGCAAATAAAGAGAGGAATTTTTAGATTCTATATTTAAGGAGGAATTTTAATCTGTTGGGGTTATTTTAAAACCAAGAAAATAATGCGAAACTACCCCTTGCCTGTGTTTTCCTTGGAGTGAGGAGAAGACAACCATGGTTTGGTCTGGTAGTTGGGTAGGCAGCAACGATGATGAAATCACTTTTGACGGAAAAGTACTCCAGCCTTCAAGTCCATCTGAGACTATGATATTAGAATTGGCCTCTTATTGGTTATAGAATATTTAATTGCTTTCGTTGAAATCAAAGGTGAAATAGGAAGCATAATTTGCTCTTTCAGAATTAGAAAGGTTATCAAATTTAATTCCAAAACTTCAAAATTAAAAGAAATAAAAAACATTTGCTTAAAGAGTGTAAGAATCTGAATTTAAGGATACAGGACTCTCAGATCTTGTCGCAGAATTGAAATTGTTCACATAAGACTTTACATTAAATTAATTAAGCGATAAGGATGCTGCTGAAAGATTGAAGATTGGAACTAAAATAGGTAAATTTCACGCCAGAGCTCTTAAATTTGCAGGATTATCAATTGAAGAATTTACAAAAGCCAAACAATAGTTCATTGAGTGTCTTAAATAACATAAATTTGATGGTAATGATGGAGATAGATCTATTATGACATTATAAAGCTAGAAGGAAATATTACAAGAAGAAGATTTAATTTATGGATTAGAAAATTGTTCATCTTAATATCAATTGGTGACAGCATTTCCAATAATAGGTTATGGATTATAAGTTAAAAGAACAAATGCAAGCATGATTGATCCATATAAGATTGAAATTGTATCTCTGGTTAGGATTCACAAATTTTTAGATTCTGTTTCCTTAATAGAGAATGCTTAACATGAATTAAAGTTTTAAGTGGGAAATGGACAAGAGGAAATAGTCAACTGTATTCTCCCTTTGTACACAAAGAAGAATGAGGATCTGAAGCCATTCTTCAGATCTTTAATATTTCACTCAATAATGACATTTGTGGTTTGTGAGAATGCAGATGTGTGTTTTGATTAATCCTATGCAGCCTTATTAGCAAATACTTTATTTTATTTGATTAGACAACAAAAGTCTGAATGGACTAAGGAGATGATAAGTTTAATCAATGAGTCGTATACTTTGGCTTATGAGTAACACAATAAGAGTTTCACAAATAAGTTAATTTACAACCCAATCTAAAGCTTAGTTGATTTTAACAAGGATTTTGATACTCAATGTATGGATACAATCAAGGTTGTCCTTATTTTATCTGCCAAAAAGGATCAATTATAATAGGAATAAGTAAAAAATATTCTTGATAGATTTGTAATTGAAACTATAGGGAGAATGTTGAAAGAAATGGCTCCTAAGGATCACATAAATATGTTTTTCAATTAAGAGAATGAGCATTAAATAATAAAAGAAGCATCTAAGAGAATAATTAATAGGTTTGATGATGAAAAACTGAAAGAATATAATTCAATATCTGCAATTAATTATTAAATTTTCAATGAAATTGAACAAAACAAAGTGGAAGAATGGCAATTGCAAGTGAGATTCAATAAGGATCAAGTAATTAAATTGTTATCACACACTAAATATAAATACGAAGATTTATAATGCATTTATGAGTACTTCATGCAAGAGGAAATTCCCGAAAACTTTTTTATTGCTGCCGTATTTCATGCAAGATATCAAAGATCAATAGAAAGAGCAACAAATAAGTTCATTGTAGATTTTGATTTACTTAATACAAAAATTTTATCCGTTAAGCACAAATTCCTTAAACTAGAATTGTTGGAAAAATGTAAAGTGGAGATAAAATCACATATTTAGAAGATGGGATTCAACATTTTGTCTATGTAAAGAAGGCCTGAATCTGGAAAACGTGGAAGAAGTAGACCAAATGCCAATAAGTTATAGAAGTAACCATGATTACAATTCAGATAATTTGATTCCTGTATTGAAACTATATCTAGTAATGTACTTTTTGTTTTTCTGCCCTTAAAATTCCAAAATATAATTAAATTCCTTATAAAAAAAAAATTAACATAAATAATTATATGCTTTGATAACAAAAACAATCAAATATACAAAAACTAATATATATTGTGGTTTCAATTATACCGAACTTTAAAATACGAACATATCATATAGAGCCACGTTATTTAGATATATTCCATATTTCTAAATTAAATCTTAATTATCATTTAGAATCTATTGTAAAAATTATGAATTGTAAAATCACAAAGCAATTCTAGCAATTTAGCATATGATATTTTTGATACTGATCTTCAAAAAAACACATATAAATTGTTTTATGTTCTCAATAAAAAATCCAAAAATTATTGAAAAAGTCATTATAAAGGATTATTTAATAGAGCAATTCCATCTAAACATATTTGTTCCAATCTCACTGTTCATGAGCAAGAAATTAATCCAATTTTCATATGCCTATAGGCATCATTTTAAATTCAGTTGACTTCTAACTTAGAATTCTTTAGAGACCATAAATTTATATCTCAAAATGTGTTTGCTTATTAACTAAGAAAAAGAAATGAATCAAAACAAGTTTAACTGCGCTGCTTAATTATCCTTAAAGATTGTAAAAGTACAGAAAAAGCACAATTCAGAATTCTAGGCCTCTTTCTTCAATTAATAAAATGAATAGGATTGAAATCAATTTACTATTGGAGATAAGCTGTTTGATTTATCTAGTAGGAAAACAAAAGGATTGAATAAAGAATAAGATTAGAAGCTGACTAAAAAGTTTAAAGAAATGTATTTTGCATGCCCACTTAATTTCAATTTGGATATGAATTTTTATTTTTTTAAATTGATATCTTTAAATCAATTATCTTTTCTAAAATTCAATTAAGACTTAAAGCTAGCAAAATGAATCCAAAGAAAAAAAGTCTTTTTTATCTTGAGCTTTTAATACAAATTTCACATTTTTCGCTACTTGGATTCCAAGCATATGAATAAAGAGTGTATGACAAACATTAATATTGATCTAAGTTTTCTGGCTCTAAATCAACACATTAGGTTTAATTCCAAGTACATAATGTAACATCTTTTGAATCAATCGAAAAATAGAATTAGCAAGACTCTTCTGGCAATATAGAGCACTCCAAAGCCTTACATGTATCATTCCAATAGCAAGCACTAGTATCACACTCATCTATTCTTTTGTAATCCGAACATTAAGTTATTGTTCTTGTTTCACAAGCTTAAGTTTCCTTATTTCTAATACATTCTTTTTCATCATCAGTTACAAGCCAATCACAATGGTCGTAAGGAATCTTATCACAATCTGTGATACTCTTCGCAGACTCATTGCTTTTATTCATACATTTTATCGTCCCAGCTGTAATATCAATTGTACCAACATCTGCTTAGCATTTTATCAATTCATAGCATCTATTAGCTTGAGTGATTAAAAAACTATAATCAGAGCATTTTGTAAATTATTCGCATTTATCAAGTTAGTAATTCCAAGTACATTTAAAAGGGTCTGGAACTCCTTGACAATCGCCTTTATTAAATTCTTCGCAAGATTTGTTTTAACATAATAATTTATCACTGTCCCAATTACAAAACTCAAGAATGCAATCTTTATCTGTTTATAAGTTTTAACATGAGCATTCATAAAAAGAGGAAAGTTTTAATGTTGAGGTTTGATATCCAACAACTAACAAGGCAAATCCAATCAAATTGATCATTAATTCACTTTATTATATTAATTAAGAACTTATTAACATTCGAAATGACAATTATCGAAATTCAAAATATTCTACTAATAAAACAAAGCTTTCAAATAGTTTTAAAGGCAAAAAATGAAACAAATCTATCAGATATACCAATTTTAACAATAATGAATTGAAAAGTTGAAATATAATCTCTATGTAATTTTGAAAAAACATACATCAATTTTATTGTTTACTTAAATTCGTATTGTAGAATAAAGAAATTGCAAACAAATCTTTTATGAAATTTTAATTGATATATTTTTCTCAAGGATTTAAATACAATGTAATTACAAAAAATGTACAAATGTTTAGTTCAATGAAATTAGTATAGAATGCAACCAAAATTAATTATATAAGCTCAATCAAATTGAAATAAGGTTGCCATTTGAACAAATAATATCTAACTCGATTTAACCTGATTTTAGAAGAAGAATGAAATTGCAAAAAATACTTTAATCTCATAACAAAAACAAAAAGGTATGTGTAGTTCTTTAAAATTTAGGAATAATAAAATCAAATCCTTGGTTTGAATCTATCATTTTCTAAAAATAACTTATGGCGAAATGTTGAATTTAGAAGTTCCACTTTTATCAAAGTTAATATGTAGAAAATATTTTTATCGAGGGTAAATGTAACATACTTAATCAGCTACTAATTGAGGAGATGGAGAAGTAGAGAATACTTTAGAGAGAAAAATGTATAATATAATTGATATTAAGTGCATAATCAGAATTATTAAGAGTTTACAATAACAAAAGAAGGTAACGACTGGTATTATTAATGTGTCGAACTAATAGGGAGTAAACTTGAAATAATATACTTAGATTTAATCAAATATATGAGAACTATAATATTTGAATGATAGATAAAGGTGATAATCTAATGTATAAGACCACTTTCAGCATCTGCAATGATGTGAAACACTTTGCTAGCAAATATATTTTGGAAACTAATTGAAATAATTTATCTAAAATTAATCCTAATTTCTAGGCATAATAATAATCAAAGAAGTTGGAACTTATACTAACAAAAAGTGAAACCTATGTTGAATTTAGTTCTAAGAAACTTCAGACTATAGCTGGAGCTTTACATATAATCAACAAGTTGCTGAGAAAAGAGAGCAGAATTAGATGAGTGTATGGCCTAAAATAATCATAAATAGCTTTCTAATCTCAAAATTGGTTTTTTATAAAATTATTATTGTCCAGGGGGATATATTACAAAAATTTAAATAACTTAATTAATCTTCTGATTAGAAATTTTGGATCAAATGCATCTCATGACAAAATCTTGTAGACCACTCACGCAAAAATATAATTATAATTTGTTAGTAATTAAAAGACTTAATTACATTAATTTATAATCTATATATTTTTATAAACAAAATTCAAAGTGCTGTATATTTGCAACTAAATGAGGAATTGGAGGAATGAAGGATATAAAACTTTTTTATCTGTTCATAAAATATATGTCATGATATTTTAGTATTATTAAAGAATGAAACCATCGATCATGTTGGCATTCATATTTTTTTACTCCAAGTGTAAAACTTCAGATTAGGATATTAATGTTGAATGAGAGATGCTATATAATTGCTAATTTACATGTTATTGCTCCATATTACCTATCAATGCATAACATTATTTAAGCAATTTATAAGGTAATGGTTTTTTTCCTTTTAGTTTACCATAAATTTAAAATTTTTATTATTAGACAATTCAAGTACATTTAATTTTGCCCATCATTTATGATAGTTCCATAGATTTGAAATTTGCTGAAATTTAGTTAATTGTCAATTTGTATTCATCATTAATTTATCTAATGAAAAATAGAAATTTCTTTTTTTATACTTACTATTAAATTCCTCTCCATATTATAATCAATTAAACTGACATTTACTAATATTCTTAAAAGATTTCTTAAAGTCAAATACACAAAGCTTATTAATGTCTGAATTTGATGATCTATAATTTGAGTAATATATAACTTGAAATAATTTAATTATTGTAAATTAGGTTTCTGGTTTAAATTTCATCTATCATAACAAATATTTTAATTCATATTTAACTTTTCTCTACTTTCACAAATAATAATGAAATTTTTACTAATTAATATTCTAATTGCTTTAAAATTAATGACATCACATAATTATTATGTTTATCCAAGGAAGGTAGAAATGTAAATTTATTTCATTAAGATATGCTTCACAAACTTGAAAATTAGTAAATCATCCTTTGAATTCAATAAAATACATTAATATTACAAGTATGTGAGCTAATCCAATCAGTTAAGTCCAATTATCCTCAGCATCTTATTGTTTGGTTCCCAACCCCTGAAATAAAAGAATTCTATTTGCTACTATAACCAAAATTAGATCGAATGTGTATGCTTTTATACTGTTTAACTGATTTTATTGTTCTGTACATTTCAGTTGATCCCATGATAAAATCAAGAAGAATCAAAATGATTGCACCGCCACCATAATTCTAAATAATAGAATTGTTCTTAAATTTAAACTAAATTTCAAATTTTTTATGACAATTTTGAATAGCAGAGCTAATAATATCCTACTTTATTGTTTAAATTTAAACTAACTTCATTGTTTTAAATTAAGATATTATGCGGCTTTCTCGGCCAAGATCTATAAATATTATTAATGAGTCTAATGTTGGAATTATAATGAGTATTATATTTATTTAATTTTTCATAAAACTGTATTGATTTTATTATTAGTTATGACTATAAATTTTAAGTCTAGTCTTTAGCTAATCTAAAGAGAGGGCCAAGTAAACTACTAAAATGATGGAATTAATTCTTATTAATATCTTATACTAATATTACTCTCAATATTCTATATTATATGTTCGAATCCCATAGTTTGGATTGCTGATTCAAAATTTTAATGAATATATTGCACAATAGCCTTTGTAACTTGCCTTATTTTTAATTAGGCATTATCATAAATAGTTTAGCTTATATTAACAAAAAATATCGTTTGCATTTTCTAATATTTAGGGTTTAAACATTTAATTGAAATATAACATATATTGATTGAGTTTGAAATTATGAATTGAAAATTTTAATGAGACTCAAGGTTTTTATAGGACTAAAGCTGGAGCCATTTGAGCTTTTTTGAGTAATTAATAAATTGTTCGCGTTAGGATCTCCATATATTTTCTATTCAATTAGCTAATTTAGAGCAATAAATATAGAATTTTTAATGACATGACTCCACTAAAATACAAAAAAATAAACCTAATTAATATTAAATGCAGACTGTGGTGTATAGTTAATAAACGATATAGATCTAGAAAAGTGAATTTAATTATTTTTTCTTTACTTATTGATTTGATCATGAGATTTTTATTACAGTAAATCTAATCTTTCAAGTAAGAAGTTATAGGGGAAAGCTATAAGAATATTTATTCATATACTAAGAACTTCAAAGAAAAATAACATGGAAAGGAGTTAAATTCAACACTTCTCGAATTCAACCTCATCATTATATAAGAAGATTTTTTTTCTTTAATAAATTATGAGTTTATGATTTAGGTTGTTACATATTTTGTTAGACTCAGTTATAATCTGATTAATGTTTAAAGGTTTAATCAAAATCTGGAGATTTTAGTGTAACAAAGGTTCGACAATCAAAAAACTTATCTCTACAATAAAGTGCATAATTTTTGATGTTGGAACTGATAGCAGCCTTGATGTAACTTTAAACAAACTTAAAGTCTTATTTCAAATGAACCTGAAGAACCAAAATAAAAAATATAAATTAATAAAACAAACTGATATCTAAAATGATTATGCTCTATTAAAAAATCATTTTTATTGCTCTTAAAATTCTTTTTAATCATCCAAAAGAAAACTTCCTTTTTATTTAAAAAATGTTCTTAAATCCATATCTGATTGACTGATAAATTCTCCTTTGAAAATTAATGATCCTTATGCTTAAAATATCGGTTATTTGGAAATAAGGAGAATAGTAATATTGGATGCAACTAAGTAATAAGTAAAACAATTACCATTTTATAATAAAGAATGATTTTAAAGTGGAGATTATTAAAATGTATGATGCTCCTTAGAACAACAATCAGAAGCTGGAATTTTTTTTTCTGTATTAACATCCCATAAACGAATAGACTTATCCCCGCTACCAGACGCTAATGTCTTACCATCAGGAGAGAAGCATACTGATTTGACAAAATCACGATGATCCTCTAATTTTACCATTTATTATCCAGTTATAACATCCCATAATCGGATTGAGTTATCCCTACTACCAGATGCTATTGTAGCACCATTAGGTGAGAATGATATGGATAGAACTCCTTAACTATGACCATCTAATTAAACTTTTTATTATCCTGTCTTAACATCCCATAAGCGGATAGAGTTATCTGCACTACAAGATGCTAACATTTTACCATCTGGAGAGTAGCAAACAGATCGAACATAATCTCGATGACCATTTAACTAAGCTTTTTATTCTTTTGTCTTAACATCCCATAACCTGATAGAGTTATCTCCGCTACCAGATGCCAATATAGTGCCGTCAGGTGAGAAGCAGACAGAATTACTGTGACCAACTAATCTGGCCTTTACTAGTCGTGTTGTAATATCCCATAATCGGACAGAATGATCTGCACTACCAGATGCTAATATTGTATTATCTGGAGAGAAGCATACTGTTAAGACTGCATTACTATGACCATCTAACTAGGCTTTTAATAGTCCTGTCTTAACATCCCATAAACGAATAGTTCTATCTCCACTAACAGATGCTAAAATAGTTCCATCAGGAGAGAAGGAAATTTAGTTAACAGCATTTTCATGACCGACTAGTTTGGCCTTTAATTGCCCTGTCTTAATATCCCACATGCGGATAGAGTTATCCGCACTACCAGATGCTAATATAGTACCATCAGGTGAGATAGAAACTGAATTGACACTACTTTCATGGCCTTCAAGTTTAATTTATTCATTCATTTTGATATTCTTCCATTTGCAGTTAAATAATTAAGCGCCATTTAAATTCATTCCACTTATATCTACATTATCAAATTCGGATCCATTCAAATTGCATCTGACAAAGTTTACTCCAATCAAAGAAGTATCTTTAATCCTAATATTTTCAAAACTTTGCTCCTTTAGATCTGCCTTCATTTCGACCAGTAAATTAAGTGAATTTGATCCACATTATATGAATTAACTATCAATAGCTGTCAGGTTGACTAGAAACTTTAAAAATTGGATAATCCTCTCTTCTTTTTAAATTCTTTTAATTATATTTATTCTAGTTTCTAGGTATGCATCTGTTGAAAAATTCTTTTTGCTAAAATCAAGTTCATGAATGTCTCTAAAAACAGCAGTAATAACCTAAATTTCATTTTTGAGCCTCATCTCTTTGCTTTTAGGCGATAAATTTATTTCATTATTCACGTATTAATTCTAATATTTTTAAGGGAATTCTTTTTAAAGAAATCTAATTATATCAGAAATTTTATCTTATCTTAACATCGTTATCAAAATATCGAATAACTATTCATTAATACCTTTTGATTAAGCTAACACCTCATACAAATCTTCCTTTCTTTCATAGCCTTATGCTATTTCTTATCTTGGTTCAATCCTTATTTTTAATATCAATTCTTACTTAATTATTGAAGTAATCTCTTTCATTTCTTTATTCATCTTTTCACAGAAAACTTTAATTTCTTATTCCCACCAATTCTTTGTTTTTTCCAGCTTTTCCAGCTTTGCCAATTAGGAACTTTTTAAATCATTCCAATCTTATGATGGTTTTCCTATTAGAAATTATACTAATTATTCTAAGTTAGAATTAGAGAATTCTGCTAAATTAACATTTTCGTTGAAAAGATTCAAGTACAATTTATTTTACTATTCAATCTAATCATAAATTTATTTGATTGACTCTTACAACTCTTTCATAATGTCTCTCATCATGATTTCGGTTTGAGAGAGCATTGATTTGAAAGCCTTTCTCGAATGGATTAATTCTGCAATTATCTGATCTAGCTTAGATTCTTTTGATCTATTGATAACCATATTTTGAAATTTGTTTAGTGATACGATATTTTCAGAATAGATCGAATGTTCATCAAAGCACTATGCACATAGTTTCCTATCAAATTAACACTTATGAGGAGCAATACATATTAAAGAAATTTCATTTTTAATATGATTGGTACAATACATTATCTTATTTTAAAGTATATTGAATTTCTATTATTTCTTTTGGTCTTTAATATATAATATGTATAGAAAAATATTTTATAAATTTTTTATTCTTTATAATAAGACCATGTGTTAGCTTATAGAATATAAAGAATCATTAATGAATTAAATTAGAATTAAATAATTTTCATAAATAGATGAAACTTCTATTTAAAATTTTTTTATTGATATTCTGCTTAGCAGTTATCAGTCATCTAAATTGAATATGCAAATCACATTTATATATCTTCTTGATCATTTACACTTAGTAAATTTTAACTGAAGGAGAAACTATTATAAAATGTAAATGTAAACAAAAACAAGGAAGGAGATTTATTTGTTGTTTGTTGATTCATTTTTGGGTTACCTTTAATATCAATGATTGGAGAATTTTTTCATTAATAAACTAAATTGAAATAATAACATTAATCATTTATGAATGAAAAATTACCAAATCTTATATGAGGCAATAAATACATTTATATACTATCTTAATAAATTCAATAATCAACTTTGATAGAAATTTTTCAACTATATGATTATTTAATCATAATCTTGAATTGATCAGTTTTCAAAGTTATTAAAATATTGATCCTCGACTTTGCATATAATAAATTCATTTTAATTTGACTTTTCTGAATTTCAGCTTGATATACCCTATGAATTATTTTCTATTTATCAAAAAATATCTTTCTCTTTATACTTTTTTATTAGAATCCCAGTTATATAAGTAATCATTCTATGTTTTACACAATGTCTAATATTAATCATAAGTTTAAAGGAACTTTTTGGAAAAATAGTTACAAAGATTAGTAGATAGTTGGCTGTTCTAATTCATTTGAATTATATTCTGTGGTAATTTTAAACTTTCAAAATTGTAACAAGAATTGGATTAATCAGACTATTAAAAAATGCCTTGCTATATTTAAAATATGTTAAATTATCATTAGAAGTCAATAAATTTTAAGTTATTTTTCTTAGCTTAATTCATCAAAAAAAGATAGAAAATAACCAATAAAGTGCTATGTATGTCCATCCAAGATTAAAAATAAAGAGGAAGTGCTTTATCCATATTTCTATATCAAGTTGTCAAAATTACATTGATAAAGTATAATCGATCAATTTACAAAGAAACATCAATATTCCAAAGAGAGATTATAACATTTAGATGCAAAACAATTAAATCTTAAATTACATTATTAAGTTTGATGAAGTTGAAATAAGTTTTTAAATGAAGTTCAAAAATTCTCGGATGAAATGATCATGCAAATAAAAAATATATTTCAGAATTGAAATTAGAAGAATTGAATGATGACTCATTAAATATTGAAGAAACATAAATTATAACAAAGTTTTATTCAAAAGGTATTGAATCTTTTATTTAGGATATTGATTATATTATGAAGATAATAAATATGGGGAAGCAATCAAATTATTTGATGATGAATTGCTCATTAATCCAGAGCATATCAACTCTATCTATACAAAAGGTATAAATTAAAATACAAATGTTTTAGCTGAATGTTTAAAATAGCTTAAGAATTACAATGATGCAATTCTAAGGATTGATAAAGCTTATCTATAGATTCAATTCGTGTCAATTTGTTATATTCAAAATGTAAATCAAAACATCAATCTCTTAGCCCAATGCATATATCTGCTTGATAATTTTAATGATGCAATTCTATGGTGTGATAAGGTATTATTGATAGATCCTAAACATGTCAATTCTTTATAAACAAAAGGTTTAAACTCAGATATTCATATTTATCGGAATGTTAAATTAATTAAATCTCATCACTTGAGTACAAGAATGCTTGGCTATTACAAAGATGCAATTCTTTATACATAATGATCGAAAATTNCTTGAATTGATCAGTTTTCAAAGTTATTAAAATATTGATCCTCGACTTTGCATATAATAAATTCATTTTAATTTGACTTTTCTGAATTTCAGCTTGATATACCCTATGAATTATTTTCTATTTATCAAAAAATATCTTTCTCTTTATACTTTTTTATTAGAATCCCAGTTATATAAGTAATCATTCTATGTTTTACACAATGTCTAATATTAATCATAAGTTTAAAGGAACTTTTTGGAAAAATAGTTACAAAGATTAGTAGATAGTTGGCTGTTCTAATTCATTTGAATTATATTCTGTGGTAATTTTAAACTTTCAAAATTGTAACAAGAATTGGATTAATCAGACTATTAAAAAATGCCTTGCTATATTTAAAATATGTTAAATTATCATTAGAAGTCAATAAATTTTAAGTTATTTTTCTTAGCTTAATTCATCAAAAAAAGATAGAAAATAACCAATAAAGTGCTATGTATGTCCATCCAAGATTAAAAATAAAGAGGAAGTGCTTTATCCATATTTCTATATCAAGTTGTCAAAATTACATTGATAAAGTATAATCGATCAATTTACAAAGAAACATCAATATTCCAAAGAGAGATTATAACATTTAGATGCAAAACAATTAAATCTTAAATTACATTATTAAGTTTGATGAAGTTGAAATAAGTTTTTAAATGAAGTTCAAAAATTCTCGGATGAAATGATCATGCAAATAAAAAATATATTTCAGAATTGAAATTAGAAGAATTGAATGATGACTCATTAAATATTGAAGAAACATAAATTATAACAAAGTTTTATTCAAAAGGTATTGAATCTTTTATTTAGGATATTGATTATATTATGAAGATAATAAATATGGGGAAGCAATCAAATTATTTGATGATGAATTGCTCATTAATCCAGAGCATATCAACTCTATCTATACAAAAGGTATAAATTAAAATACAAATGTTTTAGCTGAATGTTTAAAATAGCTTAAGAATTACAATGATGCAATTCTAAGGATTGATAAAGCTTATCTATAGATTCAATTCGTGTCAATTTGTTATATTCAAAATGTAAATCAAAACATCAATCTCTTAGCCCAATGCATATATCTGCTTGATAATTTTAATGATGCAATTCTATGGTGTGATAAGGTATTATTGATAGATCCTAAACATGTCAATTCTTTATAAACAAAAGGTTTAAACTCAGATATTCATATTTATCGGAATGTTAAATTAATTAAATCTCATCACTTGAGTACAAGAATGCTTGGCTATTACAAAGATGCAATTCTTTATACATAATGATCGAAAATTATTTAGAAATGTATTATTTATATACAATTCTTCCTTATAACTGAATTGAACATTTAGCCTTGAATTTATGATGGTTTATATAAATTATAATGATAATTGATTGATGATATACATTGCTATTAGAACTTAAACTGAAAAATAATTAGTGGCTACCTAATTATTTATGCGATGGTTGCATTTCATACTTAAATATATAAATCATAAACTAAAAATAATTTGCTTTATATCATATTAGTTTCTTGCATAATAAAGCAAATCCAAATAATATTTTTGGATTAAGCTGCTCATTCATCACATGCAGATTACACTAAGATTTGCCTTAAATCTTTGGATATACCTGAAATCTTGTTTTATATCGTTTTAATATTATTAACCAAGTAGTATAGATTTAATTATAGACTGGGTAATTCAGAATGTGGCTTAATTAATTTAATTAAGAAAATTATATGTGCTCAATTTGTAATTTAACTTCATTATTTTTTATTTTATTTGATTGATGTCTTTAAATTCTTAGCTAAGCATCTGACAATATGATGGTATTAATTGCATTTTGGATGTATATTACGAATCAGATTTTACGACAAAAATTGATTTGTCTTTATTTTAGATATTGTATAATGAGTTTGATTGTAATTCCAATCTCAGGAATCGATTAATGACATTTATGATTTAAATATTACGTTATTAAAATGGTGGTTAACTTTATTGCTCTAAATGATTAAACAAAATATAATATTTAAATTCGAATATTTCAGCATTATAATATCTTGATTAATTTTTAAATTCAGTTAGGCAATTACAGTTAACTTTATGCATATTCATGAAAGGAAACCAATAATGAGAAGAGAAATAAATTAAAAACTTAAATTATATCATTACAATTTTGTTATATAAATAATATATGTTCATGGGAAATCTTTAAGATTACTTATTTACTTTTAAGCACAATCAACCTGTCAGTTTAGTCAGTCTGCAGGCAAATTTCTTAACAAGCGAGAGATATATCGCAAATAATGTATAGAATACATAGAATATGACTATACACCAATATAGGGAGTATTAAAGATAATAGAAGAACCTTTGAAATAGCGATTAGAAGAATATGAGAATAAACTTAGAACTCAATTTTAATAATTAAAAAGAATAAGTGGAAATATTTAATAACTAAGAGGAACAATATTGGAAGAGTTGGATGATTTAGTAAATAGAGTGAATCATTTCATAATTCGGCTTCAAGTTATTGGAAAAGAGATGGCAAATTATTTTTTTTTTGATTGTTGAACAACTTAATTAAAAATTAAGGAGAATAAGAAATTTAACCTCAAATCAATAAAATCATGGAAATATTAGTGATAATGGAGAAATTCTGATATATATGAACCACATTTAATGATATTTAAATAAGAGAATTTTAAGAATAGGATGGTTTATTTTATTAGATCATTGTTAAGGTTTTTTATTCCATAATTTGTTTTATCTGTCTTTCTAAAACTTATTTAAATGAAAATTTTTCAAATACAATATATTAATCTGCTATACCATTTGAAATTAATTATAATTTTTATATAATAATAGTGATAAAGGTTATAATGAAACCATAAATGATTGAGAAAATAACAGACTTATATTGTGCTAATAATCATAATTTAGAGCCATATATGATCGTCTTTAACCTTAAGTTATAATAAAAAGACAGAATATTATGTACAAAGTGTATGGATGAATATGATAATATAAATAAAATGATAACTTTTAAAAAGGCATAATAATTGATTGAAGAAAATCAAACAAAATGTTTAGAACTATTAGAAAATTCAATTGAACCTAATATTAAATAAGTTGAACTATTGTAGAAACATCTTGATTCATTAAAATCATATTTAAATTAAGAATTAGATTCATTAATTGAAAACACTAAAGAATGGATAAAAAGCTTTAATTAAATCAGATAATTGCATAAGGAGTATAGTTTTCTAAAGGAGCTTGATAAACTAATATAAAATGAAAAAATTTAAGTTATTGATGAATCATCATTCAATAATTAAATTATTAAAATAAATCAAGCATTAAGTGTAAAAATTAATTCAAAATTACAATAATTTGTAAATTTCAATGAATAGAAGCAATGTAGTTATGTTCTTAATAATATTCTAAATGGTGGTTAAGGAACAAACTTCGATGTTTATTCTGAATAAAGCTCAATTGTTCAAAAAATTTGTTCTAATCCAACAGAAATAAGTTATCAAATTGAGAACAATGCAGAATTTTAGAGTGAAGTACAATAAATTGAATATTATGTTTATGAGGATTTGTAAAATTTTGTTAATCTGTTGTATTCTTTAAAAGCAGTAAAAGAGCATTTTAAAGAATATCCTTACCATCCAATGACTGTTTTATGCAGGAACAAGGTAATTTTATAATTAAATCTGTCGAATGCAATTCATTTTGATTTGATGAGTTAATATCAAAACAACCTAAGGTAAGTTTTACTAAAAGAAAAGGAAAACGCTAAAAATATTATAAATTAATTCAAATTACTTCTAGGAGATGAATATTTATAGCATATTGATTATTATATATCTAATAGTTTAAATGAAAAATTATCTGTGAAAAATTTAATCCTAGAAACCCTTGATGAGTCAAACTCTCAAAATAATTATTAAAATTTCAATTTGTTTGGTTAAGCTCAGGATGCTCAAAAGATTTTGAGCCATTGGATTAAATCCAAAACCTATAATTCAAACATATTTGATTCTTTTATCTTTAAAGCAATGTATGTTTAGCATTAATATTTAGATGTTACAAATATACAACAGAAATTAAGTTAATATCTAATTTTCCCGCATCCAGCTTTAATCCAAAAAATAAATGAATTAATATCATTTCATGTTATAACCATAAGACAAAATTATTCAAAATTGTTTAATTTTTGATTTTATTAATCTTATATCAGTTTGGATTATTAATCCTCATTTTCCAATTCATTCTAAATATGATAATGGTCCTTAAAGTTCATCTAATTAATAATTTAAGGATATGTAATTTGAATTTAGTATAATAATTTAAAACAAAACCGGTCTGATTTTAATAGAGATTTTATTTCATGTATTTTAAATTTGGTTCAAATCATATTTTATTTAAAGCACAACATAATTTGACCAAAGAGATTTGCGCGATTAAAATAGAAAAGCAAAATCAAGAATTGGATAAATAGAAAATGAAGTTGGAAAGATAGAGATTTAAAGTATTTGTTTTATACAATTTAGTAATTTCTTAGTCATACCAATACTATATTGCAGTCTTAAGATCTTAGAAAATCAAATTAGGTATCTCTTAGTACAATTCTTTCTATTTGATTAAGATTATTACACACTATAAAGTAGGTTCAATAAGGAGGAATCCTTCACCTTGACACCAAACTAGAAATCGATTTTGGTTTGTTGCAGTGTTTATGTAATTCGAAATTCTTAAAACACCTTTATTGGATGTTTAAGATTTGCTAGTCGTTAATCACATAAATAAGAATTGGTTAAAAAGATGATATTGAGAGTCTTCTTTATGTATTAGTATATTTAATAAATAGTAAATTGTTTAATATAGCTAGAAAATTTGCTTTGGTAACTTCCATAATAATCTACTAAGTAACTAATTTTACATCAAAAGAGGATAGGAGCAATTAAATATCAACTTATAATAGTGTTTTACTTGCATTATAATTCCCTCATTCTTATTTTTGATTTTATAGAGGCTCAATTTATGGACTAAGGATGAACTTAATATCAATTTTTAAACAAAAAGACTATTTTTAAGTTTAATTATCTTGATGAGTATAAATAATCATGAATCACTCAATTAATTATTTCTAAATTATATAATATCAAATAAAAAAAAAAAAATATCTGATTAATGAACCATATTCATCATCAAATCATTTTACATAATCAATGGAAAGTATTTAATTTAATACTTTTAATAGAACTATTTTCTCAATTCCCCTTCACTCCTTTAAGCAAATCTAACAAATAAACATTCTATTATTCTAATGCACTTTCTTTGTATAAATAAGCAAATAAATAGATTGAATTGTTACTTTAAAATACATTACCTTGTAATATTTTAAATCATTTATACTTCTAATTAACTTACCTTGTTCTTGGATATTTAATAAAATATACTTTCTTATTGGTAAAGGAATGACTATTGTGTGTGCTAGAAAATATATATGCTTTTTGATATTAATTTTTTTTTATTTTGTTCACCTATAGTCTTCTTATTATTTTTATATGATTTAATTTGAGTATCAACAAGTAAAAAAATTGATGATATCCTCCACAATCCTAATACCTTTATTTATGGAACAATTTGAAATTGCCATTTTTTATGAGCATATTGAATTAATTTTAATAAACTAAATTACTTGCACACACTTTTAATACTTTCTTTGTTTTTTGCTTTAAATCAATTATACCGATTTAATTTATTCTGCAATTTAACAAGAAATTGAGAATTTTGTGAAAACTTCGTATTCAAGCAAATCAAAACACCAGAACCTCCCTTTAACTATAGGTTGAGTTATCTTCATTTCTATTATTTGTAATCCGTAATCAAAATGACCTGATTAACAAAAATTATCAGTGATGATTTTAAGTCTTTGAATATTAAAGGATAGATATTGATGATTTGGTGCAAGTATAAAGTTTTAAATGCTAAATAGAAATTTGTTGAAGGACCTAAATCTTGCTGTATCACTAAACTGAATTTTAAAATTGGTGAACTGCAATTTTCCTCATTTACATCATTAGGCTGGTTGAAAGCTAATATTCGGCTTCAAAGTAAAATCTCTTGATGCGTGAACAGAGCAAGTTTGCATTAATTATTTTAATAACATAAAAAATGTTTTTCACAAATATTTTGCAGAGTGATTTAGTGTAATCAAATTAAATTGTATTTTTATTTTTTCATTTTACGTTTGGCTTGTTCTCTATTTAGATTTAATTAAATTCTGTTATTTTTTCACTGATTTAATTTACTTTAACTTTTATATTAAATGAAACTGCATAATTCATATTTTAATAATTTCTTTTACCTAATAAATTTTGAAACACCTTTCAATTTAATCTTGATTCTTTTACTTTTCATTATCTACAAAAGACTTATTCTTTATATTCTCTTTGTTAGTCGTATTATTTCTAAAATTAACCCATAAAATATTTTTTTCGAAAAATATCTAATTAATAGTTAATAAATTAACAAATTAGATTTATATTAAGGTAATGTATTAACTTCTTAAGTTGATCCTTCTATGATTTAAACAATTTAACAAAACAAGAAAAGGAATAACGCTTCTACATTAGATCTCCTCCGCTTTTACTCAATTGTTCTATTTGTGTATATGAAATAACATTTTTTCTTAAGCAACACTCTCGGCTCTCATCTTGCCCAAACAAAAGCTTCTATTTATTTTTATTTTAATACATCCTATCTTGGTTAAAAAAAAAGAGTATTTGTTGTTGAGCTTTAATTTTTTATTTTAATCTTAACAACTTTCTTATCTTTAATTTAATCGATTGGGCTTTAATTAAAAAATGCAATATTTTTTCATTTTCAATTTCATAATAAAAAATTAATATGCTAATTTTATTTATGTATGTAGGTATAATTAAATATTCTATTGCGCAAAATGTAATTAAATTTGATGGTGCACTATGAATTCTGAATTCAAAAATAAAAGCCAAAATCAAAATAAAAATATAAATTGAATACAAAAAATAATGTCTGTAATCATTTAAGAGGCAAATGCAGCGATTTATAAAGGATTATATATTACCAAAAAGACAAGCGCTGTATTAACGGCAGATTACTTATTAAAGGTCATGACAGATCGAGTCTTTAGAATTAAGCAATCACAGGATAAAATAGGATAGCTTTTAGATAAAGCAAGTTCATAATAAGTATGGAGCCCCTTTTAAGTTCTATAGATTGGCAAAATATGGGGATTTGACCAATTTCACCCTCCAGATAACAATTGGATGACTTATGTCTTGTACACACTTCAACCCAATCATTCTTTTTCAAAAATTCAATTTTAAAGTGCATTTCAATATTAACTTAAGACGATATCAAGCTTTGATAATATTTATATTTAGGATCATATATTCTTTTTACACATCCTTTGGAAGATCAAAGCAAGGAAGATTTTTTTTAAGATCTATAGTCTAGTCTAATTCATACAAGAAATTGATTGAAATTCGAAAAGATTTCTAAAAACAGAAAAATTAATTGAATAGAAATAATAGATTGAATTATTAAATGTACAAATTGAATCTTTGATAAATAACTGATTCTATGGAGAAAATTGAAAGGATATATGTATTTTTAAAACTTCCAAATCACATTTATTTAAAATTTCAATCAAGAATGCGATAGTGGACAGACGATCTTGTTGGAATCTATAATTCTTATTTTCCTCCAGCAAACCATCAAATAATATCGAAATTTATTATTAGATTTTCATTTCAGGATTACACATTTAATAAAACTTCAAGTTGAAATTACAAAACCAAGAAGAATATTTTAATTTTAAACTCAATCGGAGACATATTATTTTTGGGACCTCCCACTCATTTTGAAACCAATAAATCAATTCTGACCCTCAGTAAATATATTTTTGTTAAATTACAACATAGAAAAATTTTGTGTTTAACTAAATACATACGAAAAATGCATAGACATCATAAACCTATTTAATCAGCCATTTTGAGAATTTCAAGAAAAAATGGCAGCAGATTAAAGATGGCTTATAGAAGAGTGATTATTCCTTTTAATAATACTGATTTACTATCAATGAAAAACATTTAACTTGGTCGAATGTATTATATGAATTACTAAAATCAAAGGAAACTTTGTTCTTTAAAAAATATATATAATGAATTTCTTTAAACATTTGGATTACAAAATGACAATGTGTCTCTTTCAAGCTTTAGTACATTAATAAAGGGCTTGGATATACATACAAGAATACATCTAAGATTAACTTTAAAGACACCACAAAGGAGAATAAAGTAAGCAATTCCTCTATGCATTATTATTTTTTATCACTTATCGAAGTCTAGATAACCAAATTAACTAGATGAATCAGAAATTGGAATGGCCATTACAATTTAGAAATATTTAGCAAAAAATATTTACATTTAAAAATTGATAAGGATTAAGTTAAATAAAGAATGAATATTATTGGTGCAATCGGGAATGACCTTTTAATTAATTAATGCGTTATAGGCAATGTTAACTCAAAATTAATTCAGAATTTTTTGATAAGATTAATTTCATAATGTAATAAAGCGTAAGTTTTAAGGAATTATATGTTTATCTTAGATTATGCATCAGTTCAGAAGGAATTCTTAATTTAGAAAGAGGTCCTAAAATATGTTACTCATATTTAATTACCTTCATATAGTCTTAAATTGAATCCAATTGAGAAAGTTTGGAGAGAGTTGAAAACTCACTTAGCTAAATAAGATTGTAGAAAAACCTTTAAACTCAACTATTAAATTCATAGCAGCATTAAAGAAATTAAGTATACATCTTTAAGCTATTGCGATTCTAGATATCCAAAAGTAAAAAAATGTTTAGAAAAATAGAAATTATGAATTATAAAAATCAAATATTTTATATGAATCAAAATAATTATGACGATCCAATTGATTAGGAAAGATGACAAAAATTGATTCCAATAAAATCATTATGGAAAAAATATTGGATTCATGTCGAATAGATTATGTACAAAAGTATTTCCTATTATGAGGAACTTGGGAAGATGATTAAGATGGAATGAGAATATTAATAGAAACTAGGTCATAAAATTGTAGATTAAATCAAAAAAGAAAACAAAGAAATAATTTAAAGATAGTTGATTTACACATATATAAAAAGGAATTGAGTTAAAAATCAACAAAATTCTAATTTTAAATTGTTTTTATTATAAATGAATTTACAGATATTTTAATTAAGGCAAATGAATATTTATAGAATATTCATATGATTACATACGCAACTTTCTCTATAAATCTTTTAGAATAATCATCTGGATTTTGGGCAGATGTATCTAAAGCAATATTTACATGAATGGCTTTTTTAGTGTGTTTTTCAATTATCTTTTAAGCGTTCCATTCTTGTAGATAGTCAATAATAGCAATATGATAGTAAATTCCATTTTCAGTTGCATTTATACTAGGTATGCATAATAAATCAGAGGAAAAATAATTGGGAATCTTTGATATATAAACTCATTACTTCTTCTTCTCTAATATGAGGATTATTTTAGCTGTAAGTATACCAATCCATTTTGATAATCAATAGTGAATAATCCATCAATTTTATTTTACCAAAAAAGTGAGCATCATTAACTAAACATGTTCTCAATCTTTCTCGATATTATTAAGGTATATGCAATTGTTATTCTAAATTCTGAAAATCAATATCCTTTAATGTAATTTTCCTTAATTCAGCATCATTATATTTAGCATTTTTCTTTAAGACTTATCTTGAGTGTTCAGATCCTTTTATATCGTATGTTCTGACTCTGTACATAGATGGTATTTACATTGCATTTCTCATTACAACTACATTAATAGACTCTTGGACCTAATAAATCAATGAGTAATCATAATACATTTTATCTGAATAATTTGTAAATACCATAAATGGGTGAAATGACAGTGTCGTTTTCACTTATATGAAAAAAGTAAGGGATGAGGTTTTTTCGAATGACTGTTAATTCTTAATCTGACAATGTTTTAATAATTAATTTATTGTCATGAGTGAAAAAGAAAAAGGCTCCTCCTTTGCCTCCGTCTGGCCCTTTGAATTATTTAATTTAGTCTTAATTTGCAACCAGGTCAAATGATTTGAAATGATTAATCATTTTGGCGTCCTTCTCTCTAATCTTCTGAAATATCTTTGGAGTATAGACAGTCATAGTTGATGGTAACAATTTTAAGTCTAATGACTTTTCAGTATTGGTTCCTTTGCTATCAATCTCATAGATGATTTCTTCAAGGAAGTCATCAGTGGTCAAATTATAATCAGACTTCAATCTTGCAATATCATTGCTCAATATTGAATCATTGCAATATCTGGAATCTGTGTATCTCCTAACAAGATTAATATTATGAAATTCATAATCAGATGTTTCTAAGGGGACATCCATTTTGCAAACAGCCCTTATACAAAAAATAATTGTATTGACTAAATCAAATTTAAGATTTTGATGGATAGTATCATAAAAGTTAGTTTCATCATGCACTAATGTATACTCTCTATTGCTTACATAATTCACTTTAGACATTGTCTCTTCTCCAAACTCTTCGCCACAATCTTTTAACTTGATCCTTGATTGTAGGTTCGTTGTATCTTAAAATAGATAGCACAACTGGTGTACACAATTTAGCTGAATTACCTATTGTTATAAAAATAAGTAAAATTCCCTTATGAAAATACGAACAGTTGAATCCTGCAAGAGTAAAAGATATTGCCTAGGATGTCCAAATTATGCAGGAACCTTTGATGTAACGATAGTAATATTGCCCAAAAGTGTCTCTTATTTCTTTGTATTTCTCGTCATCTGGAATGGCTTTATTGAAATACCATAAAGTGTATAATGAAATAAGAGTATAACAAAAGACAAGCATGATTCCAGCCAAAGGAAATCCTGGGTGATACTTAAAACTGCAAGTACCAAATATTGAAAGACCATTGTTATGAGTAAACTTAGCCAAGAGTGGGATTGATATCATAGCTATCCATGCCAAAGAATGCAAAATAATCGGTAATTTGGGTATTACTTTGAATTAATTTTTTAGAGTCAATCGAATGTATATGCAAAATACGACATTGTAAGATACTTCTCCTGTTCCTGCAAATATGCTAAACATCGAATTTGTTTAACAAAATGGACCTGAACTTAAAGGACTTTCACCATATACAGTGTAATAGCAAGCAGTCACAAACCAATGTATACACAATATAGCATCGGAAAGCGATATAAAGAATACTATATCTCCTGGCATTTTCCTTGTATTTGGATACTTGATAAAACTATAAGTGATGAACATTGTGCACATAAATGCTAAAGGCGCTAATTGATGATAACATTCTTCAAATACAAACTATCAAAAATATATATTGATCTAATGGTTGCATTTTAATCTTTTCAGACAGTTCATCATCAGTCAAATCCTCGTAACAATAAAATACATCAGCATCACTATAAATTCCTGAAGCTGAGCTTAAAATTAAGAAGTAGATTATCACTTTTATCATATATATATTTATAATAAAATTCCAATCAACTTCTATTTTCTTACCAAATTTGATGCACTTGCAATTTCTACCAAATCAACGGTTTTCGTCAGTGTTAAACCTACAATTTATTCAAAAGTGTTGAATACATCTTGTAAGGTTAAGGACTTCTTTTATATAATCATTTTCTTGATCCTAAAAGCTGTTATGCGTTCTGGATTAGATATCAGAAATACGAGTGAACTTAGTTAAAACTTTAAATTTGTGTATAATAATTAATTTTTTTTTTAATCAAAAACATCAATCACTTTTCAATTAAAGCTCATAGACGTTAATGATTGCCTTCAACAAAACCAAGAAAAATTCTTTTTGACTTTGAAACAGAATTTATGAAATTATAAAAATGATAGGGCTGAATTCTATTCTATAAATCTCATTGACTTTTCATAATTGATTCAATGATGACATCCTCTAGGAAACAAGGCTGAAAAAAGATTAACAGGTTTTATAATTTGAATTTAACATAAATTTATTAGTTTGAAATGAAAAAGGAGGATGGAGTAGTTAAACTCCCACTACAAATAATTGATATGATAAGTTTCCATCAATATGAAGAGATATATAGAAATGAAGTTTTTGGATTTAATAAAAAACTGTCAATAACAGAATTTCAATATTTGTAACACCTAATTGTGTAAATTGTTCACCGCTATTGAGCTTGATTCTTAAAATACAGAAAGTATTTTATAGCTCCCCTTTATTGAGTCTTACATTATTAGTTAATCTTTATCATCAATATTCCAAATTTCTAAGCAGCTATCTTATTCTAACACTATCACAATATTAGGTATGCTTAAATGGAAAAGTCTACCTACTATGTGAAGTTTATCTAATTTTTAGATGTTAATGAAATCGCCACTTTTGTTCTATTTCCAATTTTTAATTTCCAATCCTCCACTAATAAATTAATCTGATTTCACCCAACTGATACTATAAATCCTATCACTATGTGCTTTCTTAATTGGATCACATAATGGCACCCACTTTATTTAATTTTGTTTGGTTACTTACTTCCAAATAAATATGTCTTTATTATGAGTGCAGATCACAATATTCATAGTAAATTGATGACAGCTCAAATCCTATACAGGCCAAAAGAAATCTTCTAAGACAGAATGTTCTGACCAAGTCTCATTTTCTTGTTCTTTGATGTAGATTATTATTTTGGGAGTTGGTTATGCGCATATTAAAAATTATTTCTTTTCAATTGACACCATACATGGACTCCACCCTTCATCTTTTTTTGTTCCATTGATGATTTATTTTAATACAAATGATTTATCTGTTTGGTAAATCAAAATATTGTTTGATGCACTTCTTACAAAAAGTTACTGTTGATTCATCCCTAAACTAATCACATCATTCCTTAAAGTTTGTAATTTTTTCAATACTCCTTAAACTTCCATTTTATAAATATCTGTTTCCTCTTCATTCTTATTTGTGAGATACAACACCTTATCATTGAAAACACAAGTGTCATAAGCTTATTCTAATTAATGAATTATCTGTAATTTACACCTTTCCTATGACTTAAACAAACTTTCATTATTAACACTAGTATTAACTATTACACAATTCTTCGTATATGTTAGTAGATAATCGCTTAATGAATTAAGTTGAATCTTGAGATCGAGTTGTAACTATTCTACTTATTTGGACAACTGCTAATTTATAAGCTCAATTGATTTGATTGTCTGTTAAATATCTTTTTAAAATTGTGAAGTTTTGTGCATATTATTAGAACTCAAAACCACCATTTAAGCAATATTTTATAATTTCGATAAAGTTAATTAGTTCTCTTCTTCGACTTAGAGCTCATTTTCTTTTTCTATTAGCTTAATTAAATAGCTTTTATTCTCGTTTTCTATTATTTACAGTATTTCATTCATTTTCATATTAAATAGCTCTTAAATATTGGAAACTCTTTTTTTTATTTCTTTTGATGATTCTATTTAAATATATTTTTGAGATCTGATTTCCTCCACTACTTATTAATTAATTTCTTTAAATTTCTGTAAGACTCTTGGAATATTTTCGCGACTATTTGATGGGCATTCAATACAAACAGCTCTTTCTCCAAGTGGAGTATTAACATCGATATCAATTTGTATAATAAGTTTGTTATGTAAGGGGCATTGTATATTCATTTTAAATTTAATATATTTTATTTAATCAAAAATTTGTATGTAATTGTTAATTTAATTTCTAAACTCATATGACAGTTTTATAATGGATTTTTGCCATTCTGAAATGACAATTAAATTAATGAGTCCTTAATTTTAAAGCTTATGATATTTTCATCTTAACCATCCAAAACTACAGATAAAAATCTAGTAATATAATTTTAAAGTGATTAAGCTACGACGATCTTTCNCTTCCAAATAAATATGTCTTTATTATGAGTGCAGATCACAATATTCATAGTAAATTGATGACAGCTCAAATCCTATACAGGCCAAAAGAAATCTTCTAAGACAGAATGTTCTGACCAAGTCTCATTTTCTTGTTCTTTGATGTAGATTATTATTTTGGGAGTTGGTTATGCGCATATTAAAAATTATTTCTTTTCAATTGACACCATACATGGACTCCACCCTTCATCTTTTTTTGTTCCATTGATGATTTATTTTAATACAAATGATTTATCTGTTTGGTAAATCAAAATATTGTTTGATGCACTTCTTACAAAAAGTTACTGTTGATTCATCCCTAAACTAATCACATCATTCCTTAAAGTTTGTAATTTTTTCAATACTCCTTAAACTTCCATTTTATAAATATCTGTTTCCTCTTCATTCTTATTTGTGAGATACAACACCTTATCATTGAAAACACAAGTGTCATAAGCTTATTCTAATTAATGAATTATCTGTAATTTACACCTTTCCTATGACTTAAACAAACTTTCATTATTAACACTAGTATTAACTATTACACAATTCTTCGTATATGTTAGTAGATAATCGCTTAATGAATTAAGTTGAATCTTGAGATCGAGTTGTAACTATTCTACTTATTTGGACAACTGCTAATTTATAAGCTCAATTGATTTGATTGTCTGTTAAATATCTTTTTAAAATTGTGAAGTTTTGTGCATATTATTAGAACTCAAAACCACCATTTAAGCAATATTTTATAATTTCGATAAAGTTAATTAGTTCTCTTCTTCGACTTAGAGCTCATTTTCTTTTTCTATTAGCTTAATTAAATAGCTTTTATTCTCGTTTTCTATTATTTACAGTATTTCATTCATTTTCATATTAAATAGCTCTTAAATATTGGAAACTCTTTTTTTTATTTCTTTTGATGATTCTATTTAAATATATTTTTGAGATCTGATTTCCTCCACTACTTATTAATTAATTTCTTTAAATTTCTGTAAGACTCTTGGAATATTTTCGCGACTATTTGATGGGCATTCAATACAAACAGCTCTTTCTCCAAGTGGAGTATTAACATCGATATCAATTTGTATAATAAGTTTGTTATGTAAGGGGCATTGTATATTCATTTTAAATTTAATATATTTTATTTAATCAAAAATTTGTATGTAATTGTTAATTTAATTTCTAAACTCATATGACAGTTTTATAATGGATTTTTGCCATTCTGAAATGACAATTAAATTAATGAGTCCTTAATTTTAAAGCTTATGATATTTTCATCTTAACCATCCAAAACTACAGATAAAAATCTAGTAATATAATTTTAAAGTGATTAAGCTACGACGATCTTTCCATACAAATCTCCTATTTATAGTAAAAATGTTATTCTCGACAAAATCATCATTAATAATATCAGAGAGTAGTTTTGTTCAGTATGTTTTAATAACATCCATAAAACCTTCTAAACAGAAATACGGTCTTTTTTTTAATCTAAATACAGGTAATGAAATCTATGGTTATGATTGTGGAGAGGGCGAATTATTATTTATTATATTAAAATTAAATGAAAAATTAAATATAGATTTAATATTCTGTGAGTCTAAAAGACATGATCAATAATTTTAAAGTTCAGAATAACTCCAAATCTTAAATGTTAATCGAATGTTTAAACATGATGAATTTCATATTTTCTTGTATAAAACAATAATAATTTGAAAAATCTAAATGAAGTTATCATTATTATAAAGTATTTGTCTAGAATTAAAGTTAAGCATAATGTCAATTATCACCCTATTAAATACATATTGATTGGTTTTTTAACAATTTAAAAAAATGTTAAATTAAGCAAACTAGAGCGGAAGTTTTCGAGATCATTATAAAAACGAATTCATTAATTTTTCATTCTATCAAGAAACATATTTAAACATCAATTCTAACAAAGTTGTATTTTTATACCAATATGTCTTCAATTTATTTCTTCTGAAAGAACTAACGGCTGTTGTTGCTAATATTACAAATTACAACTAATTTTGATACTTTTACAAAAATCCTACCTTCCTGATTTCAATTCTTCGTTTTGATTATAACATTATATATTCAAAAACTTCCTATAACAACTAATGTTGATTGAATCTTAACTTAATCATAACTTATCTGAGGGCTAAAAGCGAAGCAAAATGTAATAAATTTTTCCAGTTTTCCTAAAATAATGCATTACTATAGGTAATTATTTAGTGATAATTAAAAACTAATTTCTGATGAATTAGAAAAGAATTATCCAGGGATATTGAGAAGGAAATAAAATTAAAATCATCAATTCTATTAAGTTTGCTAACCATTATCACATTAAGATGAAATTAATTTAGTAGAATCAAATTCAATTCTGATTTGAAATATATTCATTGCCAATATAATTATTTTGGAGCATTGTTTGATACTGCTTTCGATGTTCTCATTCTTTAATTCAAATCTGCTAGCGATTCTAAATTTTGGTATTCATAAAATAACCCATCGAAATTACATAAATTGTAATAAATGTAGACCTGATTTTTTGATGCTTCCTCATTATCCTACACAAGAAAGACAAAAGCTTAAATATCTAAACTATTGGATTTAATTATTTAATGAATTGTGATGTCTGCAAAAAGTAAGTATCATAATTTGGATAATACCTATTTTTGAAGATTAATTATATAAAACAATGTTATAATATTCATAATTTAATACATGCATAAATAATTGAATTCGATTAGCTTCATTTCTGCTAATAGTGGATTTTCTGATTTATAATCTTGTTCTATTATTAAAGGTAGTAATTATTATATAGCCAAATCTATTGATTAGCATCCAGAATTGATTGAATAACTTTTTGAAACAGAAAAGCTGCAAAAATCTAAGAATATATTTTAGGATCCTGTCAATCTTAAAATTCTTTAACATGATCCTGCAATTGGACCAAAATATGAAAAAAATAAAATAGTTTCAAGATCTATTGTCGGAAAACCGGATATATTTAGGAAGAAATAACCTACTCAGAACATTCATTCAAATCAGGAGTTTCATATGCCTACTCAACAGATCAACATGCAGGAATCAATTAGTTTAGCCAAGAAGGAATCTCCATTATAAAGAAGATTAACACAATTAAAAGTTGTTCAAAGCCCTGTCAAAATTTCGAAATAAACAAAGAATGAAAATGTAATTACAGGTTCTGAGTTAATTAGTAAAATTGCTCATCTGGAAAAAAGATTAATTTAAAATAAACTCGACGAATAAAAGCAATTTGATAACATGCCATTTTTTTAAAAATAAAATTAATATCGAGACCAAAGAGCTTTAGAAGATTTTGATAAGCAAGAAAAAATTCACTCTGAACTACTTCATTCCTTATCAGCTCGTATATCTAGGAACCCAAGTTGTTCTTTAATGATGGATTTGTATAATTTTAGAAGAAAACAAGAATATTCAAATACAAATGATAAAATGAGGCAATTGTCAGAAAATAAAAATCAGGAAATTATGTACAAATTCTATAATAATTTAGAGAAATCTAAGAATAAAACTAGATACCCTTTTTTATCTGTTCTGATAGATAATAAATTATAAGAAAACCCCACATTTTTGAAAAAGATGCAACTATTTCCAACATTTTAAAGCACATGAATGAGGATAAAACATTTTAAAGTTTTACAACTAACAACGTTTTAAAAGAAAAAGAATTAAAATATAAATTATTAGCAAAAGATAAAATTAAGTTAAACATTGATGAACTGATGATATTTGGATAATCTAAATATGATCAAGAAATCTCCATTAATCCAAACCAGAAATACGTAATCAAAGATATCGAAAAAAATTAAGGAAGTGAGGAGGAAATATTATGACATTAGAATATTTGTTATTTTATGAATATGATGAATTATTCATTTGATTCATTCGTTTTATTGATCAAATTTGGTGCAACTTGTAATTTAGTCTGGCTTATTTGCCCAAGGACTATTATAAATAAAATTTTTACATCGAATATATGATTACTTCATAAATTTATTTTTCTTTTTAGTCGTTCAAATATCTTAACTTAATATTGTAATTAAATCCAGATACAAGTTATTCATGAACACTAATTATCGAATCAAATTCAAATCCTTCCTTTTTAGGATTAAATTTAATGTTCACCTCATTAATTGCTTCTTCAATTACATTTTGGTTAGAATTACTAAATTTATTTTCATCCAATTATTTCCATGAACCTGACATTTGTCTCTTTGATCCTCTTAATTAGTTGAATTATTATTTTGGAGTTTCAAAGGTTTTTTAGAATTCTGATGATGAACTTTAAGTATTTTATTCAGCAGGAGCATTACCTTATTGGGTATATTCTCTATTAATTTAAGTTGCTTAACTATCTATTTTAGTTTAATTAACAGCTCCATATTCAATATTTTCAATGTTTGTTTAATTTAAAATATTTGTGAAATTTGAATTAATTGATTAGTTCACAACTCCTTCTTAAATCTATTAGTCTAATTATTTTTCACTCTTAATATCATTAATTGTAACATTATAAATATTTTCACTAAAAGTGGAGTTGGAAATTTAGTTATTATTGGCATGAATAGTATTGGCTGAATTCGATTATTATGATTAGTAAGTGCTAATATTTCCATTATTGTATGTTGTGCTGTTATTTGTATTATAAAAAGATTATTAGTTGAAAGTTTAGTTTTACATTGATTAGTTACCATCTTAATATCCACTCATTTATTCACTTTTGAAAATATTATTTTGAGTTGATGATTATAATTTTGAATATTACCCGTTATTTTGTGATTAATATTTTTCACTTTCATTGATTGAGGATGAAGCTAAACTTGAACTATTTGTATTAATAATTCCATTTGAATCATTTTAGTTGTATATAGACTAAGATTAATAATTTGTTTAATCTTGTAATTTGCTACTGCTTGATGAATTAATATTTCTATCAATTTCTCCATTTATCTATTATGCGTTAGTTGAAGAATTCAAGTTTTGATTGGTCTAGGATTAACTACCAGTTTATGTACTTTAATAAATTTACTATTACTAGTAATGACTTTCTGATGATGTTTTATTTAATTGTGCTTATCCTTAGCCATTATGATAACTAAATTCTCCTTTACCGTTATTAGAGTTATCTTGAATTGTGTAATTACCATTGTATTATAGACCATTTTAAGAGAACTTTTCGTTTTAATACTAATAACTGGCTTAGATGCCAGAAGAACTTTAAACCAATGTACCATAAAATACAGCATTATTATATCCTTATGAATATGGATTACCCATTGGTGGCTTGTAAACAACTATGCTGAATTGCAATGTTGCATTTCTAAATACAGTATTGCCATTTGAGTCCAATATTTTTTCCAATGTGATTAATTCATTATCATTATAATAGTAATAAATCGAATTATTAACTGACTTTGGTTTATATAAATCGGTTTAATTAAATATAACAATTTATTAATAGGACTACATAGATTAATTATAAAACATAATAGTTTGAGTAGAATTATTTAATGATGATTTGATTTCTTGATTTCTCAACTTTAAACTTATTTTAGATTGTTAAAGCTTTTATCGAGTTGATGATGAAATATTAGATGAATTAGTTGCATTTGAAGTATTGCTAGTATTACTATAAGTATAATAATTTGTATTTGTATTGTATTATGGGTATGAGTAATTGTATGTGTATGGGTAGCTTCCATTCGTGAAATTGGTGTTATTGGTTGTATTTGAAGTATTGCTAGAATTACTATAAGTATAATAATTTGTATTGGTATTTTATTATGGATATGAGTAATTGTATGAATATGGGTAGCTTCCATTTGTGAAATTGGTGTTATTGGTTGTGTTTGAAGTATTACTAGAATTACTATAAGTATAATAATTGGTATTGGTATTTTATTATGGATATGAGTAATTGTATGAATATGGGTAACTTCCATTTGTGAAATTGGTGTTATTGGTTGTGTTTGAAGTATTACTAGAATTACTATAAGTATAATAATTGGTATTGGTATTTTATTATGGATATGAGTAATTGTATGAATATGGGTAACTTCCATTTGTGAAATTGGTGTTATTGGTTGTGTTTGAAGTATTACTAGAATTACTATAAGTATAATAATTGGTATTGGTATTTTATTATGGATATGAGTAATTGTATGAATATGGGTAACTTCCATTTGTGAAATTGGTGTTATTGGTTGTGTTTGAAGTATTACTAGAATTACTATAAGTATAATAATTGGTATTGGTATTTTATTATGGATATGAGTAATTGTATGAATATGGGTAGCTTCCATTTGTGAAATTGGTGTTATTGGTTGTGTTTGAAGTATTACTAGAATTACTATAAGTATAATAATTGGTATTGGTATTGGTATTTTATTATGGGTATGAGTAATTGTATGAATATGGGTAACTTCCATTTGTGAAATTGGTATTATTGGTTGTATTTGAAGTATTGCTAGAATTACTATAAGTATAATAATTTGTATTGGTATTTTATTATGGATATGAGTAATTGTATGAATATGGGTAGCTTCCATTTGTGAAATTGGTGTTATTGGTTGTGTTTGAAGTATTACTAGAATTACTATAAGTATAATAATTGGTATTGGTATTTTATTATGGGTATGAGTAATTGTATGAATATGGGTAACTTCCATTTGTGAAATTGGTATTATTGGTTGTATTTGAAGTATTGCTAGAATTACTATAAGTATAATAATTTGTATTGGTATTTTATTATGGATATGAGTAATTGTATGTGTATGGGTAGCTTCCATTTGTGAAATTGGTATTATTGGTTGTATTTGAAGTATTACTAGAATTACTATAAGTATAATAATTGGTATTGCTATTTTATTATGGATATGAGTAATTGTATATGTATGGGTAGCTTCCATTTGTGTAATTGGTGTTATTGGTTGTGTTTGAAGTATTACTAGAATTACTATAAGTATAATAATTGGTATTGGTATTTTATTATGGGTATGAGTAATTGTATGAATATGGGTAACTTCCATTTGTGAAATTGGTATTATTGGTTGTATTTGAAGTATTGCTAGAATTACTATAAGTATAATAATTTGTATTGGTATTTTATTATGGATATGAGTAATTGTATGTGTATGGGTAGCTTCCATTTGTGAAATTGGTATTATTGGTTGTATTTGAAGTATTACTAGAATTACTATAAGTATAATAATTGGTATTGCTATTTTATTATGGATATGAGTAATTGTATATGTATGGGTAGCTTCCATTTGTGTAATTGGTGTTATTGGTTGTGTTTGAAGTATTACTAGAATTACTATAAGTATAATAATTGGTATTGGTATTTTATTATGGGTATGAGTAATTGTATGAATATGGGTAACTTCCATTTGTGAAATTGGTATTATTGGTTGTATTTGAAGTATTGCTAGTATTACTATAAGTATAATAATTGGTATTTGTATTTTATTATGGATATGAGTAATTGTATGTGTATGGGTAGCTTCCATTCGTAAAATTGGTGTTATTGGTTGTGTTTGAAGTATTGCTTGAATTTTGATATTTTGCTAAATTATATGATGGCTAGCTGCTTTCATATGTATAATTATATGCTGAATTCGATGTATTTGTATAATTATATTAATTTTTATTCACTGTTGTAAAGAATATGGATTTGATCATGGAATCATCTATTTTAAATAAAAAAGTACTTATTTTCTCGCTTTCTGTAGTTTCAGGTTTTGATAGGCTTGATGCCAAATCACGGTGAAGAATATGATTTATTTCTTCTCTCACTTAAATGGTATTCTTTGTTTTATGAAGTAACTATTCTACTGAATCTTGTCTTGCTTAAAGGCTGAGTACCAATAAAATAGCAAGAAATGATAAACTTTTCATTAAAAATAATATTAATAATTCATGATTTGATTTTCAGATTTTAGATGGAGCAAATCTTATTGTATTTATTTAATTAATTATTTCTAAATTTATTTAATAATTATTTTTAAATTTTTTTTCTATACATCCATTTTCTAGAAAACCATAATTGATGATTTGAGTTAATCTAAGATTAACAATATTCAAATGGTCAATTTCACATATCGATAATATCTTTCTAATATATTAAATTTATTTCTTCAATAATCATTCAAAAATTAAATTCCTATGAAATGATCAAAATCAGTTTATATATTATAATTGTATTTTTTCTGCATCAATATATTTTCAATGCAATTTAATTTTGGGTAATATTAATCGAATTATATAATCAAATTCATTATTGTAAATTGTTAATTTAATTTATTCTATGTATGAGATGCTTTCACCATTATGATTTGCTACCTTATCAAATATTTGCTCATTTATTAAATTTCCATATTTTTAATTCCCTATTTTCTCATTAAAATAAGTCATTTAACTCAAGTATGTTCTGAAATAATTATTATCAAAAAAATCTATTTATAAGCTAAATTATTTATAACTTATAACTCTTTAACCTTAAATACTAATTAGAATCTCTTCATTTAAAAGGATTGAAAAATATACCTTTATTAGGTAGTTGTAAATTCATAAATTTTCTAGAGAATGTTTTCATTATTCAATACTAAATAAATACCATAAATAACTCGAAATACTTATTTGAGCTATTTCAAACCTATTTGTTTCATTCAGAAAATGATCTATAGAAATTTATAAATTAATATGTACTAAAATATAAACTATGAAACTTTTAAATTACCTCATCTCCAACAATACTAATCTAACATTACTTTCATTCCTAAATATCCAGAATATATTAATTCATAGAAATCTTAATTATAAGTTGGATTGGAGCTTCCTAATTTTAGTATGATGCAGAAAAAATAATAATAACTAACACGGAAAAATACTCCTCCTAAGAAGTATTTAGATGAATTTCCAGCCTATTATCTAGATTTATTACCAATACCTCCATATCTTTAAGAGAAAGAACCACATAATTATTTGATTTTGCAAGGGAAAGGTGAGAGACCCAAAAAAATAGAAATGAATTAATTACCTTCATTAAGGTAGCTTAAAGAAACACCAAAATCAAAGGTATCCTCCAAGACAACTTTAAAGCCTAAAAACAAACCTATTATCAAATCTTTGGATTTATAATCTTTAGGATAGAATTATTAACAAAAAGAAACAGATAAATAAATCAATAAACAAAGCTTGCAAACTGAATAGAAAATGAATTAACAGAAAAAGCCATCATCTTTATAATTACAAAGATTGATTAAAAGAGTGTATCATATAAAAATTTGGCTATCCTTTTATAAATTGCTTTAAGAAACGTTAACTGCTAAATCTGACATAATTTTAAAGCAATAAAGGGAGGAATTTGCTTAAAATCTTAAAGGAGCATTAAGATAATTATCAGATTGGACTGATGCAAGTTTAGATGACCTACTACTTGAAATCATCAATCTAAAAGATCCTTTATATATCAAAGTTGGTGAAGAAAAACAAAATCAATAAAAGAAAAAGAATATTGAAAATCTATTAGTTCTATGCATGAAAAAACTACAATCGGTAAATATAGCTGAATTTTTCACAAAATAGCTTTCTTTGATTCTGAATAACTTAATTTAACCCTACTAGTTTCCTCCTGTATAGTATTACTTTAAATTTGAAATAGTCAGATTAAAGACTACTTCTTCTGGGAGTCTTGGATAAATAGAAAAGAATCAATAAAGAATGATTCTAATGCTATTCTTAATTATAAGATAAATATTATTTGCATAGATCTTAAGAGCTTGGTAATTTCATCCAAATTAAACAGATAACGATAAATAATTGATTTTAATTTAAGCAAACTCAATAATTCTTGTTTCAGTTGTACATGAAATAGTTATTAAATGGATAGAAAGAAATGTACCAAAAAAACGAGGGCTTGATTTAGATTTGTTGCATCATTAATTTCAATTTCTTGAAAAACCATTAACATAGGATAAGGAGAAAATGGAAAAATAAGGAAAAATCTATTAGGATAACGAATTAATAGAAGGAATATTGGGAAGCAATTAAATTATGAAGTACTTGTAAAATAGTAAAGGGGAATTTGAAAAGTGGGTAATATAGTTTGAGAAGGATATGATTGACTTTTGTGATAAGATTTATGATCATCTAACGAAAGAATTTGTGGATCAACCTAGACAAAGAGATAGAATTTGCAAAATGATGTCAATCCATTATTTGGCATCTCTAATTAGAAAACATTGATAATATTAATCACATACTTTTAGATAAATCAGTTGCACAAGATTTTCTTTTGCTAGACATGTATTTTTAAACACTTTTCTTTCTTTGGACGATCTACTAACTTAATCGTTTATTAACTAAATAATCAAAAGATGAATTGACAGTTTTCTAAGGAGTAATATTAGTATGAAATCGTTTGTCCTTGAGTTTGTGTTGTTTTTCTATAGTTTTTGTGTTGCTAATTTTGGTTGACTGTTGAGTACATATTTCAAATTGTTTGTAAAAATTTAGTTCTTCCTTCAAGAGTTTTACTTTTTAATATAGTTCCTCATTCTCTTTTTTTAGTTTCTAAGAACTAGATATCGAATGAATAGTACATTCAGAGTTTTTTTTGTATTCTGCAATAATTCATCTCTGTCTTACTCTAACTATTTGATTTAATTTTTCATTTCATCGTACTTTTAATTCATGAGGTAAGATTCCTGATATGATATTTAAGTAAATTTTACTCTTATATGCACTCTGACTTCGGATTCATATTTCTACAATTATTTTTCTAATTCCTTGTAATCCTTTTTAATTTTGTTATTTTAAATATGTTCGATGATTATGGTAAGCTGTTGAATTAAATTTTACGATTTGACAAAGTTCTGAAAGGNTACATCCATTTTCTAGAAAACCATAATTGATGATTTGAGTTAATCTAAGATTAACAATATTCAAATGGTCAATTTCACATATCGATAATATCTTTCTAATATATTAAATTTATTTCTTCAATAATCATTCAAAAATTAAATTCCTATGAAATGATCAAAATCAGTTTATATATTATAATTGTATTTTTTCTGCATCAATATATTTTCAATGCAATTTAATTTTGGGTAATATTAATCGAATTATATAATCAAATTCATTATTGTAAATTGTTAATTTAATTTATTCTATGTATGAGATGCTTTCACCATTATGATTTGCTACCTTATCAAATATTTGCTCATTTATTAAATTTCCATATTTTTAATTCCCTATTTTCTCATTAAAATAAGTCATTTAACTCAAGTATGTTCTGAAATAATTATTATCAAAAAAATCTATTTATAAGCTAAATTATTTATAACTTATAACTCTTTAACCTTAAATACTAATTAGAATCTCTTCATTTAAAAGGATTGAAAAATATACCTTTATTAGGTAGTTGTAAATTCATAAATTTTCTAGAGAATGTTTTCATTATTCAATACTAAATAAATACCATAAATAACTCGAAATACTTATTTGAGCTATTTCAAACCTATTTGTTTCATTCAGAAAATGATCTATAGAAATTTATAAATTAATATGTACTAAAATATAAACTATGAAACTTTTAAATTACCTCATCTCCAACAATACTAATCTAACATTACTTTCATTCCTAAATATCCAGAATATATTAATTCATAGAAATCTTAATTATAAGTTGGATTGGAGCTTCCTAATTTTAGTATGATGCAGAAAAAATAATAATAACTAACACGGAAAAATACTCCTCCTAAGAAGTATTTAGATGAATTTCCAGCCTATTATCTAGATTTATTACCAATACCTCCATATCTTTAAGAGAAAGAACCACATAATTATTTGATTTTGCAAGGGAAAGGTGAGAGACCCAAAAAAATAGAAATGAATTAATTACCTTCATTAAGGTAGCTTAAAGAAACACCAAAATCAAAGGTATCCTCCAAGACAACTTTAAAGCCTAAAAACAAACCTATTATCAAATCTTTGGATTTATAATCTTTAGGATAGAATTATTAACAAAAAGAAACAGATAAATAAATCAATAAACAAAGCTTGCAAACTGAATAGAAAATGAATTAACAGAAAAAGCCATCATCTTTATAATTACAAAGATTGATTAAAAGAGTGTATCATATAAAAATTTGGCTATCCTTTTATAAATTGCTTTAAGAAACGTTAACTGCTAAATCTGACATAATTTTAAAGCAATAAAGGGAGGAATTTGCTTAAAATCTTAAAGGAGCATTAAGATAATTATCAGATTGGACTGATGCAAGTTTAGATGACCTACTACTTGAAATCATCAATCTAAAAGATCCTTTATATATCAAAGTTGGTGAAGAAAAACAAAATCAATAAAAGAAAAAGAATATTGAAAATCTATTAGTTCTATGCATGAAAAAACTACAATCGGTAAATATAGCTGAATTTTTCACAAAATAGCTTTCTTTGATTCTGAATAACTTAATTTAACCCTACTAGTTTCCTCCTGTATAGTATTACTTTAAATTTGAAATAGTCAGATTAAAGACTACTTCTTCTGGGAGTCTTGGATAAATAGAAAAGAATCAATAAAGAATGATTCTAATGCTATTCTTAATTATAAGATAAATATTATTTGCATAGATCTTAAGAGCTTGGTAATTTCATCCAAATTAAACAGATAACGATAAATAATTGATTTTAATTTAAGCAAACTCAATAATTCTTGTTTCAGTTGTACATGAAATAGTTATTAAATGGATAGAAAGAAATGTACCAAAAAAACGAGGGCTTGATTTAGATTTGTTGCATCATTAATTTCAATTTCTTGAAAAACCATTAACATAGGATAAGGAGAAAATGGAAAAATAAGGAAAAATCTATTAGGATAACGAATTAATAGAAGGAATATTGGGAAGCAATTAAATTATGAAGTACTTGTAAAATAGTAAAGGGGAATTTGAAAAGTGGGTAATATAGTTTGAGAAGGATATGATTGACTTTTGTGATAAGATTTATGATCATCTAACGAAAGAATTTGTGGATCAACCTAGACAAAGAGATAGAATTTGCAAAATGATGTCAATCCATTATTTGGCATCTCTAATTAGAAAACATTGATAATATTAATCACATACTTTTAGATAAATCAGTTGCACAAGATTTTCTTTTGCTAGACATGTATTTTTAAACACTTTTCTTTCTTTGGACGATCTACTAACTTAATCGTTTATTAACTAAATAATCAAAAGATGAATTGACAGTTTTCTAAGGAGTAATATTAGTATGAAATCGTTTGTCCTTGAGTTTGTGTTGTTTTTCTATAGTTTTTGTGTTGCTAATTTTGGTTGACTGTTGAGTACATATTTCAAATTGTTTGTAAAAATTTAGTTCTTCCTTCAAGAGTTTTACTTTTTAATATAGTTCCTCATTCTCTTTTTTTAGTTTCTAAGAACTAGATATCGAATGAATAGTACATTCAGAGTTTTTTTTGTATTCTGCAATAATTCATCTCTGTCTTACTCTAACTATTTGATTTAATTTTTCATTTCATCGTACTTTTAATTCATGAGGTAAGATTCCTGATATGATATTTAAGTAAATTTTACTCTTATATGCACTCTGACTTCGGATTCATATTTCTACAATTATTTTTCTAATTCCTTGTAATCCTTTTTAATTTTGTTATTTTAAATATGTTCGATGATTATGGTAAGCTGTTGAATTAAATTTTACGATTTGACAAAGTTCTGAAAGGATGCGATATCACTGTGATCTGCAACTAGGTGGTATAATTTAATTAACAATTAAGACACTGACATATTTATATTATTATATAGTAAATACGATCATTTCAATCTGGATTTGAGTTTGGCTTAATAATCAAGGTTGTCTTTCTACACTTTTTCAAGTTGTTATGACTTTTCTAGAACCTTCATTCTTAGTCTTTCTATTTCCTTATCTTATAATTCACACTTGCTTTGTAATTCATTTATAGTAATATTGTTAATTTTGACTTCCTCTGCAAATTTCTAATATTGTTTATGTTAGAGAGCTAGATGTCTATAATTGTCGGCTTGTCTCGATAAATCATTGATCAAACTCTCATTTTACTATTTCAGTAAGTTGATTTCCTATTCTTTGATTTGAATGACTTCTTGAATCTTCTCTTCCTCTCTCTCTTAACAATTAGAATTGTTATTCATCATCATTTCAACAGTACATAATTCTTGATCCTTTTAAGCAATAATAGTATTTAATCTATTGCATTCCCCCTCTAACATATTGGTCTTGCATTCTAAATCTCTGAAGTGGTACGAATAGAATTGTTTCAATTCATTCAATTATTTATCTAAATTCTGATTGTCACTTCTCAATTAGTGATTCTGCTCTTTCTATTAAAGTAGTTCCTATNTACTTGTAAAATAGTAAAGGGGAATTTGAAAAGTGGGTAATATAGTTTGAGAAGGATATGATTGACTTTTGTGATAAGATTTATGATCATCTAACGAAAGAATTTGTGGATCAACCTAGACAAAGAGATAGAATTTGCAAAATGATGTCAATCCATTATTTGGCATCTCTAATTAGAAAACATTGATAATATTAATCACATACTTTTAGATAAATCAGTTGCACAAGATTTTCTTTTGCTAGACATGTATTTTTAAACACTTTTCTTTCTTTGGACGATCTACTAACTTAATCGTTTATTAACTAAATAATCAAAAGATGAATTGACAGTTTTCTAAGGAGTAATATTAGTATGAAATCGTTTGTCCTTGAGTTTGTGTTGTTTTTCTATAGTTTTTGTGTTGCTAATTTTGGTTGACTGTTGAGTACATATTTCAAATTGTTTGTAAAAATTTAGTTCTTCCTTCAAGAGTTTTACTTTTTAATATAGTTCCTCATTCTCTTTTTTTAGTTTCTAAGAACTAGATATCGAATGAATAGTACATTCAGAGTTTTTTTTGTATTCTGCAATAATTCATCTCTGTCTTACTCTAACTATTTGATTTAATTTTTCATTTCATCGTACTTTTAATTCATGAGGTAAGATTCCTGATATGATATTTAAGTAAATTTTACTCTTATATGCACTCTGACTTCGGATTCATATTTCTACAATTATTTTTCTAATTCCTTGTAATCCTTTTTAATTTTGTTATTTTAAATATGTTCGATGATTATGGTAAGCTGTTGAATTAAATTTTACGATTTGACAAAGTTCTGAAAGGATGCGATATCACTGTGATCTGCAACTAGGTGGTATAATTTAATTAACAATTAAGACACTGACATATTTATATTATTATATAGTAAATACGATCATTTCAATCTGGATTTGAGTTTGGCTTAATAATCAAGGTTGTCTTTCTACACTTTTTCAAGTTGTTATGACTTTTCTAGAACCTTCATTCTTAGTCTTTCTATTTCCTTATCTTATAATTCACACTTGCTTTGTAATTCATTTATAGTAATATTGTTAATTTTGACTTCCTCTGCAAATTTCTAATATTGTTTATGTTAGAGAGCTAGATGTCTATAATTGTCGGCTTGTCTCGATAAATCATTGATCAAACTCTCATTTTACTATTTCAGTAAGTTGATTTCCTATTCTTTGATTTGAATGACTTCTTGAATCTTCTCTTCCTCTCTCTCTTAACAATTAGAATTGTTATTCATCATCATTTCAACAGTACATAATTCTTGATCCTTTTAAGCAATAATAGTATTTAATCTATTGCATTCCCCCTCTAACATATTGGTCTTGCATTCTAAATCTCTGAAGTGGTACGAATAGAATTGTTTCAATTCATTCAATTATTTATCTAAATTCTGATTGTCACTTCTCAATTAGTGATTCTGCTCTTTCTATTAAAGTAGTTCCTATTATAAAAATTGAATCAGTTTAGCTTTTGATTCTTGAATCTCTCTCAGTTCCATTTCCTTATTCTTCTGCTCATTTTCTAGATTGATTTGCAATCTCTTAATCAACTCCTGATCTCTTTATTATTAAGTTTGAAGTAAACATATTTATTCAGATTATTTCCCAGTCAATTAAATCAAATCATCAACTCTTTATTACAACTAGGTTTTATGTTCTGAGTAAGTACAACTCACATGCTTAAAATCATTTTCCAATTCTTTGACTCTTATATTGAGACTAGAAGCTAGAATAGTTTTGTTATCAGCCAATTCCTTCAATTTTTTCACAGTAGATAACAAATCAAGATTCTAATCTTTTTGAATCTGAAGTTTAGATTTGAGTTCGTTTAGATATTATTCCTAAGAATTTATAATTGTCTATTATTTCATCAAAGTAAACTCTTAGTCTTTTGATTGGAGGTCAAATTAAGAAATGGCTTGTTCCAACTTTTCTTCTAAGGCATTATTAATCTACTTTACTTGGATCAACTCATCCTCCTATTAATTTACATATAATTATTACCAAAACTTAAACCAAATTCTAATTGTTATTTTCAACGCTAGAAATCTTGGACAGACTTTATTACAACTTTGCTATTTCCTATTTGTATTACATTATTTCCTATCTTAAACTTTATCTGTGGTTGATCTCCTATTGTTCCAATTAAAACTTTAAGGTGGCAACATCTTATTTCCAATTTATATCTAATTGTCGTAAGGCATCTGAATGAGTTTTTTCTTGAACTTCATTTTTATGTTAGAGTAGCTCTAATTGATTCTATGAGACATTTATTGAATTCATACTTTTAGGTCTTGATTCTCGGCAAGAACCTTTTGGTTTTCCATTGTCATTGAAATTGAAGGCTATTATTTAAGACGATCTTTCAATTTTTGATTCTCCCCTTACAACCTGTCTATTTCTTTGAGGAATGTCTCGATTTCTGAAATTGACTTGCAAGATTTCTCAGGGTTTCTTTCTACTGAATTATAAGATTATAGTGGTTATCTGATGTTCATTTTGTTAACGGATAAAATTAATTAATATTAAATTAAAAATTTTATTCACATATATATACAAATTAAAGGTGGGGGGTAACCAAAGCTCTATCACATTCCAACTCTGCTAATTATTTGAATGTTATCCTACTCTCCTATTTACTTAACTTTATATCCGCAACATTTTGCTTTTATGGAATTCTATTTCAGAATATAATTTAATTTTATACTGCTGCCAATTTATTTCTTATCAACTCGTCCTTAAAAGTCTTTCTATGAGCAAAAAGAATTGTCTTCGCAGATGAATACTTTATCCCAGCCTTTTGAGCTGCCTAATTATGAGTTTAAACTAAAAACTTTACATCTTGGATTTTATAGCTTTCAAATAAAAAGAGCTGGAGGAACAATAACTTTGCCTCAGAACTAATATAAGTGTAATTTCTTGGCTTTTGCTCAAGTTTTCTCTTTTTTGTAAAGTGGCGGTGCTTTATAAAGGTGAATTAGGTCTAGTCAACTGAGGCCATGACGTAATCAATTTACAATGTAATTAATAAAAAAATTATTTGTTAAAAATTATGAAAAGTCAATTTTATTAATAATCATCAATTTATTTTATTCATAACTTTGATTAAGATTAGCAGATGTTAACATTTATTCCAATTTTATTAAGATAATGAAGGATTTATTTTGCATTTAATTCAATATTTTAAATTAACTAATTTTATTTTAATTTCTTAAATTCTTAATTTATTTCTTCATTAATCTAAATAGTATTCATTTTAATTTAAAATATTCATAGTATTCAGGCATTATTCTCTCCTTTGTTTAAATTATATGAATAAAAATAAATAAAAAAAATTCTAAAGAATTCAATATTTATTATCTATATATTTATTGTATAATTATTAAATTTTGATTAAAATTTTTAATATTTTTATTACAAACGAATCATTAATTATTTCTTTATTTTAGAGCTTTTTCTTTCCTCTCTATCTCTTTTAAACATATTTCTAACAAATAATCTTAAAACAAATCACCTTTTAAATTTAAGCTATTTTCATCTGTTGGATATAATGTTAAAGCCCGTGTGATCACTTCTAGAGCTTCTTTTGGTTAGAGTTATTTTCTTAAACAATTACCTAAAATAAAAGTTTAGACTTACATAATCCTCTGAGACAAACAATTCGACTCTTATCAATCTTAAGTGCTTTTTCATAACAATCTTAAGCCTCTTTATATTTCTTTAAAAATCGTAGGCTTTCTCCTAAAGTTTCAATAAAATATTTACCTAATCCTGTTAACGACATTTAATCTTTTTCATTTAAGACTAACGATTTATTATAATAATCAATTGATTCATCATATCTTCCTAAGCATCTTAGACTTTCAGCTAAAGAATAAATAAAAAATAAGCCTTTTCCAAATAAAGATAAGAAGTGGTTTTCCTTCAGCTCTAAGGCTTAATCATAAAATTCTATTGATTTTTCATATTCACCTTATGCTCTTAAAATGTCCCCTAATTTAATTTAGTCTAATATATTAACCTCTTCCTCTTTGATTCATAAAGATAATAGGGTCATCTCTTTAAGATTCTCGCTTAGCTTTATCCAACGATTCTTTATATAATTCATCTGCTTCTTTGAAATATTTTAACATTCTTAAGCATTCTCCTATAAAAATATTAATTAAGAGACCTTTTCCATTAGCGATATGCAATTTCTATTCAGGTCTAAAGCTCTTTCCAAAGTTTCAAGTGATTCTGGAAATTTAAGCAATAATCTTAAACAATTTGCTTTACCATTTAATGATGGAATATCATTTGGGTATTTTTCAAGAGCTTTCTCATACAATTTTAAAGCCTCTTCATATTTTCCATTTTTTTTTAAATCATCAGCTATGGATAATTAATGTCAATTACCATCACTACACCAACGTAGAACTTCTTTTCTATCGAAAGATTCAGAACGAATTAAGTTGGGTTTTTATTAATTATCTGGCAACACTTAAAATGATTTACCAAAATCGGGTTCGCTTTTTTCACATTACCCCCTTGGTTTGTAAATATGGTAGATTTTCTGAGGTCCTAATTTATAAAATGTTTTCTTACCTCTATTTGAAAGATCCTCTGTTTGAATGATATCTTAGGATGGTTCATATTGGTTTGGAATAAACACAGATTACCTAGACTTTTTCTTTTTATTCAACTCATTTATGCATATATCTAAAATTTAATAAACTATTTTAACCATGTTCTATTCTAGATTATTTATGATTTGGATTGATTTTAAGAACTTAAACGTAACAGCCATCAGCTTCTGAAAACGAATTTATTCTACTTAAGCAATACCCTATGATTTTTTAAAAAAATACCTTTTCCAAATAAGGAATCTATATTTTTCTAATCTATCTCCAATGCTAAATCATATTATTAAATAGCTTCTAAAAATGACCCTTGATGCCTTAAACATTCACCTAAAATATAATTTCATAAAACCTAATCCTACACGAGATACTAAATTTTTTTCATCCATTTACAACACCTACTCATATAAAAGTTTTGATTCTAAATAATCCTAAAGCATTCTTAGACATTCACCTAGAAATGTTATGATTATCTTACCTTTCCCAATTAATGATGGGATATCATTTTACTCAATTTTCAACGCTTTGTCATAATATGGAATGGCATCTAAGAATTCTTTTATCAATCTGTGGCAATCACCTAAGCTTCTCCAACAAATAAGGTTTTTTTGGTCTATATCTGTAGCTTACTTATAAAAAACAATCGATTCAATATACTTTTCCTATTTTTTTAATAAGNTTAAAATGTCCCCTAATTTAATTTAGTCTAATATATTAACCTCTTCCTCTTTGATTCATAAAGATAATAGGGTCATCTCTTTAAGATTCTCGCTTAGCTTTATCCAACGATTCTTTATATAATTCATCTGCTTCTTTGAAATATTTTAACATTCTTAAGCATTCTCCTATAAAAATATTAATTAAGAGACCTTTTCCATTAGCGATATGCAATTTCTATTCAGGTCTAAAGCTCTTTCCAAAGTTTCAAGTGATTCTGGAAATTTAAGCAATAATCTTAAACAATTTGCTTTACCATTTAATGATGGAATATCATTTGGGTATTTTTCAAGAGCTTTCTCATACAATTTTAAAGCCTCTTCATATTTTCCATTTTTTTTTAAATCATCAGCTATGGATAATTAATGTCAATTACCATCACTACACCAACGTAGAACTTCTTTTCTATCGAAAGATTCAGAACGAATTAAGTTGGGTTTTTATTAATTATCTGGCAACACTTAAAATGATTTACCAAAATCGGGTTCGCTTTTTTCACATTACCCCCTTGGTTTGTAAATATGGTAGATTTTCTGAGGTCCTAATTTATAAAATGTTTTCTTACCTCTATTTGAAAGATCCTCTGTTTGAATGATATCTTAGGATGGTTCATATTGGTTTGGAATAAACACAGATTACCTAGACTTTTTCTTTTTATTCAACTCATTTATGCATATATCTAAAATTTAATAAACTATTTTAACCATGTTCTATTCTAGATTATTTATGATTTGGATTGATTTTAAGAACTTAAACGTAACAGCCATCAGCTTCTGAAAACGAATTTATTCTACTTAAGCAATACCCTATGATTTTTTAAAAAAATACCTTTTCCAAATAAGGAATCTATATTTTTCTAATCTATCTCCAATGCTAAATCATATTATTAAATAGCTTCTAAAAATGACCCTTGATGCCTTAAACATTCACCTAAAATATAATTTCATAAAACCTAATCCTACACGAGATACTAAATTTTTTTCATCCATTTACAACACCTACTCATATAAAAGTTTTGATTCTAAATAATCCTAAAGCATTCTTAGACATTCACCTAGAAATGTTATGATTATCTTACCTTTCCCAATTAATGATGGGATATCATTTTACTCAATTTTCAACGCTTTGTCATAATATGGAATGGCATCTAAGAATTCTTTTATCAATCTGTGGCAATCACCTAAGCTTCTCCAACAAATAAGGTTTTTTTGGTCTATATCTGTAGCTTACTTATAAAAAACAATCGATTCAATATACTTTTCCTATTTTTTTAATAAGTCAGCTAAAATTTCAATTACTTATTAAACCTGTTTAAATATAATAATCAATCGATAATTTTTCTCCTCCAGGTTATAAATAGTTATTATTTTAATTTTTACTATTTACCAATTCAATCAACTTTTTTATTTCTTCAATGTATGTATCACTAATATTTTGTATTTTCAGGTTAATCTGGTCAGATTTCTTATCAAATTTTATAATGTTATCAATTAATTAGTGTTTTTAAGTACTTTGCGAAAGATTGAGATCTAGAGAATGTTATGCTTTAATAACGGTCTATAATTGTTAAATAGTCTGTGTCAGAGAATTACACAATTAAGATAAGTAATTTTCTAATTCTTAATATTTCTACATCTTTTCATTGATATAGAGTTCAGCTTCTTAAAGGTTTACTTGTAAGTGATTTTTGTGACTTTCAAATTATAAGCACTTATCACAAATGAATCGAAATTCAGAACAACTTTCAGCGAGGCAAACTTATTTTACTATGCTTAGCTGATGTCCTAACTAGCAATACAGATCGATCCATTGTGATTGCATAGCTATAAATTTTAAATATGAAATATAAATATAAAAGAATGATGTTATAGAATATATTTATTTTGAGGATTTGATATTGAATAATTTGTTTATTAAATAAAATTTATTAAATGTAAAATAATAACATCATGTGCGCGTACCACTTAGACGAGCCTGCACTTTATATCTGTCAAGGTGAGAGTTGCTTTGAAAAAAGAATATTTTGCCATAAATGCTTGAGAGAAAACAGACATATGCATAGTGTTAATAAACATGAATTAATAAGTGCATTGCCATAAATTTTGGAGGGTTCAAATTATGATTGTGATTAACTAGTAGAATTTATTGAAGAAGCCTTTAATGAAATCATTTTATTTAAGAATTACTTAATAAGGGCGATCAAAATGAAATATCATATTTAAACATAGTAATTCAATGAAATTAATATTGAATCTAAATGCTAAGTATTAGATAATTTGATCAAATTCAAAGATGATTCAAAAATTATTTAAAAAGTATTGGATCAACCCTTTAAGACAGTTTTATCTCATATTAAAGATGGAATAACAGATGTTTGTTTAGAATAAGTAACTTATCTAAGATAGATTACTGAATAAGAGCGTCAGTAATTTTAAAATCATATCAACGACAGTAATTTATTTATTCAAAAATTTAGGTTAGAATTTAGTTTAATCCAACCGCTTTGAGTAAGCTTTAGAATAGGTAGAGAAAGCACTACTTATAAATCCAAGACATTTAGATGCACTTAATTTAAAAGGTTTTCTTATTTTTAATTACTAGGCAATATTTTAATGAGGCTTCGAAGATTAAATGAAGCTCAATAGCAATTTACTTAAGCTCTTAAAATAGATGAATTGCATATTACATCCAGGTTTGCATTAGGTAGATATATTTTATAACTGTCTAGGTTCTTGTTATATACTTTCCAATTAAAGAAGATTGGCACTGCAATAGTTATTTAAAATAGTAGATATTAATCCTGGCAATCAATAAGCAATAAATTAAATAGATTAATTGCTATTAGAAACTTAGTGAATATTAATTTATAAAATTCTTTATTTATATTAAAAATTTTATCTAAAATTCAAATAATCAATTAGAGAAATTCTCTAAAGACTATTGCATAATATAATCTTTAAGTAATCAATCAATATTTATTTGAATTGAAGAGAATTTAACAATAAAGAAATCAATAATTTATTATAAGGTATATGAATTTAAAGAAATTGCAATTTATTAAAAGCATAAAATAGAAATATAATAAATAATATATATTCTAATTAATTTTATATATATTATAAATTAAAATCCATTCTGATTGGATGAATCAATTTCGATAAGAAGATAATTAAAAATAAGAGATCTAAGATGATAATCTAATGTTTTAATATAATTTTTATTTAATAGAAGGCAAATACCAAACTATAGTAGGTTTCTACCTATAGCAAATATAAACAGAATCATGAAGAAAGCACTCCCTGAAAATGCGAAGATTGCTAAAGATGCCAAAGAAACTGTATAAGAATGTGTTTCAGAGTAAGGAATAATTTGATAAATAGATTCATATCATTCATAACATCAGAAGCTTGTGAAAAATGCAAGAATGAGAAAAGGAAGACAATAAATGGAGAAGACCTATTGTATGCCATTAACACATTGGGTTTTGAAAGTTATGTTGATATATTAAAACTCTATTTAAATAAATATAGAGAGGTACAAAATGCATATCATTGGATAGGCAGTCAAAGCGGTAGAGGGCACAACAGGAGCAACTAATTAAAAAAGGAAAAGGCAAAATTCATCTGATGATGATGACGAGGATGATGAAGAAGATGAAGAAGATAACGATGATGATGATCAATCCTGAACATTTATTTAGATATAATGCTAAAAAGTGTATTTATTCAATTCTCATAGTCTTTTTAATTAAATAACAATATTCAGGGTTTAACATTTTTTATTATTAAATTTTCTATAGAATTGTCGGTGTTTTTAATCATATATAGTATGCTGTCCAAACAATCTCTCAGGATGGTATAGAAGTCCAAATCATTGATTTTCAGTGACATTCTGCTTAGCTATAAATTATAGTAGTCATCTTTGTAATTGGCCAGGTAGTGTTTCTTTATTTATTGATGTAATTATTGTAGTGAATTTCTGATTTCATTACTAATAATTTATAAATTTTAGCATTTAAGATAATTAAGTGAAGTTTGGATTTGATTCTTTTCATATTTCAGTTATTCATTATCTTTAATTATAAGTTAGCATTACTCTTCTAACTTTTCCATTTGAGGTTAGAGGTTGTTAAATTATGTTAGCTGTTTCATTAGACTTTTGTTTTACAAATCCAATTGTGTAATTTTATTTTGCTATTCTCTAATGATGCCATCTTTCTATAATAATATAGTTAAGAGTTGTTTTTTTTCTCTTTAAATTTATTCGAGTATTAGTGCATAACTATGGGTTTAGGTTAATTTCTTATCTTGTTGCTGATGCTTAATTTCTGGCTTGGTGAAAGTAGTTTAAGATTTTTTTAATAGATCATCGATCTTGGAATTGACTTCAGTCAGACGGGAATTACTTTGAGGAGTTTAGATAGTGGTTAGAGGATTGGATCTAAATGATAAGTTGGTTAAATGAGTAGAGGTAGATCTGGAAAACTTCATTTAGAGGTGGTTATAATTTGTATTTTAATTTATACTTGAATTAAAAGAGGATGAACGATAGTGTTGATATATTAGTTTATATAAATAAATAGGTGATTAAATATATAAAATAATGAATTTCACAATAAATGAAATAAGGAAATCGGGGACTCATGTAAATTAATTTATTATGACAGACAGAAGAAGAACTCAATCAACTAACATTGGATGAGAACATGGGGGAGTTGAGAAGAGCACAATACATTCTTTAGAGAGGTCATCCAATTTAAAAATATGCAGTATGATAGATAGTAATTAGATTTACTCAAACATTCACAGGCTATTTAAAGTGAGTGGATTTAGTTTATTGTTTCCCATAATTAATGAGGATCTGGTGAAGTAAGACGAAGACACAATTGCAATAGCCACAAAGGAATTTTTGTTGATTGCAAAGTAGATGAAAGAGAAGGAGTAACAGATATTGCTTAATCAAACATTTCATTTTATGAAGAATTACAATTTGAAATTGGCAGAAGGATGGTTTGAGTTATTTGAAATGTTGTATTGTTGCGACATTCACAATTCAATTAAGTTGATAAATGAGTTAACCGATATTGAGGCTGATACACATTGGCGTTAGAGAGGAGCTCGTTTGCTACAGTGCATACCTTAGATCGAGAGAATACAATTACTTTGTATGGACAAGGATCCTCAGGTAAGGTTTGAGATTGTGAAGACAATATAGATTGTTTACTGTAGTTTTACTCCTGAGAAGTTTAGTACTTATTTGTAGATGAAGGTATATAAATAATATAACAATGAAGATTTTTGAGTTGATTTATGATTATGAAGTACAAGTAAGGATGGCAGCAATTGAAATGTTTTTTATGGTTTAATCTCATTTATAAGATAGGGAAAAAATGATTACAAAATAATTCTTTGAATTCCTAAGTTCCCAGAATGTATAAATTATAACAATAATGTCAAGAATTTGTGGGAAAGTATTAATGGAAATCATGGATGTAAAACCTGATATTTAAAAATTTCTAAAAGTGTTCATTTCATTTGCTGAAAACTCAAATGAGGAATATCGAATAAACTTTGCCTACAATTTTCCTGCCATTCTTCAAATCTTAAAGGGAGAATGCTATGATTAACTAAAAGAAACTTATTTGAGATTGTTGCAATTTGATACCTCTACTCAAGTAAGGAACTTACTCCTGGCAAGCATCCCAGATGTAATCTCTACCTTGAAAATTCATAAGACTCAATCAATGATACCTTTGATTCGTAAAATGTTAGATCATCCAATAATTTAATACAATCTATATTCAATAATCTATGCTCTTTGGCCAAGCTATGATTAACAGGAACAATTGATTCTATCAGTAATAATTATTTAAATGACATAGAAAATGTTGGTGAATGACATACTCATAGACTTAGTGAAATAGATTCATTGTAAGGCCAGTGTTGTTCTGCTAGAGTAATTGCTAAAGTAAAATTGCATAATATATACAGAGACTTCACGAGTTCTTCCAATAATGCGATGCTTATCTGTTATTGTTGACTCCTCTTTTGAATTTATTGTCAGCAGATTCCTTAAATATTAGAAACTTGGCAGTTCAAAATATAGCATATCTTGCTTATCATGATCAGTAATGGAAATATCTATATGTCATAGATCCATAAACAGTCAAATGATTAACTTGTGCATGAATAGTAACAAGTTCAGAATGCGTATCTGTTACATTGAATTCATATCTTAAACTATTGATCTATGTTCTAAGCGATATTTCCATCTAAATAATTTTATCAACATTTTGGCACTCAGTCAAGATAAGATATTCGAAGTTCGTATTAAACTCAGTCGTATCATGAAAAAGATATAAACGATCATTTTAGATAATGATGAGACCGCATGCATTGCATATGATTAAGCTATTAAACGGCTTTCACGTGATCCTATCATCAATGATGTAATTAGTAATCTCATTGAGTGTAGATTCTTAAGTAGAATGAATCAATGCAATTTTCCTTTGGAGATGATTTGCTAAAAGAATAAAAAGAACATTTGTGTTTTGCTAGGATTTCAGCTGATGATATTGATGCTATTGAAAAAAATGAACACACTGGATCCATTTCACCATTTATTATTAAGTCTAAGAATGGATATGGACATAGTCGAAAACGATCATCAATCACTCGTCAACCAATCAATAGATCTTAACCAAATGCTTCGTTTACTTAAAAACTTACTCAAATTTAAACTAAATACAATCCCATCAAAATTTCAGAAGACATGAGTCGTAGAACTTCTGTTCCTCCTGTTCCTGGTCGAAAATTACAACTCGCTTTAAAACCAACCAATACTCAATTCAAACCCAAATTAAACTAATAACGATTGAGAAAATGAATAATTATATTATTATTAAATGGACTCTGCACCCAAAAAGAAAAAGTCTGTCTCTTCTAAACAAGACAAATCCCAAGCAGGTAGTGTCAAATCCAAGAAGTAATAACCTCCTGGTGAAATACTGGAATAATAAAGTATACTACAATTCAAATGTTAGACTCATAACATGATATTCAAATTGATGATCATCCCCAATAGCCTGATCCCTTCATTTCTCAACCTCCTTAACAACCAGTCAAAGTTTGCATTCATCACAATCTCCCATTCCAGTTTTTCTGTGAAGCATGCGAAGATCCTATTTGTTAACAATGTACCATCTTAGGTCCTCATAACACCTAATTACATAGAATTAATAGGTTAAGTGATTCATTCAAATTGCGATGTGCTAAAATTGAAGAATCAATAAAAGCCAATCTATTAGGGAAAAGAGAATAGCTGTTAGCATAAATTCATAGAGTAAATTTGACTATTTATTTTTAGATAGAATATAGGATTGAAGAGATTAAGTATGTCAAGACTATCATTGAGAGAGATGCAAGAGCAGAATTTGGTGGAGTCTTAGAAAGATTAAAATAGAGTGAAGGATAAAAATTGGCAATCCTAAGTCATGAGATATCTGAATTATAAAGGTATTAATTTTTAGTAATTTGTAGAGATTTGGATAAAATAAATGAAGTAGGATCTTAATTTTATGATCTCAAAGAGATTCCTGACCCTTGTCCTTTTCTTCTGAAATCAAGAAACATCTATGATTAGATCGAATATATGGTTGCCAAACCATTCAAGGTTTAAATTGAGGTTTATCCATACGATTTGCCGCGAGAATTAACTGAATTGAGATTGCAATTACAGAGAGCATCTGCTTAATAATAATTGATCGAGTTCAAGAATGAAATTATTTGGAAATTATTGAGTGAAAAGTAAATGGATGAGGAGGCTATTAAGTAATTAGTTATTCATATAAGTTTGATAGATAGGAATTGGAGAGATAAGCAAGTGAAGAAATAAGTGAGTGGAGTAAATTAGTTGACAAATTCTCATAGGAATTGAGAAAACAATAATTAGTATGTTATTATTGTGGATGCAAAATGGAAAAACAATATGTTAATTCAATCTGTGCATAAAACAGATAAGAATAAGATTGTAAAAACTATTTAAGAGTTTAGATGATAAAGTATTTTGTAATGAACAACCACCATAAAACCATCATGGAACTAGTAGACACTACTTTGCAGATCCAATTTTATGAATCTATATTATATCTATTGATTTTTTAATATTCATATCAATTAATAACAATATCCAATAATCCAATGTTGTTAGTATACTGATTTATCAATTTATTAAAAGTTATTCTATAAAATACAAAACATATTTGATTAAGTCTAATAAAAACAATTATATAAATATTAACATTATGAACATTTATACTATAGTAGATTTAATTAAACTCACCGAATAACGAGGTGTCGAATTACTTATAGATGCTGTGATATTTGGGATAGAAATAGGGAGAAAGAACATTGAGGATTAAAAGTAAATTCTATCAATAGTTGAATTACTCGCGTAATTGAAACGAAAAATAGATTTAAACATCTACTCTCCTTTTCTAAGGGACTAGATATTTGATAGAGTGCTCAATAAGAATGAGAAAGTATCATAAACTATCTATTCTTAAAGTTAGAAGATATTCTATGTGGTTATCAACTAGAGTTCTAAAGGTAGTCGAAGATTAAACAACTAAATAATATTTGTGAAATTTGCAAACAACCTATTAATAATATAATGGAGAAATTCAATGCTCAATGCAATCATCAATTTCATTAGTAGTGTGTGATTCCTCTGTTAATTCAAGTTATGGAGAATCAAAATAGCTTTAAATGTCCTTTGTGTGGTTTTACAACCTTGTAACAGGATTTGGAAAGCCAAATAAAAGATAATAAAACATTAAAACTATCTTGTTGTCCTACTCCATAATGCAGCAAACAATTTTCATATTTAGGATAAGAAATTTATAGATGTGCTGATTGTGGCAAGAGATACTGCTTAAAATGTCAATCACAGAGCCATGCAATTAATCAGCAGAATCATCCAGGTAAGGCTGTTAAATTTGAAATGGGTGACAATTATAAGGAATGTCCAAAATGCAAATAATGGGTCAAATAATTGAATGCATAAAAAATATTGAATTGTCAATAATGTAAGTACAAATTTTGTTTTGGTTGTGGTGAAAAAGATGGAGGTGGAGATTGTTCTTGCAATAAAACGAATAAACCTATTTACCTTGGATTTCAATGGGTGAAAAAAAAAATTATGGGGTGATATGTAATGCATATATAATTATTTGAATTAAACTTCTTTTTTATTAATCAATTTTTAATAATAAATGAGTTTTTAAGGGTTTTTAGTGAAGAAAACAATTTAACAGTTTCCAATTCGATAGAGACCTATATATTACGAGGACTACACAGATTAAAACTTAGTGCTCTTCATAAATAAGAAATTGGCTGATTTAAGATGTATTGTTTAGAAATAGTAGTTAAAAGTGGCAGCAACGATCTATCGGCAAAGCGCATCATGAATTTAAAGATTAAGATTCCGAAGGATAAAAATACTGATGGTCCAAAGATGAAGAGGAAGGCTTCTCTTAAATAAAAAACCGTCTCTGCAGATGAGTCAGAAAAGAAAAGCAAGTACAAATTCCGATCTCCATAAATAAAACCTGAAGTAAAACTTGCTTCTTATCTAAATGATGAATTGCTGAAATAACATTAAATTTCATAGTTATTCCAAGAGTACAAACTAGCAAATTTGAAGGCAAATCTAGTGAGATTGAAATCAAAGAAAAATTATGAATTGAATGAATTGAATCATATAGAATTGGAAGATGATGAACAAGTGAAGTTCTTTCTGCAAGAGATTTGCAAGAATCATCCTGAAATTGAAGTTAGTCAATTACTACAAGTAGATGTTGAAAAGAAGCAAACAAAAATGGAGAGTCATAAATAAACATTACAAGAATTAATTGAAAAGCGTATTAAGTAAGAACAAAATGAAAATTTGGTCAAGATGGAACAACAATACTAAAAGAATTTAGTCAACATATACAAAGAAACCAGATATGATTAATTTGAGCCCGAATTCAAAAAGCAAGGATAAATCAATATTTGTAAAATCAAGAAACAGAAAGAGATTCAAGATAAAATGTTCTCGGAGATCTTCAAAGTCAAACATCCCACATCTGAACATAATTAGAAGCAACATTATTTTCGTAGATAATATGTTACACCCAATAAAAAACATCAAGCTGCCAAATCATAACAATTCTAAAACAATATCTTTCTTTCTTAACCAGATACTATTTAAATTACTCCTCAAACCTCAATCATCAATGAATTCAAAGTAAGTCCCCTCACTACCTCCGTTGGAACTTACAGTGATATCAAGTCTCCTCTGAATTCTTATAAGAAAAATGATTTCAGTTTAAAGTTGAAAACGATTATGGACAAATGTGACATCATTGAAGTCGAATAAGCCAAACATAATGAAATCATTAAGAAAAAAATGAATAAGATGGGTAAAGATATGTATCATCATTTCGAAACTGCCAGAAACAGATACCAGAATCAAGAAATGGAAATTGATGTCAATGAAGGTTTTGAACGCTTCTTATAAGAAAATCAATTTAAAAGGAAATTGATACAATATCAGGTGAATTAAGTTCAAAATCTCCATGAAGTTCTAAGTCAAAGGGCTAAAAGAGAAATGACCAATAATTTTATGGGTACAGATTTAGACAAAAGACAATTAATTTGATTTAAGAAATAAAATTATTTTATAATAATATTAATGAATATAAGTTAAATGTCTGAATAAAGTTCAGAGGATAGTGATGAATCACCAAAGTTAATCTAACTTAATAGATAAAGAAAACATCTATCAGAGATCGACGTTCTTATTGCTACCTTATAAATTGAACCAAAACAAAGGAGTTGGCAATAATTGAAGTTTCTTTGTGATACTTTTGAATAAAATGTCCATTACTTTTCTTAATTACGTAATAAACTTACAACTTCAATTCTTATTAAATTAATGGCTACTATTTCACTAGAGTAATTTACCTCATTTAATGTCGTTTTTAATTAAGGGGAAACTGGGAGAAAAATGTATGTCATATTAAAAGGGGAAGTGGCAGTTCTTATAAAAACCGATGATCAAAATGAGATAATTCAAAAGGAAGATCATAGACGAAGAAGTAAGTTATTGTAATAATTAGGGGCAACCAAAACATTTGATGAATTGATATTGCATAAATTTTCTAACTATAGGATTGTAGCTTATAAAAAACAATATGACTACTTTGGAGAAATAGCAATTGAGTAGAGGATTCCTCGCACAGCTACAGTTATTGCCAAAGAGCCTTGTATTTTTGCAATAATCACATTTGATGCTTATTAATCTTTACTGAGCGAATTATAGGCTGATAATTTGTAATTGAGATAGGTTGTGATAGCAAGGATGTATCCATTTAATCTATTAAATGAATAACAGTTTTAACAGATTTTACATAATTATGAAGAACTAAATATACAGGGTGGTTGTTTGTTATATAGAGAACAATAGAATGCAGATGCAATATATCTGGTGATTAAGGGAGAAGTGTTGGTGCAGATTAAGGAATTAGTTGATAATGCTGCTGCTTAGATTCAAGAATAGAAATATTTTGTGAATTTCTAAAAGTAACAGAGAATTAAAAATATTGGCCTATTTGGGACAGGGTAAATAGTGGGAGATTATGAATTGTATTTACAAAAGAAGTACAAGCATAAGTTGATAAGGAGGACTATAGCAATAGTTAAAAGTGACTCTAGAATTATCAGGATTCCCATGAAATAATTTGTAGACGTAATAGAACATGGACTTTCAACAAAATGGCTATTACGTTATGTAAATGAGAAGTATGAATAGAAGGAACAGTTACCAATATTATAATTGAAGGATGAGTAGGAGAATAGGAAAGTGTAATCGTTCATATCACCTCAATTCAAAAAAATGATTCTTCGATTGAAGAAACATCATGATCGCAACAAAATTTCGAGTGATCGATATTAACAGATCATTTACAAACAAAATGTGGAGGACGGGAATAACGAGTAATAGTTTATAGGATTAAAGAAGGAAATCAATTATTAGGATAAATCTTTGCTTAAGTATTTAGCTAAGGATCAGATTTTACATAAGAGGAAGAGCAATACTCTGACTAATTTTAGTATAGACAAATTCGCCTCGACTTTAAAATCTAGGGTTAGATTCACTAAATTATTAACATAAATAGATGAGGAGACAAGTTGTTACAGATTTCATTCTACTCCAACTAAAACAAATGGGTTCTCATCTAAATAGATTCAAACTCTTACTAATATTCAATCTCCATAATATAAATTCAACTAAACATTCAAAATGAATTGACTATTATTTATTTATCAATTTATGTATAAAAAATAATCAGCTAGACCTGATTCATCGAAACCTAGTAAATTAGTGATTGCAGTAAACTAACTGATAGAACAATAAGAACAACCCGAACAAATGGTAATATGAACACTTATCATTGTAAGTTACTAAAAAAGATCACTAACCTATGGTCGAATAAACAGAGTTCTGAACATGATCAGAATATCCAATATTAACGATGCCTGTACATCCTACAATTAGAACCAGATGATAGATCATAAAGTCAAGCCAAATAAGTTTAAGCTTATTTTGAGAAGCATTTCCATTACATAGGGTATTAATTTATACCTATGGTAGATAAATACGAGGATAACTATCACCAGAACTTTATTTAAAGTTATTCAAGAATCTCTTATTTGAGAGAGTGAATTAATTTGAATTAGTCTTCAATTATGGTGAAAAGGGAAGGAAGATGTATTTTATTTTGGAAGGTGAAGTAGGTATCTTATTACCTCAAGAAGATGAATCATAAACTGAACGTAAATTAGATCGTAATTAAATTACTAATAATGTAAGTGTCAGCAATCAAACGATTTGATGAGTTATTATTGCACAATTACAGCAATCATAAATTAGTTGCCATCAAAAAGAAATCAGATCATTTTGGTGAAATTGCTATTGAATAAAGAGTCCCTAGAACAGCTACAGTGGTTGCCAAAACAGAGTGTATATTTGCCACATTATCTTACGATGCTTATCAGAGTGTTCTTGGATTATTACAAGAACAAATCATGAAAAGGAAATTCGAAATCATTCGATCGATTCCTCCTTTTAAAAATTGGGTACACACTTCCTAATATGTGTTTTTGCATAATTGTGAAGAACACACCTTTGAAACAAATAACATCATTTACAAAAGATTCAACAAATGCGATTCCGTTTATTTGATCATAGAAGGAGAAATCCTAGTGCAGAAATGGGAATAGTATCGACTAGACTCAGAAGAGAACGAAGTGTTCTTACCACAAGGTGAAAAAATGACTACTTTGGGTAGGTATTCAAATGGCCAGGTAGTAGGGGATTATGAAGTGTATTTAACCAAAATGCAATAGAATTTAGTCAAGAGATCCTCTTAAGCCAAATGCATGGTTAAAACTTCAGTTCTACGAGTTCCCATTCAATAATACATAGAGAATATGCGGAATAACCAAACAGAGGAGTGGTTATAATAATATTATGAAGACAAGTTCAACAAAAAATGGATTAATTATGAAAGTGTAACATCACTTCAGAAAAGTGCATCTGTTCCGATTAAGAATTAATATATACTCCCAAATGCAAATTAGAAAAGCACTCATATTTTACGTAAAATTTCTTAACCTTGTACTTCAAAATTTATTGAATGCTCTTCTAATTATAATGAAAACCAAGTTATTACTTACTCACAAGATTTATTAAACCTTATGAAATAGAATAGGAAATATAGAGACAATTCTCAAAATCAAAAAAATAATCACTCTATCCATTCTTCTTATAATATTATTTAGAATCTAAAAAATAAGATTTTGAATTATTAAGATAGGTTTTAATTGGAAAGCAGAAGTGGAGTGCAATCTTAGAGCATATTCGATAGAAAGAGATGCCAATCTCGTATAGACGTTGATAGTTTTTAAACATAATTCCTGTTGAAACCGAGTACTTGTTCTTAAAAGAAACGAACAAAATTTAAGAGCATGCATAAGTTTGAATATTTGTCTAAAGTGATTAAAATGGGATCTTGATTACTTTATATAATTTTATCTTCATTTATAAACTTCAATGATACATTCAGAGGAAGAGAGTGTCAACAGTTTCACACCTGGATCGTAATATACATTCGTTATTAGTAGGCAAGACTAAAACCTTGAAGAGCATAAAAATAAGGACTCAAAAAAATATGCCATCATTGATTAATCTATTCGAATTCAATTACTACGCCGTATACTTTCAAAACAGGCGACAATTAAGGATGCTGCTAAAGAGTTTGGTGTTAATTTTTCAACTGCCAAGGCAATATTGCAAACCTATAGGAAGGAAGGAAGAATTGGAAAGAAAAAAACAAGAGAAAGAAATAAAAACAGATAGGAATCAGGTGAAAATAGTTCTCCCAGGAAGATTTAATCGATGTATAACCTGGAATAGCCTTAATAAATGAGAGCAATATCTCCAGAATAGAAACCATAAGCACCAGCCATTTAACCTATATTCTCAGTGATGAGTTCTCCAAATCTAGACAATCCTTAAGCATAAATTGCATTGGCTCTTTGCTAAAGGGAACTAGCTCAACAAAAATTAATTAATTTCTAATTAATGATGATGATTCAAGTAACTTAGAATCTTTATTAATTTAGAACTTCAAAAATATTTCGCAATTATAAGTCAAGGAAGAACCAAATATAATTAATTGAATTAATAATATATATATATATTATTTATCTATCCATCGTATTATATATACAACATTAATCATCACTATTATTATGGAGCCCTTTCAGCTGACTGTAATTCTTCTAAAGAAATAGGTAAAATCAATAATTACCCATTGGCATTTTCTTTACAAAATACAACATTACGACAGTTATTGCGATCATGAAGAAATATTAATTTTGGTAGATCTGTGACAAACTCAATTCCTCTTCTTTCTATTGAGATATATGAATTATGGTTATACTTCAAAGTAATCTTTTCTTTGGATGATCTCAAATAGCATTTAATCTCTTGTTTGTATTCTTTGTTGCTTGCTTTATTATTATTATTTAGGTCTTTATCTTGAGATTGGGTGAATTTTTGAAACTGCTACATTTGTACCTTTATTGCTGGTATAAACATCAATAAATGCAGATTCATAGACAAAATATCTTGAATGTATTTCTAAGAAGTATCTTCCATTTGGAATATTGTAGCTAGGATTAATGTCTAGATGGATACAATGCAAAGATTCCATTTTTTTAAGTATGTGTTTCATATTGTCCATAATTCAGTGTTACTTTGAGAATGGAATCATCTTGCACAAACTCTCTTTGTAATTCTTGTATATATATGGAAGAAGATGGTACATTAAAGAACCTTGCCTTCGATTTTGGATTATGTAGCAAATGCAATCATGGGATATGCAACGAGTAACAGGAGATGAAAAATGGCCATTTAATATATAATATTTATTTGTTATAATTTGAAATGGAACAAGGAATTGAATAATTAGGATTCAGTAATCGAAATAGATAAGTGGGATAGATAGTGAGTAGTGGAAAGAAGAAGAGTAAGAGTAATGATGAGGGATAGAAGATAATAAGATTGGATAAATTGAGATAGTAGATTGTGAGTTTGGAAATTGAAACTAAGAAGCCAAAGTTGAAATTGAAGAAACTAAATAGTGAGAACATGTTATTGATGGAGAAACAACAGTTGGAGGATGACATAAAAGATATAAGTTAGAGATTAGAGAAAATGAAATAGAACAAGATAGTGAGTAAATAGTAATAGTGTGATTTGTTATAGGATAAATAGGTATGAACAAATGAAATTTGTAAATAGGATTTCGAGTAAAGGTGGAATAACATTTAGAAGGAGGATGAAATTTAAAGTTTTTAGGAAAGAATGCAAAGTACTTTATTGTTGATAATATTCTTTATTTGATACTAGCTCTACTCAATGAGGAGTAGGAACCAAGCAATCATGATATTGAGATCTTGACCAAAGAAGTTGAAGAACTATTGTGTTTCAAAATAGAGGATGAACCAACTAAGTACGATCTATTCATTATAGAGGAAGAACAATAAGATTAATCTTTTACTTGATTTATATCTAATAATAATAATAATAATAATAATAATAATAATAATATACAGATATGAAATGTTAGACAGTTGAAATTGACGATGATGACACTCTACTTGAAAATCGAGATGGATCCATTATACAGCGTACCAATTGCTGCTTACAACTCTAGTCGAACCGTATTCAAATGATGCCCAAATACATATCACTCAAAGAAATGTAGAAAGCGAAGATGAAGGTTCCCAGGCTGACTCTCTGGATGAATAGATTGGATAGGCCATTCCCTCTCTTGTTAATTCCATTCTTGAGATGATGCTCAAATAGCAACTCACAATTCTCATTATCGTAATCCTTCATGCCATTTTAAATACAATCTTTACATTCTTGGGTGTTTGTTTTAGACAAGATACAATAAATAAATTGCAAGCCTTATTGGATTCCCAAGAGCGAGCCGAGTAACTCTATTGGTTTCTAACAGTAATTGACATCGTTAGCTGCCTCATCTTCTATTATTTGGCTATATCAGCCTATAGAACTAAATCCTATTTGATGTATCAATTATTACTCAAATGGGTTTATTATTGTTTCTTCATCCAAGTTTTCTTGGCCTACATCAACAAGTACAATTATCACATTATTAGATTGAACATTTTATTGGTATTTCTGAAGATCCTGACATACATCTACTCAAAGTTTGTGGCCCAATTAATCAAAGGAATTGTGAATCTCCCTCGACAGAGAGCAGATTGAATGATAAATTGAAGAATGATGTCGATTCATAATTAATTATTATCTACTTTATGCTAGATATGATAATCTTCCTTTAGACCATCCTCTCTCTCTTTATTTCATATAATAAATGAGTTTTAATGTTCATTAATATACAAAGATACGATTAGTCTTCCGCCAAGACATACTTAGTATTCAAACTAAAATGTTTGTATTAAATATTATTAAAATTTAAAATGTTGCTATTCTCGTACCAATTACAAAATTAACACAAAATTCAAGAAATTGCGCTCACCCCAAAACAAAAGGCAAATATTAAAAGGATTATAAGCTATTAAATAAATAATGAAGATGGATGACAAAAGATTCAAGTTGCTACTAGGAGTCCATTATTTAGGGTCAACAAGTAAGCAATCACAATCATTCATAGACTACTTTGCCTCCTCCACTAAAGCATCAACCATAAAAAGATGTGTCCAGACTCAAACCTCCACCTAGGATTGTACTCAAAATGACTATTCAATACAATCTCCATAAATTATTAAGGTAATTATTCTTACATCAACCTTCTAGAAAGTCAAGACAACAGCGGATAGTACTCAAAATACATACGAAGATGATTTTTACTGTCATGAGAATCTAAAAATAGAGGAAACTATACAATTACCTATAACTTTCACCAATCGAAACAGCGGCATTCCAAATTAAAAGCAGTTCTATTACATTAACCCACTCTACATCTAAGAATTCAAAGAAAAAGAGTATAACTATAAAACTAGAGCAATAATACTCAATCGAATCCTTGACAATTGCATTAACATGAACAATCCTTACTTTCACAAAGCCATCTACCTATTTGATCTATTTCTAAGTAAACTCAAGTGCAAGACCATCTCAAATCAATAGTAATTAAGATTTCTGTCTTTGGCTATAATATTTGTGATCACTAAAATGAATGCAGAAAGTTCAAATGTCAACCTTCTACTCTCCTAATCATCACTTAACATGAACAAACAACAACTACTCTAATACGAAAGACTCATCCTTAAAGTATTGGATTGGCATACGAATCCACTAACAATACAAGACATATTTTATGAAGTGATTTTGCGATTTCAGGTAGCCTTTCCAAACTTGAATGCATACATGTCTAATCAGCAATTACATCTTAAAATCTAAATTAATGAAAGTGACATGAAAATTATCAATCAGATCCTAAATGTCATTGTTTTGGATCACAATTACCTTAGTCATGATTTTGATGATCTTTCATTTTCCATTTTGTATGTGATGTACTAAAAGGAACTCAAAGAAAATGAATTTGAAGATTTTCTCAAAAAACATGAGAAGTCAAAGTCACAAATCCTAACATCAATTAAGTTTGTATCCAAATTTATTAGAGTTGTTTAATAATTGGTAATTTATAATATTTAATTTTAGAATGAGAAATAGTTAGACATAAATTCATTAGAAATACTAAAACTAGTTTGTGATTGATTTATATTTATGTGTTATATTCTTGTTCATTATTCTTTTAAACTTTTAATATCATTCACTATTCTCATACATATTTAAAAATCATATTAGACAATTATCTGAATATGAATTGCTTTCTTCGAAACTATTAGAATATGTGATAATCTAATACACACTATAGAATCTAAATAGATAACAAGTAAACTGGTCTTAATAAATTATTTATAACAGATTGTTAAAATATAACCATAAATTAATCAAAATTATGTGAAGTTATAAAAAGTGAAGAAGAGGATCATTCGAGATATTGGACAAGATAACTATATATATTTGTTAATGAAATCTAATTAATTGTATATATTAGGAGTGGAGAATTTAGACAATAATTTCAATCATTTACTAGTTTAACTACTTTAGCTGGAGTATTGGTGGTTAACTTTGTGGTTGCCATTTTTCCCTTAATCCATTTACCTCTAAAGGTAGTTCCATTAGATTTAATGATTTATCCATTGCCATGTTGAAGCCCAGCCTTCCAAAGTCCCAAATACTTTTAACCATTAGGCCATATTAACACACCATAGCCTTCTCTCAAATCATTCACGTATTGACCATCATATTTTCTTCCATCCGGCCATTCGAAAACTCCTTTACCTTATTTAACTCCGTTTCTCCATTCTCCGGTGTAGGTTCTCCCATCAGAGAACGCAAAATTTCCAAATCCAGACATAAGATCATTTTCGAATCTTCCCTCATAAATAGCTCCATCAGGATATATCAATTTACCAAAACCACTTTTAAACCCTTCTTGAAAACTTCCTAGCCTTGGAATACAGATCAAATTTTACCCTCATAAATCCAACCGCCATCATAAGTTTATATTCCTTGCCCATTAGGTAAATCATTTTTCCATTCACCATCATAATATGACCCATCAGAAAATGTATATTTTCCTTTCCCCTTTACTTATCCATCAACCCAAGTACCTAAAAATAGATCTCCATTTGAATGTTGAAATGTTCCAGATCCATTTGGCTTATTTTCATACCAATCTCCTATATAGAATGAATTTTCAGATAAAATATACTTACCAAAACCATGAATCATTCCATCTTTCCATTAACCTTCATAAAATGCTCCATTTTAGAGTTCAATACAAGGCAATTTCTGCTACTAATTTGTTTAGACTAATTATTGATCTTTTTTTTATAACGGTATGAAACATAATCCATTCATCTCTGCAGATATAGCTATTGGGTTGCTTGTAGGTCTGCTCAGATCTGAAACTGAACTAGCATCATCTTTCACTTCCTTATTTATATTTATAGTAATATCGGCATTGCAAAACTATTTTTAATTGGTCTCTTGCTCTTGATCCTTTCTTGGAGGCAATCTTTTAACTGTCTATTGTATTTAGAGAGTATTCTATTTCACTTATGAAGTTTCGGCTATAACCAAATCATTGTGAGAACTCTTTTAATTGATGATTGAAGAACTATGTTTTTGAGCTGTTGATCGAGAGAATTTAAATTGAAATTTTCTAAGTTTAAAGAAGATGATACTTTCGAATTACATAGCCTCTGAAATTAGCTTATATTTTAATCACTCCTTTCATTTCTTATTTGCTTAACTTCTTCCCAACTTTTTATTTACTCTTCGTTGTTTTTGTAGTCAAGATCTCTTAGGTCTTATTTGGAACAGAATCATTGCACTGTTAACAATTTCCCATTTGTCTGGTTCAATTATTAATATTTATGTTTATAGTCATCTAAGCCACAAAATTACGATTTTCTTATGTAAAATCTTTTATTCTAAAATCATCAAACCCTTTATTATCATAAATCTCAATCCCCCGTCTCACCTTTGCTTGTAAAATCATAGTCTCAATGAGTAGGATATCATAAAAATTTAGATCTATTACTTATTATCATATACAGTGAAGAGTTAAGATGAAAAGATATACTAAAAAGATTGATTATAAATTTAAATAAGACAGATTGCGCAATAATAAAAGAAATTTTTAATTGTTCATTAGATTGAGTCCATGTGGATGAATAAATGATGCTTATAATTTAGAGTCCATATTATGATTTGCAGATTATTGTGATTTATTTATATAATAATCTATTATAGAGTTCATGGCATAGTTTGGATGTAGTTGGATTAATATAATTCTGCATTTCCTGGAGATCTTAAAATAGAACACTATAACACATTTGGAGTCAATCAGAAATAATGATTAAATGTCATTTTATTATTAAATTTTAACTGTTAAGCCATGAATAATTGCTATGCATAGAATTTAAGTCTGAGTTAATTACGTCAATTACCACAAGAACGTATGCATGTTAAAATGTATAAAAATGAAGAGTACTTTAAATATTGATTAAATAAGAATAACATTGACACCTCAGAGCAATCGTAGTTAATTGAATGAAGTAAAGTGCTACTCTTATATATCAAGGCTATCGAAAATCTTGAAATGCAATGGCAATCTATACGGAAATAGCATCTAGACCAACGTTCTTGTAGTCGAAGTCCTGCCAAAAACAACCTTATGAATCAATTACTCAAAAATAAGGATAAATAATAGTAATGCATTTTGAAGAAGGTTGTACCTTTATCAACCATTAACTTAGCCAGAATCTAAGATTAGCAGTAACAATAATAAATTCAATGCGTTCCTTAACAATAAGCTCAACGCAATCATCTTAAAGTAGTTCATCTCATTTCTGTTTAGGATTCCTCTCATTTCCAATACATTGCCAACAAATACTGTAATATCTACAGAAGACCTAGTCCAGAATAACAATACGTAGTGAATTCCCTCAGAGATAATGAATAACTGAGTTATTCGATAGGCAGAAATCAGATTCAATAGCAGCAATATCAAAGAAATAATCTCAAAGTCTTGGATGAAAGAGTAAGAGTCAATTCCCAAGACAAATACACAGCCCAAGCTCTATCCAACAGTAATATAGTCAAGAAGGATGGACCCTAACGCAAAAGAGTTTCCCAATATTTCAAGGATGAGGAGAATAAGATGACATCTGTCAAATCTGTAGCTATGTAAAATTAAAGAATTCTTCCAAAAAAACGACCCTGAATCAATGCAAAATGGTTATTGATAAATTATGTATGATACCTTATCTAAAATTAATTGTAAAATAACAATGAATGTCTCGTCTCAATTGTTATTCAATCGTTTACAAACCATCATAATTCAAATTAGGTTAATCTATCGAATTTATGATATCCTTTAATTTTGGTAATACATAATTTACTTAAATTCATTTAATTATAAATTATTTAATGCTAATATTATTTATTAATTAATGATTTATTTATATTTATTTCTAGATTAGTATAATTTAAATTATTTTTTGTATGTTAGGAAAAGTAATTAAAATAATTAATAAATGTAAGTGGAAAAACCATTTTATAGAATGGTTGAACTTTTGTCTAATAGAAAAGTAATTAAACTTATCTATAATGTGATTAATAAAATATTTAAGGATTGTATCTGATATTGTCCATATTATCATTATATTATTAATATGACTAAAAATATTTAAAAGTTTGAATTTCTATAAAATTATATGTAGTTTGTATGAATATTAATATTGGCCATGATTCTTCTACAAATGTAGTTTTCGTGATAATGGATTTAAAAAATCTGGAAACATGATTGTAAAGGGTAATTGTATTTAATTTATGAATGGTAATAATGGTGTTTTGAAAGAGCATAGAGTTATTTGAGATAATTAATTAATATGGGAAAATTGTGGAACTTAATTAAATCTCAGCTTCTTATACTTATAATGAGTTTGCTTTTAATTCTTCAGTGCATATTTGGCTCTGAAGAATACTACTATTTGTTTGTGGTGTTAGTATTATAAATTACTCGTATGGCTTGGGAGTATTTTGGTGCACAGTAATTTTAAATGGTACTAATCATTTAATATTTGGGATACATGACAGTTCTGTATTTGTGCAGTAATACAGATGTTTTATCATGCATGTGTGTCATGCAAATAGGATAGACTTTATATTTTGAGAGTGAATTCAAAAATAGACGGCTAATAATATTGTTTTCGGTAGGGGCAGATCTTCTTGTGCTACTTTTGTTCAAGAATAGTAATATTAGTCAGATTTATTTACCTTGCGTATCCATAGTAATAAAGACTATGACATAATTGATCAACTCTGCTTAAGTAAATGAACACCCTAACTCCAATAAGGAAAATTTGATCGTGGAGAGTAATCATCAATCTATTTATAAAATGACGAAGGATCGCAATTGTCATTCTGATAGTATGCCCACAACTCCAAAAACTGATCTTTATTAGGTGGAATTACTGAGCTTTTTTCCTTAAGGGATTGCGCTGGTTGCATTAAATGATGATATTTAGTTTTGTAATGAGAATATGAAAAAGATATTTGTGTAAGGAGAAAATCAACAATCAATTCTCTAAGCAATATATAGTTTGGAAGAACAATAGATTGTGGAATAGGCAGAAAAATAATCAATGGAACAACAACCCAAATAATCGATGAGTTCGTTTTCAACATTTCAACCTGTACCTATACCGAAGACTTTATTTGAAAATGTAGCAAGATCTCAAAACAAGTCATCAGGAACAGTGATTCAAAAGTAATTGAAAGAAATGCCATTGACAAGAGCCAAAACATAATAGAAGAAGGAAACTATTAAAATAGAGGATACATTTATTTCTGATAGTTGTGTAAGTGATCATCACTATTATATAGGTGATTGAGTAAGAGATTCAGTGTATGAAGAAGTAGATTCAAAGAAAGGAGGTTTAGAATTTGATGAAGTCTACTCATGTGTAAGAACACATAGTTGTGTTGGGGTATATTCGATCAGAGAAACTAAAAAGGAGACAAATAGAAATTAAGTTGTATTCTACCTTTATGAATGATTGTCCTTANAAAAGTTTGAATTTCTATAAAATTATATGTAGTTTGTATGAATATTAATATTGGCCATGATTCTTCTACAAATGTAGTTTTCGTGATAATGGATTTAAAAAATCTGGAAACATGATTGTAAAGGGTAATTGTATTTAATTTATGAATGGTAATAATGGTGTTTTGAAAGAGCATAGAGTTATTTGAGATAATTAATTAATATGGGAAAATTGTGGAACTTAATTAAATCTCAGCTTCTTATACTTATAATGAGTTTGCTTTTAATTCTTCAGTGCATATTTGGCTCTGAAGAATACTACTATTTGTTTGTGGTGTTAGTATTATAAATTACTCGTATGGCTTGGGAGTATTTTGGTGCACAGTAATTTTAAATGGTACTAATCATTTAATATTTGGGATACATGACAGTTCTGTATTTGTGCAGTAATACAGATGTTTTATCATGCATGTGTGTCATGCAAATAGGATAGACTTTATATTTTGAGAGTGAATTCAAAAATAGACGGCTAATAATATTGTTTTCGGTAGGGGCAGATCTTCTTGTGCTACTTTTGTTCAAGAATAGTAATATTAGTCAGATTTATTTACCTTGCGTATCCATAGTAATAAAGACTATGACATAATTGATCAACTCTGCTTAAGTAAATGAACACCCTAACTCCAATAAGGAAAATTTGATCGTGGAGAGTAATCATCAATCTATTTATAAAATGACGAAGGATCGCAATTGTCATTCTGATAGTATGCCCACAACTCCAAAAACTGATCTTTATTAGGTGGAATTACTGAGCTTTTTTCCTTAAGGGATTGCGCTGGTTGCATTAAATGATGATATTTAGTTTTGTAATGAGAATATGAAAAAGATATTTGTGTAAGGAGAAAATCAACAATCAATTCTCTAAGCAATATATAGTTTGGAAGAACAATAGATTGTGGAATAGGCAGAAAAATAATCAATGGAACAACAACCCAAATAATCGATGAGTTCGTTTTCAACATTTCAACCTGTACCTATACCGAAGACTTTATTTGAAAATGTAGCAAGATCTCAAAACAAGTCATCAGGAACAGTGATTCAAAAGTAATTGAAAGAAATGCCATTGACAAGAGCCAAAACATAATAGAAGAAGGAAACTATTAAAATAGAGGATACATTTATTTCTGATAGTTGTGTAAGTGATCATCACTATTATATAGGTGATTGAGTAAGAGATTCAGTGTATGAAGAAGTAGATTCAAAGAAAGGAGGTTTAGAATTTGATGAAGTCTACTCATGTGTAAGAACACATAGTTGTGTTGGGGTATATTCGATCAGAGAAACTAAAAAGGAGACAAATAGAAATTAAGTTGTATTCTACCTTTATGAATGATTGTCCTTACATTCTCATAGTTGCACGAGATATCACTCATAGAGATTATATTCGATCATTAAAGAATTACTGTAATTAGAAATCCAAGATGTTGGCTTTTGTGAGTCATGAATTCAGAACTCCCTTGAATTGTATTATCGATTAACTGAATGAGAGTTTGAGAGAGGATTGCAGAAATGCATCAGAAACTATCTTCTGTGAGAAGGATAGGGAGAGTCAAAAGTCAGTGAGAATTGCTTTGCATACAGTCAAATAACTGCTGAATCTTTCTGATGATCTCCTTGATTTGGCATAAATTAGAGCAGATAAATTTAAGGCTGTGAAACAAAAGTTTAACTTAAAGAATATGTTGAAGAGTTGTCTTGATTTATTCTCAGCCACTGCTGAAAAGTAATAGATAGTCTTGACTTTGAATTACAATGCACATGTTCCGAAGATCATTGAATAGGATTCCAACAGGATCAAATAAATAATTATGAATTTAATTGGAAATGCATTCAAATTCACTGCAAAAGGTAACATTACTTTAGAGGTTACCTAAGGGTAAGATAGAAAGAGGATCACTATTTCTGTGGCAGACACTGGTATTGGAATTTCTGATGAAGATAAAGTTAAATTATTTAAAGCTTTTGCAAAAAGTAATAGTGAGGAGAGTAAGAAGATGAATGCATAAGGTGTTGGATTGGGATTATTGATCAGCAATTAAATCTTATAAAATCTTAATGGAGATGCTTAAAATGGATTAAAGGTTCATTCTCAATTAAATAAGGGGTCTACATTTTATTTTTCGATTTAAATTTGTGATGTACAAGAAAGCTTTTCACTTCATGAAATGGAAGAACGGAATCAAGAGAGTGAAAATTCCGAATAAAACTCTTTGGCTATTCCAGATGATGATTACCCTCAAAAATTGAAAGTGATTACAAAAAAGATGAATATCAAGGCATCAACTAAGGCTTCAATTGGAGATCCAAAGATACTGATTGTGGATGATGTGCAATTAAATGTAGAGATGATTGCACGTATGATAAAAGATACGGCTGTAGATTGGGCCTTGAATGGATATCAAGCCATACAGAAATGCAAGGAAAGAATCGAACACAATTAAGAGTTGTATAAGGTTATACTTATGGATTTGGAGATGCCAATCATGAATGGATTCTAGGTGTCTCAGGCTATCTTTTCTTTATGTGCTGAATTGGGAGCGTCTACAACGATTATTGGGTGTTCGGCTTATGACTCAGAAGAGTAGATGCAAGAATGTTTGAAGGTGGGGATGACGGAGTATCTACATAAGCCTGTGAAATAGAAGGCACTTAAACAAATCTTATTTAAGTATCTATGAATTACATTCTTATTACTTATATTCTGTTTTTTGTTTTTCCAAATATAAAATACATTTGCCCGGAATTTTATATAATTTAAAAATAATAAATGGACCCACATCAAATATGTAAGTAATTGCAAGAAGAGTATTTTAAAGAGAACGACGCTGTAAACAATTTGATTTCTAAAAGAGCTGAGAAATCGTGTGTCTGAGATGGAGGCCAAGAATGCTGAATATCAGGATTAGATTGAAGGATTGAAATAAACGATTGAAGAAAAAGATGCCAAAATCAAACAACTAGAGGACACATTGGCTAATATATAAAATAAGCCAATCAAAAAAACCATTTAAAAGAAGAAAGATAAGAAGACAACTAAAAAGTGATATAATAATTTACTTAAATTATGAAACACAGACCTTAATCAGCTATCGTTAAGCTCAAATCAGAGCCTTCAGATCCTCGTTCCTCTTTTTCTCACTTAATGGTGTCTCCCAAACCCATCAGACCTCCACAGACTCCTCAACAATTCCATTTAGATCAGGAAACTCTCTACATGAACAACCTGCATTAGAAGTAGGAGACTAATGAAATCAAATTCCAGAATCTCAAACTAAGAACTCTTGTCTAGCAATTACAGGTTTCTATAATAATAGTATCTCTTGTAGGCACGCATCTCTCAAATTGAAAGAGTGGATCGACATCAGTTCTAGGTGGACCCTTTGGGAATGTCTACTAACAATGGAGAAGGCAGCATTGTTCCCATGCTCAAAGCCAAAATTAAATAATAAGCACAAACAATTGAAGAATTGACTGCAGATTTACGTACTTAATGTAAATCAGTAAAACTCACTTAAATTCTGGAATTGCAGAAACAGATCAAGAATCAATAAGATGAAATCATCAAATTGAGATAGTTTTAATAAATTGCTCTCAAAATCACAGATCAAGAGTAATCAATTAGTGTCATTTTATTCAAAGCTTGTTCAATGACCCTGACATTGCTGAGCGTGTTGAAAATTACATCAAAACCATAGATGCACAACAAATTCATATCGATCAATTGTTTAGGCAGAATATGAAACTCAATTAAGAACATCAAGAATTATTAGATAAAACAAACAAACTCTAAGAAGAATGCAAATAAATTGGTTTAGAAAGGACACAACTCAAGAAGAAGCTAGATGAACAGCTCATTACTGAAACTGAACAATATTAACAAAAGAAAAGAGAGTTTCTTGAAAATAAATTATAGTATTATCCATAATCTATTTAATAGGAGTGTACTTAAACAAGTTGATGCCTTGAAAGGAGAACTCTCCCTATATGAGACTAAATATAAACAATCCACTAAGTTGTAATAGGATCAAGAGAGAGAATTCAAATAAGCTATTATGAAAGCTCAAAAAAATAAATAAAATTTAGAAGAACTCATCCAAAAGAAAGAATAGTTAATGTATATTTCATCATAATCCAGTTAGTTAGGACTTACAAGATAGAGTGGCAATCTAAGATTTACTCAAACAAAAATCAGCCAATGAAGAACCAGTGGTCAAATTTGTCTAGCCTCCCAAAACCTATCGTGATCAAAACTTCCAATTCCCTGAACCATCTATCCAATAACATAGACCCACTGATATAATCAATACAATCCCTATTGACCAAGAACGACTTAAGCAATTATTGGAAGATCTCAAATACAAAGTGATATCTCTATGTTTAACTCGTCAAAGACTGCTACATATCTTCAACTATATAGAGTTCATGTAATTAAAGGATTCAGTCCATTATTTCATGGGATCTCCCTTCAATTACCTAGAAAAAGATGCTCTCATTTTAAGTCGATATTTCTTTAGTGAAGACAAAGGAAGTGGATATAAAATCTAATGGGAAGACACGCAAAGTATTAGTGATTTAATCCAAATGATTATCCCTAAAAAGGAAAACACCTAGTTTAATTTCAAGACAATCGTCAATAGGAATCATCTTATTAAACAATTGAATCAACAAATCAAAAATGTCAAATTGAATGATGCTAAATACAATGTGGATGATTACATCATATACATTAAGAGAAATACTAATATGAATGATGAGTAAATCACATTTCTTAGATTAATTAATCAAATCTATTTAGGAGACGTTACCAATATTGACCAAGGTTTCTTGCGTATCTATCTAAAGGAAGAATGCGAGATGCTATCCCAACTCTATAATTTATAAAAGATAGACTTTGTAATCTATAGATACATACCCAAATTGTAAATAAAACAAGAAGATAAAGAATTTGAAGATTTCAACTTTACCTAAAAGACTTCAGAGCAAAAAATTGATGAATCCTCAGCCCAATTTTCATGTAATTCCATTAATTATATATAATAGAATTCAGAGTAAGTGATTCCTACTTGAAAACCTCAGAAAGCAGAAAACCAACTTCAGCCAGAGACTCTCTCACATATAGTCAGTCATAAATTGAGAGTGTCCCTTTATTAAAGAGACCAAGTGATTAGCTGAACAGAATTTCTAATAATTCTATTAAAGAAGAGGAAGAATCGGTAGAATTTGGAATTTCTGACTAATTGATGATCTAGCCACCCTAACTATTGAAAAACAAAGAGCCAATTTAAGAAACTGAAGAAGAGTATTAAGAAATCTATTAAGAAGAATTATGATGACATATATATATATATATATTATTTATTAATTAACATTCTAGGAGCAACAACAATACTCAAAAAGATATTATAGATTGCTTTTCTTTAATTCGAAAAAGAATTAAACAAGGAACACAACTCAATGCTGCAACATAGAATATCATATTACTGATATAGATGAACTCAATAGATTTCAAAAATATGCATTAAAAAATTTAAAATCATTACACAGCATTATAACATTACTTTTACTCTCATATTTGGAATTACTAATCCTCATAAAAGCTTTCAGCATTAATACTATTAACATTGTAAAAAGAAATAAGTTAATCAATACTGACATTTATTGACCTATTAGTTAAATGATCACTATCCTTTATGATAATAACAATTTAATGATAGAAAGCATGTTAAGAAAATCTTAAGTAAATTAGTCATTATAGATCTGGATAAAAAGTTATTTTATTCAAATTAATAATTAATTATATAATTCATACTCGATAGAGAATTTACTCATGCTGAATGAAGCGAGAATGGTTTAGTCTATTTTGGAGGACTATTGACAACTGGTTTAGCAGCATCGGATAGACTTCCCATGGCATCAAAAATTTAGCTTCTTCTCTAAATACGCCTAACAAGTTTATTTTATCTAATCTCTTAAATTGAGAGTCTATTTCTTGGATTAGAATTCAACATTCCTGTTAAGAGGGCCTGACAATCTGGAGAGCGTTAATAATTATCCCAAGGTCGTGGTATTTATGCAGTGAGCAATTAATGAAATACAACTCCCAAGCTATAAATATCCACTTTATAATCATAATTATTAGTAGTAATTATTTCAGGGGCCACATAATTTCTAGTACCACACTTCTAAAAGAGATAAGTACCATCTGGTCGGTAAAAGTCTGCCAGTCCAAAATCTGCTATTACTGGATCCTCTAAATTCCTAAATAAAATATTATTGGGTTTTAGATCTCTATGGATTATATTTTTGGTGTGAATGTACTCAAGTCCATTTAATAATTTCAATAACAAACTTATTGCCTTATCTTCTTTAAGAATCCTGTCTTGGCTTATTTCCATCTGCGTCTCGAAAAGCTCCTCGACTAAAAATACACATTGATCACTCTCATAACATTCTTTTATGGTCAGAACATTTGGATGATCCATCAATCTTAATATCTAGATCTCTTTCTTAATTGCACTTTTATCTCGAGGATCAAGCAACAATTATTTCTCAAACATCTTGACGGCAAATTGCTGTTCATTTTAAACATTCTTTACTTTGTAAACCTTGTATATATTATGTATTAAATACCTTTCCAAAACTCCCACTTCCTATCTATTTCAAAACCCTATACTGATTGGCAAAATCCTTCTGAATTCCATAAAGTTTCAGTATTTATTTCAATTAAGAAGTTAGACCAAAGATGAGCAATTCTTTGTTTTACTATTGGATTTTGACTCCCCTCCCCATACAGACATGATCATTAAATTCTATATATGCATTGGCTATATTTATAGAATTCAAGATTTCAGTCTCTTCTTCAAAATAGTTCAACGTTAAAATTGTGTTTACTAACTACAATTAGCATCTCACAAAGTGATTTGTCCTAACTTTGAGAAATGCAATTTGTTTCTTGAGTGTTATTCCAGTTTCAACATCATAAAACGAAGAGTCAAAAAAGTTATCCATTTATTATTTTAATAAAATTCTGATAAAACGTATTTGATTTAAAATATGTAATATCATTAAAATGCTTTCAATTTAAATTATTGTAGTTCATTCAAGAAATAAGCAAAAATAAATTTAATAAATAATAAATATTTATAATGTAAAAACATAGTATTTAATGGTTTATTTGCAGTAAATATTTTAAAACACTTCTTTTAAATTACTTGAATTTACCTTCTAAAGTATTTGATATATTGATGGAATCAAATCATTGTGCAATAATTTTACAATCTGAACTAATGAAAATCATTCTCATTAATATTTGAGATAAACTAATTTTAATCGTTATTTGTTATAATTATTTTAATGAATCAAAATATATTGGTAAATACATTAGATTTGAACAAATACAAAAATTCTATTTGATTTCAATCTAAACAACTTAAATAACAAATATTCTTAATATACATGAACTAACTATATTAGAAGGGAATTTTGGATAATATTTCATCCAACTAAGAAGAGGGTTTTAATCAATAATCAAAATAATTAAAGCATGTTAATATTGAAAATTATTATCAAATAAATTAAAGAGTAACTTACTTTATAAAACAAAAAAATTATTTTACGCTGGTTCTTAGAAGTTCTAACTGATTAAATTGATTCTCTCATTTCTTGAAGCCTTCCTTAATGAAGAATTCTATCAATATAGACTATAATATTTGGTAATTTAGATGAAGCCGCAATTAAATTCAAAAATAAGCATTTCAATGGACTTTTGTGCTGCGAATTCTCATCCATATTTTGTCGAATTATAGAAAAGAGGATGAAGATGAAGAGATGAAGGGCAATCACAATAAAAAGTTGGCTTTTTTTAATTTAATATAATTATTTTAAATACTAATACAAAGCTCAAAATTAGTCTCTTAATTTGCAATCCAAATACTCGATGACTAATATGGGTTTATCAACTTTAAATGTCTTTTTATTTGTAGGAGAAATGTTGCTATTCCAAGAATCATCCAAACTAAATGTTTCAATTTCTTCTGGTTATGGACTTGGTAGAGGTCTAATATTAGAATCTAAATGATACCTGGTTTTAATGTGTTGAGGAGTATCTGGATTTGGGAAGTTAGATTGAGTTTAAAGTTTGAGGTGATAGAGGCCTTGCATAAAAGGGCGTGATAAAAGTTATAGAAAATAAATAATACATTTGAAACTAATAAATCATATAATTTAAATTGCTTTGAAATATAAAAATTGTGTAATTGTGTTTTCTAGAAGGTATAAAATATATTAGATGTACTGAATTTAATGAAGAATGTATATTTAAATAATTAAATATCAAATAGTGTAAATCAGAACAGTCATAGATATTCCAATCAATTTTTTTGTGAATAATTCTACATTATTTGGAATATGTCGAATGTAATACATTTTTTCTTTATTCATAAATTAAAAGTTTTATTATAAATGAATTATCAATTGTCACAGGCTGAAAATGAACAAGGTGACATATGTATTGAGTCATAATTTGATGAATATAAAAAACACTTTCAATTGGATTGCTATGCTCTGGAAGACAAATCACAATTTTACAACTTAAACATGAATGAACCACTAGACATGAAATCTCCTTCTGAAACTGTATATTTAATAATGAATCTTAGATTCAAGAGTTCATATTCACTGACGAAAAATTGGAAGCACAAGGAAAAGGATTAATTAGTACTTCGTTAAATTAACATAAATTAATCAATATTAAGCTACTTGATTTATCTAAATGCAAACTCCATTAAATACCAGAAGATGTTAAGTAAAATAAATAAATAATGTAGATAAATGATCAATTTGTAAAAAGTGTATTTGAGTTAGAATATGTTGATAACATTGCCTCAATTTTTGGAATCCTTATCATTCTTAGAGGTGTTAGATTTATCTTACAATTAAATACAAATTTACAATATCCATCTGAAACGCTTAACGTAACTAAATCTTGCATGCAATTATATTAAATAACCATATTTTGGGAATCTGGATGTACTTTGTATTTAGATGAATCCAATCACTTAACTGCCTCAACAATTTCATAAAGCCTTGAGAAATTTGAATCAATTAGAATTTGATTGGTTTAAGTATTGCAAACCTCCTTTGCCATAGAAACTAAACTTTACAAAATACCCTTAGGTTTAAGAGAAACTAATAAATTCACTCTCGAAATAACCTTTGAGTTTCTAGGAATTCATCCAGGTGTTAAGTCAGAATTAATAGAACTTTAGTAGTACTAACTACAAAGAGAGGAACTTGTTTTGTTAAGCAGGCACCAATGATGAAATAGGGGTGTTGTATTGCTTAAATTTGATCATACCTTAGGATATCAACAAAACTGATTTCGATCATTATACACCTTTGTCAGTTTGTTATACGGAAGGCAAAATGAGGTTAGTTTTCATAATAATAAAGATCAGTGAGCATATTAAAGGCTTTTGGCGGTAGATTTTCATTGAATAGCATTCATTGCATGAGTCAAAGAGCTGATGTGTAGAATTTAAAATTTCTATTAGGAATAAAGGAAGATGTACACTTTTCATTAAGAGTGTCTAAAATTTTACATCCAATCAACTAAGAATCCTTTGTGATGTTAAGAAATATTGATGGAAATACTCCATTGCATTAATTAATGATGAATTTCGATAAGCATGAATTTAGTTCAGAATTCGCCCTGATTCTATTGTTGTTTGGAGCAGATCCAAATGCCGAAAATTATGAAGGTTTCACTCCTTTGGAGATGGCTATCAAGAAACAATAAATCAAAGGACTTAAATTTGGAAATGATTTCAATATGTCAAATAATGTAGACTATTTGAATAACAGAGTTTTTGATTTTTCCCATTAATCAACTATCACAGGCAATGGTATCTGTCATACAGCTGCGATAGTTGGAAATCTTGAAATCCTAGAGTTTCTGATTTCAGTTAATGCTGACTACTTTTCTATTAGTAAATCAAACAGATTACCTAGAAGTTTGGCTATTCAAAGTTTAGTAGCTTTAAAGAATATTCGAAAGTTAGAAAAAAGATATATTTTAAATAATGTGATTAGAGAGAAATCTCTCCTAGAATAATAAGAAAAGTATTATTTAAAAGATTAATTAGAAATGTATATTAAATGAGACATTAAATTGAAAAGAATATGGTTTAAAGACATCATAACATGATATAGAAATATGTAGACTAAGGGGAAATTGATGATTCATAATCTATGGAAAGCTATAATGATTTTAGTCTTCAAGTGGGAAGTGAATGCTCAGTTAGAGAGACAGTTGCAGAATCTACTCCCATATTTAAGAAATAATAAAATCTCTAAAAAGAATCAATATCTACTGTGTAATAGAACATTTAATAATTATTAACAATTGAATTTTCTGATCATTAACCTGACATTTTAAAATTGTTAAGAAATGGTAACATTGACACAGCAATAAAAAAATTGGAGAATATATTGCAATATGAACTAATTAGTGTATCTGAGAGACTCAAATATAAAAATCAATTATCTTTGTTAAAGTTAAAATTCAAATAAAAAAATGTTGAATTAAAATCAAGAATTGGTAAGGATGTATAATTACTATTAAATGAATATTAATTTAAGTCATTAAAAGCAGACCTGAGAAGTAAATCATATCTGTATCATTAGATAAGTACTTCAAAAATGTCCAAAGCATATTAAATTCCTAAAATGAAAAGGAAATTTCTAAAGCATTAAATATAGTCTCCAGACAATAAATTATATGTTCTTCTTTCAACTTAAATAGGGATCTATTAGTTTAAGATCTGTCTCTGATATCTGATCTTAGAACTAAGCTAAGTGCAAATCTAGTTTATGATATAAATAACTATGCAACTCACTTATTTACTTCGTAAAATTAACTATATCTGTGGCTCTATAGTTGCTTTTCAAAAAAAGAAAAAATCTTAGTGAAAACTAGCTTTTTTAATCTATAAAATTATGAATATCTTTAATAGATGAAATTTAAAAAGAGAAGAGTTATCGTTGGAAAACCAGATGATTTGGCAATTGACAAAGACATTTCAGATTTAGATTCTGTTCCAATCAACTAAATCATCAGTAATAATAATCTGTTTTGTAACACTAAAAGAAATTGAAGCTACAATTATTTTATATTCATTATAAAGCTAATAATCTTTTCAAAATTTAGATCAAAAACCGAATTTTAATTAATATTGAGAAAAAAATGCCCTTTATATTTAATTTACAATATTTTCATACTTTTGAATATCCAAATGTATGAAAATGGCGTTCCAGGTATACTTTTTCTAACTAGTATTATTATAAAATATTCATCGATCAAGGTTTCTCTATGTTAAGAATATCAAATTCACTCAAAAGAATTAAAAACTTAAATCAGTTAAAAAAGTAATCTTTCTTAACAAATTCAAATTTGATTCTTAGCTATGTAAATTGGTGTATAATGTTGATGGTATGACAGATGTTTAAGATGCCATAAGGGTTATAATATTAAAAAAGGATAATCTAATATCTTGATTACACAATTATACGAAAAGTCAAATTTGAATTAAAGTGATGTTTCTATTTAGGTTTTGAACATAGTTAATTGATATTGTAATTCTGTCAATGATAATGAAGCGAATTTATTTACTTTGATTGTAAAGATAAATAATGAGTATTATTTGACAGAGATTTAAAATAATATTATATCTCCCTTTTTAATTGAGTGTTAAGTTCCAATAATGTTTACTGAAATTGAATAAAATCAATGGTCATCATTTGTAGATCATAGATATACCTTTTTTTATAAATATCTAGTAAATTTTGTATTAGCATCAAATAATTTGCTGATTATAAATTACGTCAGCTTAATAGATAGTAGGTTATTGGTATGTAAATCTTCTTAATTGGGCAATTCTAAAGCGAATATATTGTTTAAATAACATTCCCTGTGTCAGAAGTGGTAAATTTGAACTTTGGGTTGATAAATGATTATAATGATATTTGGGCTGATAAACTACAATTATTTTAATAATAATGATTAAGAGATTCAAGAAACTCTTTCAGGGTTAAAGTGAGTTCCAATCATTTCTTACAAAATCTAGTCTTACAAAGGATAACTATGTTTACAAACAAGAGGATGTGGAAATTTTAATACCATACCTAACAGAAGATTAAAATATAATCGAATTTTTTTAGGTGTATTAAGAGGAAAGCTGTCAACTTTATACAATAAAAATGAAAATGCTTATAACTATTCATCAGATGCTTAACATCAGCGATGAATTTGCATCATATTTCACTAAAATTAATTTTGCCTATTTTAATAAGTATGAATGATTGAATTATAGCAGGCCTTCCCATAAACCAGAAACATTTGTATTTAAGCAAGTAACAAATGAGGTATGGTTGCTGGAAAACCTTTAGATTCCATTTCTGCAGTATTTGTAAAAATTGGCATTGAATGTACAAGAGATCAAAAGTTATCGAAATCACCATTTCAGAAAACCTATTCATTAATCAAAGTAAAACGTCGTATTTTATTTAAGTCTTGTAGTAGAATGCTTTAAATTGCAAAACCTAGTAAATTAAGGTTTATCTCTAGTGCCCTAACTGAAAACATCGCTATCAAATTTCCCTCATGATTTTCTCTTAAAGAAATTGGCTAGCAATCTCTATTGTGAATTGAGACAATTTTAAAGACAGCTGATTAATTCTCTTTCTGCTTTATTGGATACCAACTCTAGGGCCTCAAATATTGAGATATTTGAGTTCTTCAGAGAAGTAAGATCTCTCTCTCACAATTCACATAGGTGCAAATTATAGAGAAGAAGACCATGTCATATTACATGTTACACAAGTTGTTTGATCCAGGAAGAAAGTTGATGCCTCCTTTGTAATTGAAAATCGATCTAAAAAGCGCAAAGCATCTTGAATAGTAAGCTTTAAATGAGCAATTAAAGATTAATTAGCAAAAGTAAATGAGAAGTCAACGGAATTCCAGATCGAATAGTTTAGATCAGCAATAACGAGTTTCTTAAGGTTTTATTAGTTAAAGGGAACGCCGCTTCATGATGTACAGTAGAACAAAGAAACAAGACACGATTTAGGAAGATATTGAAATGCCCACTGAAGAATAATAGCCTTCAGAGAAAAAGAAGATAACGTAGATGATGGATAATTAAGTCAATGACATTCCTAAATAGTTTGATAATTTGGAAAATGATAATAGCGACATTCAAAAGAAGGAGAGTAGTGATGAGAGCGAAATCAATGAGAGAAATAGTTAGAAGGAAACTAATGACATTGTTAAAAATTAAGAAAGTACTAGTCAAGCAGATTAAGATGAAAATTAATATATTTGATTAATAATAAACTTGCTTTTTATTTATAATTTTTAATGAGTGCAGCAGAAGAAATAGAAAGATGTTTAGCATAGGCAATTCAATAAAGAACTGCAACAGAAATCATAGCCACTATGGGTACAAAAGTATTGACCCTTTAAAATTTTTAATAATTGATAAAAAAAAATAACAAGAACATTATCAATAAAGAAGTGGAGGAATATTATTTTAAAATATTAACAGATTTTGATAGCAGGGTAGGAATTACATAAGAAATATTTGAGAAGATGGTTGAGAATTTACCTAAACCAAAAAGACGTTAAGATGTTGTCATGAGTTTAATTGAAGGAATACAATCAAAAAAAGTACCTTTGGAAAGAATTTTCAAATTTTTTGATTATGATGGAGATGGAAAAATGCCGCTAAACGAAATGAAAGAGCTCTTGGAGTATTTATACCCTGATATTACTGAAGAAGATATCAAGATATTAATGAAAAATAATAATGAAGTCTAATTCTCATTCGAAAATATTAAGACCCTATTATCATTTGAATAAAATATGAATGCTGAAATTGTTATAGTAAAGGATGAGAATGGAATTAGTGATAGTGAGGATGACGATGAGTATTATGATGAATTTGGAATGTTTAAGGGAAATCAGGAAGAATATTTTGATGAATACTGCATTAGTGAAGATTCACCATTTTATGAACCATTTATGAACTTCAAAAGTCAATACTATAAATTGAAAGAAAATAAAACTATATTTGTAGATCCAGATTTCAAACCTGATGAAACAAGTCTAGGAAATGTTGGAGACAATTTTGCATGGAAAAGACTGACTGAAATTTGGAAAAATGCTTAAATCTTTTAAAAGGATTTATATCACTCAAATAGCGAATTAGGAGTACATTCCTTAGTTTCTCCGAGAGACATTAAATAAGGATCACTTGGAGATTGCTATTTTCTATCGTCTTTGGGGTCGATTGCCAGTAAATAGTATAATTTATATCTTAATTCATAGTCCTGATAAGATTTTTGAATTGTTTTAGACTCCTATTCTAAATCCGTATAATTTTTATGGTGTTTGGCTTTGCATTTAGGGAATTTGGAAATTGGTTACTTTAGATGATTATGTACCTGTCTTTAATGATCAACCAGCATTTAGTGGAAGTGATACTCAGGAAATGTGGGTTATTTTACTAGAAAAAGCATGGGCTAAAATATTTGGAAGTTATGGGAATATTATAAGTGGTGATCCCAGAGAAGTTATAGCAAGCATTACTGGAGGACCGACTTGGTGTATCAGTAGTGATGAAAGCACTTTTATTGATAAGTTGAAATAGATAATGAATTCATATCAAAATTACATCGTATGTGCAGGAACCTATTCTGATAAACCAGAATCTGAGACCTTTGGATTAGTGCGAAATCATGCTTACTCGGTGTTGAACTTTAGAACTATCAAATTGCCAAGCAAGGAAGAAGTTTAACTAATTTAATTGAAAAATCCCTATGGAAATGATCAAGAATGGAATGGAGACTGGAGTGATAAAAGTGATCTTTGGACTTAAGAATTAAAAGATAATGTGTTATAATCTTAAGAGGAAGATGGCATATTCTTTATGTGTGTTGAAGATTTCAGAAAGCATTTTGAAAATGTGTTTATAGGATTCTGCAATCCTTATTTTAAATTTTCCTAAATCACAATTTAATGCTAGAAGAAGAAATCTTCATATATTTTATTAAATATTAAAAAGGATGGAGAATATTATTTTTCCGCCTATTAGAAGTCATAAAGAATGTTTAGACAATAATCAAAAGATCTATAAGTATAATATGACTATTCAGAAATGCGCTTGATATTATCTAAGATGAACAAGAACAATTCCATTCAACCTTTAACATACAAGACAGAAACAGATATGAGCTTCAATATCTATGGAAGATTGTAGAAAGGACAGTATATACTGTAACTTAAAGTATATTGGGTAATGGAGGGATGGGATTAAAGTGATGTTCCTTTGGTTTCATATGGAGAAGACACAACTGAAATGAAATTTTGTTAGAAAATATCAAATTTCCAACAAGCCTCTATTTTATTTGAAGCCAAGGAAAAAAGAGCTGAAGCCAAACCACTTAATCCTTCCCATCCTGAGCTTGTTGCATTGAAGAATAAGTCATAAGCATATAAGTAAACTGTATAATTATTAATTAGTTATCCTTATCTTTATTACTAAAATTTATCAAAAGAAAAGACTTTTAGTTTTGAGATGGTATTTGAGGGGGATATCAAATTAAAGAAACCTCATAGTGGCAATCAAGTGGATATTGAACTTAAGCCAGGTTAAGATAAATTGATAGTCTATAAATTTATGACCAAGGGAGCAAAAATGAAATATCAAATACACAAGTTCAAATGTAGAAGTGCATCATGAATTATTTAGAATAAATATCGATACGAATATCAAACTTATTAGGTTATCAGATTAAAATTATGTTGATATTTATTTTAATGAAATAATTGTCTTAACCTTCTTAATTGTTTAAAGCAAAACAAAAAAGTGAACCCTCACTCTTGCCTAATATAGATATTCTAAAAGAAAATGTTAAATCAAGTTTTGCCCTTGGACATCTCAGAGGTTTACTAACTTATAAGCAACGAGAATTACCCAAAACTGATATTCAAGTAAGACGGGATCAAACATTTGGGAAAGCGAACAAAAAGTCAAAGAATAAAAGGCTAACCTTTTTAAAATTCGGATTTAGAACACATGAAAAAAAGAATAATTACTATCTCCAACCTCTGATTAAGAAGGTGAAGGATGCATTCGGAGAAGTTGCTAATGACGGTTCAATGGGAGTTGTAGATTTATGGAGCGATAGAAATGTAAATAGATTAATGGATGCAATTTAAATGACTAGAGATAATTTAATAGTGAGAAAATTGGGTAAAGAACTCAATGAGGCTGAACATTTTCTACTGATAAGGATGGAAGAGAAGAAAATGAGAGACAGGATCTTCATGGAATCATTAAAATTGCAATTCCAAGAGACTGACACATTCTCACTCAAGTTTTAGTTATCTGATAAAGACAAGAAGATTGTACAGAGAGTTGCCTAGCCTACAATATCAAGTAATCTTAGATACAATAATCCGAATGAGAACATTTAGACGATAGTGGAAAGTATTGATCAATTGCATCAGGAGAATTTGGAAATTTATACTGATCTGTACAAATAGATAAAATCGATTCAGAAGCACATAAAGTGATTGAATTGTTGTTCAAAGAGCATTTCAAATCCTATGACTTATATATCTGTCTAATTTACGTTATTTTTATATTTAAGACTTTATAATAAAGGATGAAACAAAGAATAAGCAATTTTGATTGATAATATTAAATAAAAGATAATTTTGCTTATTTCTTACATCAGACAATGTATATATGCAATCAACATTATTTATACGTTCAGACTATACGAATGTCAAAAAGATAGTAGTCTATTTAGATAGTTGTTTTCGTTTTTATAGATTCTGTCATGTTCTCGTTTTATTTAGTATAATTTTTACTTCAGATCAGTCTTACAATTGTCAATCTTTTTTGCATTCTCTTCACAAAACCATTTGGCATCTTGAAGTCTAATTTGAAATTGTTCTTTGAGGTCTTCTTCTGGCTCTGTTTTGAATATTCTTTTCTCAAATTATAAAATTGCTTCATTTTAGGATTTCAATTATTTAAATGCTGCGTCTCTGTATTTCTGTTCATGTAATTGTCTTTTGAATGATGTCTCAGCTTTCTTTATTTTATCCTGCATAGATGGTTCCTTCTTCTCCAGCATATGTTCTCGAATAACAACCCAATCGTCACTACTTTGATATGGTTGCAATTTAGTTTTGAGTTTCCATCCAACTCCATTAGGTTCTAATTCCTAATTGGATTGGATTCTCTAATATTTCTTTAACAATTATTCCATGTATTATTTTAGTTGATGAGGAGCCAACTTATCCTTCATTTAAAAGAGTAGTCGTGTTTCCTTGATCTCTTAATTAGATCTATTCATCCTCTTCATTGAATCTTTGCTGTTGATCAAACAAAATTTACAATAATCAGGTAATTCTGAGTCTTATTGCATTTTAATGAGTTCTTCTTTAATTTCTATGTATTTATTGTCTGTTTGCCATCGAGTGATATTGAGTTCTGAAGGGTTATCTATTTTTTTGAGTAAGGCTTAAATTTCGTGATTACGTTATTTATCCTCATTTTTGATTCTCGAAATACTAGATACAATGTCCTCGCAAGTGTGACTGACCTCATTGATAATGTTGGAAAATTGAGAGTTCACAAAGCGAGTGCGAAATGTGTCAGAGTGTTCTTAAAATTTAGCTTCTAATGACTTATAAGGTCTGAGCTTTTTTTTGACTGTAATCTCTCGACTCCTTCCTTTTATGATATTACATTTATTTTCTATTCCATCTTTAAGTTTTTTAAAAGATCTCAAACGATATTCACCCTTTTTCTTAAAATACTCGGCATCCTAATATTATTATTACATTTAATTAATACGATAATATATTTACTTGATTTCTAGAATAGTTATTTTGTTAAATGCTGTGAGGGTGTTTGAACAAAGAACATGCTATTGAGATTTAGATATTTGATAATGTATATTAAATTCAAATTTCTTATTTAATTTTGAACCGATCTTTAATAAACTGAGTCTCTTTTTCTAGATTGGCAGCTAATCTGTTGGATGTTTCAACAATCTATTCAATTTTAAGTTAATAAATTTACTCGATGATATGTGAGGTCTGTCTCTTCTATCATCTTTTTGTAATTAGCTAACTTAGATTCTTTGTCTTTCAAGATGGCCACTCTTAGATCGAGCTCCATTTGCATCTTACGAATTTGTGCATCGAATGCTTAGAAATCTGTTTTCTCCTTCTGATATTCTTGGAGGAGTTCATCTCGTTCTCTTTTCATGTTTTCGATGGCTTTAATGTCATAGGGAGAAGACTCATACCATTTTGAAGGTTCTAAAAAGCTAATTCATCATCCATAAGAAAAAACAAAAATTAAATTAAACAAAATTAGAGTAAAGTCATTATAATAATTCTTAGTAATTCCTATCTAATCTCTGGGACCAATCGCTATTATTTTTGAAGGCTTAGGATATTTGTTTGGCCTTCAAAATGCCTTTTTGTGCCAATTCTGAATTGCATTCCAAAGCCTACATAATTCCCCAGTTCATGAGTATTTGTGCTGCCTTAAGGGTTTCCTGTTTGCCACATTAAAATGCATTGTGGAAGTATTTCTGGGCTTATTTGTAATCGTTGGTGTTGGCATACAAGATTCCGAGCAAATTGTATATGGGGGACAATTGTGGTTTCAATTCTTAGTTGGTGCCATAGGATTCTTTGTTGTTTTTGGCTTCGTGGATTTGAAGAGATTGTTCAGCAAATTAAAATGCCGCATCAAAATCCTTACGGAGATATGCTAATTCAGCTAAGATGAAATATGTATCAGCAATACGTTCATCCTCTTCTGGGAGATAATCTCTATATATAGCTAAGCTTTCATAACACAATTTACTGGCAGCATCGGGATTTTCTTAAATTATTGCACATAATTACTCATCCATCCATTCAATCTAGACAACAAAGTCAGTACATACGCAATGTCAAGACGCCAATTAAGTTATTCGTAATGTAATAATGCATCATAATAGTATTGTTGAGATTTCTAAAAGTTTTTTGAAATGAAACAAGCTTTACCTGCTTCTATTAAAAGTTTACCCCTAAAAGTTGGTTCATTGATGATAAACTTAGTTAAACAATTTTCATAATACAGAATTGCATGTTAATAATTACCTTGTGCTTTCATCGCATTTCCTAAGATATATAAACAACGCAATGCCAACACTATGTATTTGTGCGTGAATTCTTTCTTGTTGACGTTCTTGATGAATAAGAGTCTGATTTGTTCGAATAATGCCTTGAGAGCTATTACTACACTGGAGGAATTTTCACAATTCAAACTTCGCTCTACAGAGTCAAGGTTATTATTGATGTAATCAATATTCCAAGGTTCTTCATCACTGTAGAAGGATTGATGAGAAAATTCGGATTCACTGCGAGATTGCTAATGCTAATTTAATTAGGTCAGCGTATTGAGGGGTCCCTAAATCTACTTAGAAAAAGATTGATCAAGCAAAGCAGCGTTCTCTCGCTCGGGATTAGTGATTAGCCCATCTAGTTCAGTTCTACCAGTGATGGGAACTAATTGTTTTTCGTCTCGAGACATTCTGTCTATCTATTTTGACATTGTGAGGCCTTACTTCACTACTAAGTGTCTTCAGCTCTACGATATGTCCTGATAATACTTTTTCCCTTATCTTGAGTAATACATCCTTCAATTGTTCATCTCTCAACAAGGTCTCTCTATCTACTCTTTCGAATATACGAGACATTCAATAAATTAAATTTAATATCTATAAATTTGTATTTTCATCACTCTTTCCTTTTCCCCTATCCAAATTTCGTAATCTTGAAAAACCCCCAAACCACGACCATCACTATTTGAGCCACCCATCCAAGATCACTCATTGCTTTCAACACCCTATCCCATTTCAATAATCCTATGGGAGTGGCAGTTGAATTCACAGCCAACTGTCCATAAACAGCGCAAATGATTTTCTGGATTGGAATCGGGATACTTTCGACATAATTATAAGTGTTTACAATTTAAATTTATCCTTTGCTCTATAAACCTACTTGGTGATCTCGTTGAAAATAGCCCATTCAATAAAAAACACATAGTATGCAATAAAGAAACCGTGCCTTTCATAGTATAATATCATACCAGTAAGCACTCAAAACAAAAGTGAGGAGCAGAGCTGATTTGTGTTACTTGTATCTATCATAAAAACAAGTTTGCAACCATGCCTGAACACTCGAATTCCAATGCTTTGTTCTTCTTATAGGTGAAAACTCGATCTCAAATTTGTAATTAGCCAAACGATAATTAGAAAACTCTATTGTTACTTATTTTTATTGTACCTTGTCCATCAAATGTAATTCCTCCTGCATCCATTGAAGCCTAAGAGAAGTTAAATGCAAGGAAGTATTTGAATCGCTCGCAACAAGAAATCAATTGGCAAATTAGATGACGAGTCAAAAGTGAATGCTCTTCCCATTACTGAGTACCAAAGTAGGCGAAACTGAACTTAGGTCTTATGAGTTGATCAGCTAATCACAATTGATTAATTAGATACCTGCCACAAAGAGAATAGCCTTAAAAAGGGATATGAAAGCCATTTTAAAACTGTAACCCATATTTGCATAGACTCCCTTCAGATTGATGAAATCAATGTAGGCTGTAAAGGGAACTGTGCCAACGATGATGTTTGGAAAATAGAACACATAACTGAGGTAATCGAGAAATGTGAAGGATAATTGATCTTAAGCAGCAACTCCCACGTATACGAATCGACATGTCAACATCATCTGCACTACGTTAAATCCCATCTTCCAAGACGAGTCTGCGTTCTACTGATAGTTTGCCATTAACCATGATGCGGTCGTAATGTAAGTAGCCTAAAACGAAAAAGCTGATTGATGCAATGGGGATGAATGGTCTCCTCAGTAATCTCATAAAATATATGACTAGAGTCTATGCCACAACCAACTCTATCCATTGAGCTCCCAAGTACAACATAAAGAAGAGTCCCCAAAAAAATGTATAGGATTTTCGAATTATGGGACTTTTCAAGTAGCGTAGGATGATTCCCAATGGGAAAATGAGCAACTTTGAACATACACTCAAATCATTACAAAATGGACAAGCAACTTAAATTGGTCAGCCTGGACTCCAACTACATTTAGTCGATTTATGTGCATAGCAATCTCGTCAAATAATTCAACTATGGTCATAATTAATTATTTTATATTCAAAAAACTGAAACTATCCTACTATTATTTTCTCCATCAATCAACCTTCTTCTCCGTTGGAATCCAACTTTTGTTTCAATTTCGTAAAGGATCAAGCGAAAACTCGATGCTTAAAATTTATAATTGATCTGGTGAATCATAAAATCGTCTTTAATTAGAAAATAACTTACTTAATTAGAGAAATTGCTATTTAATATAATGAAAACATAATTTACTCACATACCTATCCTTCACAAGGATAAGGAAATCAATGATAATGCTCAGACACTTATGCTACGCAATAAGAATATCAGTATTTGGCCTAATGATGTCCCTTACAAATTGCTTAATCTCGATCTAAGTGGGAATCGATTTTCAACCATCCCTCATCAAATCAATTTAATATGTCACCTCCAAAAACTTGTATTGAGAGACAACAACATTGACACTCTCGAAACATCCGTAAATCTGCCCTAACTCTTCTATTTAGATCTCAGTTATAATTACATAAGTAATCTTCATTTGACTATTAAGGAAAGGTATCTTCCAGTCTCACTACATTGAATTCCTTGAATCACTTGAATCTAAACTCCAATTTGATTGATGAGATCCCTCGCCAACTCTTTGACTTATAATTGTACTTCCTGGGCATTGCCAAGAATTCTTTTGTCATGATCCCATAAGAGATTTGTAAGGTCCTTAAAAAGTTAGAACAATTCGAATTGGATTGGTTGGATTACTGTCATTTGTCATACTTTATGGACGAATAATCATGTGATAAATTACTGACTGTTTTTGCTGAAGATTGCACATTCTAATAATTTTAAGAATTCTTCATTAAACCCTAATTCTCATACAATTTAGAAAAGCTATTTACCCATCACTCATTGGGAATACTGAGATTGACTTTTGAATTTCAATAAGAAATTTCTATGAAGAGTTTGTTCTATGTAGTGTCCTAACCTGGAACTAAAGAGAACATTAAATTTATAAATAATCTCCTAGATCTCCTAAATTAGTACGATCCAGAATTATTAAATGTTATATACATTCTAAGTATAAGAACTAATTCAACTTATATTACATAAAAACTTTAAAACTATCCAATTAATTTGCATTACCCAATTAAATTCGATCTAATTTGCAATCAAAAGATTCTCATTCTAAAGAATCAAACTCCATACTCTACAATCTTGCAATACAGTAGCAATATCGATGCCATATTGGAATCCTGGGTTCTAAAAGGCTTTGATCCATAAATTAAGTACCAAGGAGAGAATTGTTTACATGTAGCTGTCAAATAAAATACCGATGAAGGTGTTAAATGGGCAATACAGCATTGTAATGTCGATTAAAGGGAGAGCCTTCATAAGAATTCCCCTCTGCATATTACCTTTCAGAAACAACAATCTGTGGGTATATTTTATCAATTGGAAAATTGTAGACCTAATCCTTTTATAGTCAACCGCTATAACAAAACTCCACGTTTCTATTAGACCTCGATGATTTAGTTAAGATTTGTAAAGTTGTTTTTAAAATATGAACAATGCTATTTAAAATTTCATTTTTTGACATACAACTCCAACAAATTGCATGGGATGATCACCTCTGGAAGTAGATCTAATGCTAGATAAGATATTGAATTTTCAGCTATTAATACTACTGACATGAGTATATTAAATGGAGAATAATTACAAGAATAATTATTGAGTGAGATTTTAAAGATATTGAGATCATCAAAATACCTTCCTTCAATTATAGAGAAGATGAATCTACTAATAAATAGTTTCTTGGATTTATAAGCAAGGATGTGCTTGTAATTCATATTGTAACTTTTAATTTGTAAAGCCAAGTATGGATGGATGTATAAATCTGCAATATTGCCTCAGATAATCACTGAAATCAATTTATTATTCAAACATAAATTCTATTTAGAAAAAAGAATATTCTGTGCTCAAGATTTTAAGTTAATAATTGAAAACAGAAAATTAATAGTTAACCAGGTCAAATTAGAATAATAGAAACCTGAATAAAATCATCTGAATAATCTATCTCAAAGACTTAAGTCCAATATCTCCAATATAATTGATCCTTAAATTTAAGCAAGATTTCACCAGTAATATATTTTCAATTACATCAATATTGTTTATCTAGGCTAAAATATAAAGAAGCATAGATAAAATGACATCAACATCTTGAACCAGTACGAAAATTTACAGTTCAACGACAAGTTTTTTGAAGAGCAAATAGACATCCCAGAAAGTCCAAGAACTGCTCTTCTAGATTAAATGAAGTATGCTCCAGTGGTGAATGCGAAATTCAAAGATTTCTCAATCTGAGATCAAAGTCACAAATGGATATGTGAATGATTAACACTTATAATTAATAACTAACATCAATCTTAAAAAACAGCAACCTCTCTGATTTTGTACTTCTATGATATGATGTTTGGTTGATTTAACAATTGTAATTTTATCTTCTATCCAACATAAGATTATGGAACATAGACTTCTGTTTTGAACTCTACTCCAATATTAGATTATCGAGTTCATCATAAGTTTATAAAGTTATTAATTTCTGATCTGTACATTGATTCCATAGTGTGATTCGATTTGTCTAGAGTAGAAAGTTACAGGGCATAGTAGTAATACCATTGTGGATCATTCATTAAAATATAGCAAATTACAATATCAAAACAGCAAATAAATAAATGTAATAATTAATTAATGAAATTTTTGATTATAAGTACAATTGCACTTTGTTTATACATAATGCTTGATATCGAATTTAACGATTAAATGTGGGAAGCTAATACTGCCCTAACAGAGTATTTGCAAGAACACCAATTCCCAGGGGAAAAGGAAGTGTTTCTATTTTTTTCACATTCTCTTTATGCTCTACCCGCAATAGCCCTTATAGCGTATTTGTTCTTTGATAATAAAATGGGTGCTTTGTTGTATGTTTGCCTGATATAAACAATATTTGCTGAGAATCAAATTCTTAAAAATATATATCGCCAAGCACGTCCATACTTTATTGAAAGTGCAATTCAACCCTATGAGTGCAACAAAGAATTTGGTAAACCCTCTGGTCATGCAATGTCATCATCAGCTATGTGTTTTCTTGTACCTTTAATAATATTCCCTGCCATTCTAAGTGATAAACTTAAGTAATTTAATGTTATGAAATAGCCACAAGTATCTAAGGGTAATTGTAATTGCTATAGTAACCATTTGGACTTTCATGACAGGATTTTCAAGAGTCTTTATGGGTGTTCATTCATTCGGTTAAATCCTACTTGGTTGGGTCTATTCTGCCTATTCAATTTTAATTTATATGCGTTATTTTCATAATCCGATTACTCATTACATTAAATAATGCTTACAACCAGGATCCTAAGGAGTACCAGGTAATGTTGTATAAGCAGTTGGATTATTTGCACTTGTTTGGACTGGCTTATCGATTTTACTCTTTGAATTCAATAACAAAGTATTACGAGAAGAAGACGAAGTGGATGATTGGTTGGATGCTTTGTATTAGAAATGTGCAGACCAAAAAACACATTACAAATTCAACAGTCCATAAGTGTTACATAATATTAGTTTCAGTCTAAGCTTGTATATTTGGCTACCATTCAGTTTCATCCTAGGTGTTAAATTAAGCAAAGGCATATACAATGAAAATCAGTTCAGTGTCTACTACAAGTTACTTACTTTTTGGTAAAAAGTTAGCAGAGTGCTGATCTTCCTTTTCTTAATCTCAACGTTGATTCCCTTAGTTTTAAGCTAATTCGAAAGTTCCTATGGATATGCATTTGGAAAAGTAATAGAATATGTTCATTATTTCAAAGATTCTTCCTTTCTCCATATTATTGGGATTGTATGTCACTTATATCTACTCCAAGATCTTAAACTACTTCAAGCTTACAGTTGAAGGAGATTTTATCTAAATGTCATCGCAATTGGTTTCAGCTCCTGAAGGATACAAAGCTAGTGAATTAGGATAAATCAATTTTTGAATAGTTTTAGAATTATTATTTGAAAAATCATAGAAATCAAAATATATAAACAATAAAATCAATATTAAATATATATGCAATATATAAAAAATCAATTACCTCTGATCATTTCGGGTAATAATTTATTTCCATTTAGTAATTAAAAGCTTAGATATCTTTGGGTAATCCATAACTCTGAACATTAACAAACAAAAAGCATATAAAACAGCTTTTGGTGGTATTTCATCAATCTGTCTCATCTTCATTTTGATTACTATATTTCAATCCAATATTGTTGATTTCTTCAAAAAAACAGACGTTGTTTTCTCTACCAAAACTGAGTTTGACCCAGACCCTGCCCAAATCAAAATGAACATCTAAAATTATATGGTAGCATTTTCAATTGAATAAATCAATTTCGTCACCAACCCGATGTTCAATATAACAATCGAATAGAGGTAATGAGTTAATTCCATATTGAATTAGAAATTATTCCAGAGACTAATTCGGCAAACAAATTAAATAAATCCAGTACTTACAATTAGAGCCATGCACATTAGATCATTTCGAATTTCTGCTTAATTAACCTGACTCTGATTTTGAATCACAATATAATCAACTTGAATTAAATGATTGGCTTTGTCCTTAGTAATAATTGTTATATTTTCAGGAAGGACTTTTAATTCACTTTAGAAGGAACCTATACTAGCACAATATTTGATTTTATCAGAGTTGTGGTCAGTGATTGTGATGATTCCAAAAAGGGGTATAATAATTGGAACCCTAAATGTGCTACATAATCTGAGAAAGAGAAACATCTAAATGAATAAGGACAATTTAAATTGTAAATCTATTAAGTGAACTCTGTTGTCAATCCCAAAGCTCCTGAACAATACTATTAATCTTATCTTGATGGGGAAATGTACTTTACCTTCGTTCCTTAGAAATTATCAAGACAAACCAATCTGTATTATAGAAAATATTAGTTTTAAAATGATGGCTCGTTGATGCCATTCTTCTAGTATTTACATAGAGTTGATTATTTAGGTCAATAAATGAAAACGAATTGATTGTCAGATAGAGTGTGGATTACAGAGACTTAACAGAACTTGGAAGGGATACAGATCAAAATTATGCAATTGTTTATCTCAGGAGAAGTCAATTCTCAGAATATGTTAATAGAAGATATATGAAAATCGATGAACTATTGGCATTTCTAGGAGGCTTTTTATAAATAATGATAACTGGCTTTGGAATATTCATAATGTATTATAATAAATTGCAATGTAAGTATAACCATTTATGATTATATCTATTAGTGTAAATAGAATTATCTAATAAATTTTATAATTTCTCTAGAGGATTTAATAAAACTGCCACCCTTAGAAAATCGGCAAAGTAGAGTGGTAATGGATCAATAAAAAATGATTCCAAAATAGGTATTAAACAACCTCCGGAGGTAAAAAAAGATGTCACATTGATGAATGATAAAGAAGAAATCAGTATTACTCAATAAATCTTAAATTTATTTGAGAAATCTACTAAATTAAGATTAACTCCCAAATCATTGATAAACTATTTATCCTTTGGATACTTATTGAATGATTAAGACACAAAGATCTTTAACAAAGCAATGTAATTCTTTACTCTTATTTATTTAGGGTAAGGGTAGACTAAAGTTTAGACATTTAAGAAATACTGTATTAGTTGTAAGAAATAAATAAATTGAAAACGTTGATGCTTAAGAAACAGTAAATTATACTATTTAATTTCACTTAAAAACCGAATTTGACATTGGAAGAGGAAGAATAACTCCCTAGTAGACTGTTGATTGAATAGCATTTAATAGATGATGATAAAGAAGAATTCAATAAAGATTTCATCATAAATGATCTTTACAAAGCTTGGCAAGACATAGGTTCTGATAATGGTTAAAATGCTTGCCAATCTGAATTAAATTAGAAATTAAATCAAGAATTAGGTGTAGAAATTCAAAAAGTGTTCAATGATTATGTGAAGGCATAAAATGATTTGAATATTTAAAAACTAGAAGAAAAACAACACCTTAAACAGTAAGTAGAATGAAGAATGATAATCTAAGTATAGAATCATGATATATTGATTAAAATAATATGGTATATGAAAATTTGAGAAAATTGAATGAACTTATATTAATGAACCTCATCCTTCTGAATCAGGATATATTTAATTGATCTTAATGCTTCTGCGAGGAGTAAAACGCTTTCTTTGGAATACATTTTTAAGTTCTACAATTTTTGATATTGATAGGCCAGGTTTACGAGGTGGATTCCTAGTGGTTTTAAGTGATCGTTCTCTTTGTTGAAGTTTCTGGTATTTCATAACGTACTCAAATGGGAAGTACATATAATAAATAAGTTTATTCATGTAATTGAAATTTCTTATTGATTTGTTTCGTAATTCTTATAATACCTTATTGATATTGTGACTTACCATGTAAAGATCGTAATTCTTTACGATTTCAAATTAATCTAATCCCTACTCTGATTTAAATTACAAATAAAGCATTTCAATATCTAAAATAGAATTCATATTATCCAGCTATTCATTTGAAGCTGACTTTCTCATTTTTAAATAAAGCTGTTCAATTTACTATTACATCATTTCATTAAATTCAGATTACTAAGTTTGTTCCACATCTAATTAAGATTTTTGAGGTTATTATTATTGTTATTAGTATTTACTTAAGTAATTCTTCTTATACATTGATAATTTGGCTGTTGTATACTTATTGAAAGTAGGTGGTTTAAGATCAAAGTCGTTTTGATTTTGCACTCTTTTAAGTTAGAGATTGTAATCATAAGAGGTTTGCGAATCCAAGATGCCTTATTTCCGCCTTTGATTTTGAGAATGGACCATGCTTTGAGTTGGACTCAATGGTTAGAGTGGAAGGTTATTGGAGGAGTAAAAGTTGTCTGTAACTAACATGGAATCTGACTTTCTCAAAAGGATCTATTAAGGGGGTTCTTAAGTTTAACGGGGAGAAATGCATTCGTCAGATTTCTAAGGATTTTCATCAGCTTCTTAATCGAATATTAATTATTATTGTAATTGCTACTTAATTAATTTCTGCTTTTCGTTTTGAAAATAGAGTGTAAATTATTCTATAATGTCTAAATCAGGCAAAGTCTGAAAGAGATCTTTAGTTCTTTTTTAGGATCTTTTCCATTTGTTTCTTTCTTATGGCTTGGAATATAGGTGTCTCTTAACAACAACTTCTCGATCAATTGTAATTTTGAGTTAAGGACACCCTATAAGATTGTGATCACCTTGTTTACAAGCTGCACAATAGACTCCATAAGGTAACTATTTCTTTTGTATACTCAATTAGATATTGTCTTTGAGTTGACAATAATGCTAATAGTCTTTTGGGAAATTGTTTAAGACTGATAGAAAATCACTCTAATCATTAATTAAAGGGTATACTTTACTGAGAATCAGAAGACTAACATAGCCGATGGCTTAATAGACTTGAGTGTTTTCATTTTCTGAGACGAAATCTTAGACTTAGAGGAATTGGCCCTAACTCTGAATTCCTTAGAGTGAATAACGATGTCTATTGAGGTATTGTAATTGACCTTATTCAACAAAGCAAAGGTGTGGTTGTTTAATATTACTAAGAGTAAAGATGGAAAATGTATTTTAGGGTAGTATGATAGTTCGAGCAATGTGACAAGATAGAGCATTCTAAAATTCTAGGCTAAAATTACTGGATAAAAAGGAGCAATGACTAAAAAATACACTATTTGATTATTGCCTTAATTCCTACTTCAACTCTTCTGATAGCTCAGCCAATAATTGTTCCTCTTATTGCAGATCTATTTCAGCTTCTTCTTTCCATCTGAAATTTAGGTATTCTCGAATTCTAAATTCTATAAATTAGGATTACCTATATTGGAGTCCATAGGGTATTTTGCGTTTATGCATGTATCTGTTGATTACTCTTATTTTCTTAATTCTCTCCACCATATTTTGATTGATTTCCTTGATTATGATACCAATTGTATTGACACTGTAACTGAACCATAAACATGCTCCCATTATGAAGAAGATTGCCACTATTTTCTCATTTGAACTTTTAGGTACATTATCTCCATATCCAATTGTTAACATGGTTACAATTGCGAAATAGAATGCCTCCAAATATTGAACTTGCCATGATTACTAATCTAATTATTTCTATTTGATCCAAGACTCCTCACTCAAATTTGAATTGAAATACCATATACATGAGAACATATGCAAAATGTACATTAGAGTTAAAATCAATTTGAATAGACTGATTATTCCCTTCTATGATTTACTAAAGTATTGGGATTCTTCACTCTTTTGGATGACTTCACTAATATGTTTGAATTGCATTAGCGAAGTAAGCAAGATAATCAGATAATAATTCGATATTTATTCTTCATCTTTAATACAATAATACAATAGAGGTGCTATTGTTAATACATCTATAAATAAAACCCTAAATATTTATTGCCTTACTATCTCGAATCTATCCAAAACAGCATGTCCCTTTACATAACATATAGTATTTAATCTAATTATGACATCAAAAAGTAATAAAGATGAAAGCAGAGAAGTGAGTGCCAAAATTTATTCAAACAAAATGCCTGGAACATAAGCAATCTCAAGTGGTATCAATACTAATAATATCAACCTAATTAAAGTTATGAAGTAATCCCACATTAATTTGTTGGGACTCTCAGGATGGAACTAAGGGATTTTTGATAATTTCTCATATGCATATTTCCTCACCATTTAATACTTCTCCTTTATGGATGAATATACTGGATTCTCAGGCTTCACTAATGTTTGTTACCGAAAAAGTCGGGACACATTTCTAATCTAAAATACAGGACTTGCAAATTTCATTTAAGTAAGCATAACCTGACTATTATGGCATTGTTTTATTTACTTATCAGACCCTTGATCATCTATCAATTACAAATGACTCTCGTTGATATTTTGCAATTTTTGTCTATGACTGCGTATTTTCTAAACAAATTGCTTCACAAAGAAAAATGCCATCAAACTAACACCAGTGCGTTAAGCTCGTTTGGTCCATTCTGGAAGTAAGGCCTAATTAGAATTTTAATCAACCTCATTTGTTCTAAGAGTGTCTAATTATGACTTAATTACTAAATTTGGACTATTGAATGTCCCTCTGAAACCAGTATTCAAGTACTCTTTATCATAGTCTAATTCATTTATGGCCTATAACTCTTGTATTGGAGTAAAGTTGTTTTGTTGGTACAAGAGATTTGATTAATTCATTTTTGTTTTAATAATTGTAATACATTTACTCTTTCAATCGTAAACTGATTCAGAATTCAGATTAATGATTTTACAACTATATTAGATTAAAATGATTTAATGATCAAATTATTAAATGAAGCAAATCCTTCTCATCTGTCTCTCATTCATACGAAGTACCCATTGAAAATCTATTTTAAAACCATCCAAATGATGAAATTAAATATGAATTTATCCAATAAATTTGATTATTGAGTTTTTCTTTTCTAGTTATTATTATTTAATTAATGTAACAGGATAATTAATATGAAAACATATACTACTAGCCCAAAGGAATTATTATGCATACACGCCAATCTATTAAACCCTTCTTTTTACCAAAAACAGAAGCCAGCACACACCGCTTTTCCTAATTGGATTATTTTACAGAACCCACAGCCAGTATAGTAGATCCTCTAGGACCTCAAACTGACCGAACGCATGTCAGAAACAATAGATAACTTTTCAAAAATAATAAGGTTATTACCATCGAACCGGAATCTAACATATTAAACGAGGAGAAGAATAAATTACAAACCAAGTTTAATTTATTAGACTCTTTTACTTTGAGACATTCACAACATCATTTATAAGGGAAGAATGATATCAAATAAGAAATTTTCTAGAGAAAGTTTAGCCAATAAAAACTAGGTTTTAAACTACAACAATTAGACGAAGAATACGAATCTCATGTAATTTTAAGAAGAAACCAGTTCTTTTATACATCATTGCGAATAAAAGATCGCTATTCACCCTTGACTCTCCAAATCAGAATCAAATAAGGTGATCCGAACACAAGATTGCGAATATTTGCATCTCCAAAATTCGTCCAACCTAATCGATTTAACGCTGCTGTTGAAGTCAGTGGAAGATAATTAAAATTTGCCTCGAATGCTGAAATCTTTCAAGAAGAAACCTTATACGTTGCAATTTTGGCCCTAAATGAACTATCGATCGGTATAAACATCGAATTTGGAAGACCTGCAACTAAAAGAGTTGTTTAGAGAGAAAGAAAAGAAAAATCTATCCATGAATTTCCTCCTGATTTAGAACTTCAGATAGAAGAAATTATGATGCGAAGAAGACTTCGCTATGCTAATCAATAAAATTATGTTGAATTAAATAAATGCTCTTAAATGTCCCGTAGAACTCAAGAAAAGCCTCAAACTCCAAAACATATAGAAGTAAAACAAAAAATTAGAAGCATGAAAACAGAATAAAGTCTAAAAAGGGTAGCTTAGTTATAAGTTCACGATATAGCCAAATAAATTCATAGAAAATAGCTAGAAATGTAAAGAGAAATAAAACATCGAGAGTATGTTCAAAAAACCTGGTTTAAAATTGTTTGTTTAATCAATATTTTAGCTCCTGGTATCAATGAATTTATAGAAAATCAAAGATAATTAGTTGCTAAAAATATGAAAAAACAAATCTCCTTAGTCTAGCTCTTAAACAAAATTAAGAAAAGAGTAGAAAAATTTGGCCCCAATTGTAAATTAAGAACAATCTTATAAGGAAAATGGTAATATTCATTCATTTTTTAATAGTTGCTTACAATTAATTGCTAACAATTCAAGAATCATAGCAAAGAAAAGAGCATAAAAGATAATGACCCAAATGTTGTAAAACAACATTACTTGCTTTATTACTGAGAGCAAAGGCACTCATGTTGTCAATTTAAGTAATGCGAAAAACCATATGAAGTAAAGAAATGCGTGAATCGATTAGTGAAGCACAAAATTAGTAGAATTGAGTTTATGAGCAATCTCAAACTATACTTGAGTGTCTAGTATAAGCAACTTTACCAAATAGCTCTTAGATACAGTAAACAAAGTGATTCATCTAAAAACAAAAGGGATCCTATACATTTTCTTTTATATGATGCGTAAAATTATGAGTATATTTAATAGTTCTTTTCTGCATCAAATGACAAAGAAATTATTGAGTCATGTATTTGAAAAGTGGAATAAAAACTTTATCACTTTTAGAAATGCAACCAAAGAGGAAAGAGAAAAAAAAGGTAAAAAGGGAGTGGCCCTATTTTGGTCACCTCCAAAACTTTTTGAATTACCTTAAGATATAGTGGTTAGACTATTCTTATTTGAAGAGCTTGAGAAACGAGGGCTAATAACTGGAGAATACAAAGAATGAAATTCATGATACTAATAATTATGAATCCAAGCATTAAATTATATAATCATTAAAATTTCTTTCTGATTTTTTAAATCTTAAATTAAGAGAGTTATTTATTAAATTGAAAAAAATGAGTCTTTTTACATATTAAATCATAATTTTGTTGCTGAATATTCTCTTTATATTTGTCTTTAAAATCCATCAGCTTCCAGAGTGTAAGCAATTAGATATTTAGATTAAGGTTTTAATGTTATTTCATATTAATTTCCTTTCTCTGGTTTTTTTAACTTTAATCCTTGCAAGACCGACAAAGTACCTTTTACTTATATACTATCATTACCAGTATTTTGATAATATTCGTAACCAATTCTAACATAAAATTAATTAAGTACCCATATTCTATATGGAAATTAGAAATAATTTCCAGATTTGAAAATCCACTATTTTATCTCTAAGGGTTTTGATTCGCTAAATTTAAAAGAATTTGTTTTATGAAAGGTTGATCTTTATCAATCTGCCTAAGGTTCACTTCTTTCGGTCCGTAAGTGCTAATTATAAACTCTCCCTCGCTCATCTATAGCCACTTTACCTTCACTTATAAAAAGTATTGACCTTTTTCAAAGAATCCCCCTACAAATACTTATTGATCCTTCTCATGTTTTGCTTATTTCAATACATAACTTTTATTAATCTATTAAGCAAGTAATATTCTTATAGGTGAGTACTCATAATTTGATTATTTGTCATTATAATGTCTTATGGATTTTTATTAAGCCATGAAATAGTATTCACCTGGGATATCATTGTTAAAAATGAAATATGTAGATCTATTTGATTTACTAACTATGGTTTGAGCAGTATTAACATAATTTTTTTTAAAATGTCCCACATAGATTGTACTGAAATACTGAATAAAATCTTCATATGGCATGTAGAAAACTCCATCCTTTTAGCCTTGCTAAATTTTTAATTTCTTTTTTAATTCTTCAGTCCATAAAGGACTATCCTCATTCCATTCTCCTGTCCATTCTTTTTTGCCCCAAGGATTTCTCAATTTGATTAAAGTAACTTCCCCTTTTGTTGGATGATGAATAGTTTTTAATTTCAAAACAGAATAAGCATGATCAAAAATTAAGCCCTTCATATCTTTATCATTAGTCTCAGAAATAGTCCCTGTTGTCATCAAACATTTTTTTTTCACTAGATTAATAAATAGTTCTTTAAAGTTGGGTAAATCAGTTTTAATGGCTTCTGCTGGACATCCTGTTAAACTACGGATGACTTCCTTAGAGTTTCCAGATATTATATTTGAATACGATCCAAATGATTTTGCCCAAGCTTTTTCCAATAGTAAAACCCAGACTTCTTCTTATTTGCTTGATGAAAATGCAGGTTCATTTTTTAGGACAGGAATATAATCATCAAGTATTATGGCTTTCCAAATACCATCAATGCAAAGCCTAACAGAAAATATGGCAGATGAATTTATTTTTTAAGTTATGAATAAGTTCAGCAAAAACTCAGGCCTATTCTAATTATTTATTTCTTTACCATCTAGAGACTAATGAACTAACGACGGACAAGAAATAACAATCTCCTAATTACCCTTGATAAATGTCTTTTGGACTGATCCATCTACCTAAGCCAAATCTTGAGTATGTTTTATTTTTAACGAAAATTTCATATAAAGGCCAGATATCACCTATTCGTTTCCAATTAAACTCTGTTAATTTTGAACCTAAACTCTAAGCATTTGCTGGGAATTCTAAATCTGTAAATGCTTGATTCGTTCTAATTGATTCATTAAATATTTAGAGAAATTTTTAAATATTTTCGATTTTACAATTTGGAATTACAAAATTCTCAAATTTTATTTCAAGATTCAATTTGGATTCTTAAGTTGGGTCTTCATACAAATTAGATTCATCAATTGAAGAAACATTGGATGAATGTAGTTATTATTATTATTATTATAGTTCTTATTATTATTACAATTATTACTATTGTTACAATTACTATTATTACTATTACTATTATTACTATTATTACTATTATTACTATTACTATTATTACTATTATTATTACTATTATGATTACTATTATTATTATTACTATTATTACTATTATTACTATTACTATTATTATTATTATTATTATTATTATTATTATTATTATTATTATTATTATTATTATTATTATTATTATTATTATTATTATTATTATTATTATTATTATTATTATTATTATTATTATTATTATTATTATTATTATTATTATTATTATTATTATTATTATTATTATTATTATTATTATTATTATTATTATTATTATTATTATTATTATTATTATTATTATTATTATTATTATTATTATTATTATTATTATTATTATTATTATTATTATTATTATTATTATTATTATTATTATTATTATTATTATTATTATTATTATTATTATTATTATTATTATTATTATTATTATTATTATTATTATTATTATTATTATTATTATTATTATTATTATTATTATTATTATTATTATTATTATTATTATTATTATTATTATTATTATTATTATTATTATTATTATTATTATTATTATTATTATTATTATTATTATTATTATTATTATTATTATTATTATTATTATTATTATTATTATTATTATTATTATTATTATTATTATTATTATTATTATTATTATTATTATTATTATTATTATTATTATTATTATTATTATTATTATTATTATTATTATTATTATTATTATTATTATTATTATTATTATTATTATTATTATTATTATTATTATTATTATTATTATTATTATTATTATTATTATTATTATTATTATTATTATTATTATTATTATTATTATTATTATTACTATTATTACTACTATTACTATTATTCTACTTATTACTATTACAATAAATAGAACTATTATTATTATTATTATTACTATTACTGTAACTAGTACTATTATTATTATTATTACTATTATTGCTATTTCTTTTACGCTTATAAATGTATATGTTATTGTAAATATACTTATTCCCTTTATTATTCCTTTTCCTATGTTCCTATTTTAGGTAGTGTCTAATTAAGTAGATATTTTTGAGGACTCTAAAGTATTTAATTTGATCTGATATCTTTCTGTCGTTCTTGAGAGTGTTGAGTTTAACTTCTTTTATTTTTTGTATATTATTAATTTGATATGAGATTTTGGTTATTATAAATATTGTATCCAATTTAATTTATCCAATTCTGTAAAGTATGAAGAGTGATATAATAAGGAGAATATGAATTTTTCAAAGCTGAATATTCATCGTCAGATATTATTGGGAAGGTGTAATATTCCAATAATTTTTTAAATTCTTTTTCATTTAGGATATTATCTTTATCAGAATCAAAATATTTAAAAGCTTTTTCAATATCTTATTTTTTGCTTTGTATGTTTTGAGAAACCTGAATAAATATTTCATTTGGAGTTCTATTTTTTTGTTTAGACTTGATCGATTCTGCGGTTTTCTTTTAGGCTTGGAGTAATAATTAGTCCAATATCTGAAAAGTTAGTGTTTGTGAGTAAAATTAAGTTAAAATAGAATTATAAAACTTTTCAATTTCATATTTAGGTATTTCATAATCTAGAAGTTCAATAGTTGAAATGAAGTCCTTTTATTCAATAACTCCATCTTTATTAGTTTTAAAATAATTCCTACGGTTAATACTATTCTGCCTTTTCAAAAGTAATTGGAGTATTTAATCAGAATAATTCGACATTATGTAAATTTAATAAAGTAAATAGAATTCGATAACTGTCTTATTAAATCCATAAAAGTAATTATAATAGTGTTCTTTTTGATTATTAGAACTGATGAAAAGAGTTAATTAAAGTAAGTTGATTAAGTCTATTTATAAGTAATACAATAGCTAGATATATTTGGTCAAACAATCACACTTAATATCAATAAACAATCGAGCTACAAAACATTTTTTGGAGGAATTTCATCAATATTGATTATTGCCATTTTGATTGCTTTCTTTTTTTCAAATGTTGTGGATTTTCTGAATCAAACTGATATAATATTTTCACTAGAAACAACATTCTCTGTAAATCCGGATGATATGAGTTTATCATAAGAAAATTACATGGCAGCATTTTCAATTGAATAAGTAGGATATGCGATCAATCCATACTTCAATATCTCAATAGAATAAAGGTACTATACTACATGAATTCAGATAATATGTTCGCGATGACAATGGAAAGTAAATCAAAATTATAAATTCTATTCCTTTGGAACCTTGCACATTATCACACTTTAATGTTTTATTAAAGGAATCAAATTTAAATTTTGAAGAGCAATACAATTATCTTGATCTATCAAATTGGTTATGCCCTAAGTAATAATATTATTTAAAGTTAGGAAGGATTTTTAATTCAAACTAAGTGGCACATATTCTAGTTAAGAATTTAATTTCATGAAAATAGTTGTAAAGGAATGTGTCTAAAAGAACTAGACTGAAACTGGGTGGAATCCAGTTTGCGCTTCAGATTAAGTAAAATAATAATCCTTAGAAAAGAATGGATAATTTAAGCTTTAAATTTACTAAGTCAATTCAATTATAAATCCAAGTTAATCAAAAGCTTATGTGAATGCCTACCTGGATGGTGAAATGTACTTTACATTTATTCCAAAAAAAATGTCCAGATAAGCCAACCTATTTTATCGAAAATACAAGCTTTATAATGATTTATCACTCTTGCCTATTCAGTATATAATTAATTTAGTATTGAGGAATATCTAATAAGAGGAAGTGATTGTGAGACAAAACGCTGATTATCGAGATTTAACTGAGATCGGAAG